GTCATGCAGGTTGTCTTCGTCGCCGTTTTGTTTTGCCCCATGTACATGTACATGCAATTATTTCCCTCATAAATCAAAACCCTGCCCTCTGTTCCACAAAATTAAACTCGCTGACATTCAACATATGGTATCGTAATAGTTCTGTTTAGGTGATTCCAAACATAAAGTAACTATTTCTGCTTGTATCTTCGCCAAATTTTTAGGTAGGCCTAATGCGCCTATCAATTGTTTCCCCCACTTTTGGGATCTATAGGCATTTGATAGGTGCATAAGCCCCAAAACCTAAAAGTGTCTTTCGTTCTCTTATAATGTCCGGTCTTAATTAGCCCTTTTTATAGCTCCATGATTAGCCCCATAAATGTGGCCTATTTACTGGACTGCCTCCGTAAACATAGGCCACACATCCATATGTACAAAAATCGTGTTGACTTTGCCAAATTTTGATTTTCACATTTAGGCTTAGTTTATAGGATTTTTTTGCTTTAGAAGCATACTCACCCTCTTTATAGGCTAATCAGAAAGTGCTGCCTTTTTCAGATGTCTAATTTTTGTGAAATTTCATGTTGAAATTTTGATACGCAAACGTGTAAAAATGAATCTGGAAATTTCACAAAAAATATACATCTGAAAAAGGCAGCACTTTCTGATTAGCCTATAAAGAGGGTGAGTATGCTTCTAAAGCAAAAAAACCCTACAAACTAAGCCTAATTGCAAAAATCAAAATTTGGCAAAGTGCGACACGTTTTTGTACATGTGGATGTGTGGCCTATGTTTACGGAGGCAGTCCAGTAAATAGGCCACATTTATGGGGCTACCCTAACCCTAACCCTAACCCTTGTCCGAAAATTCGGGGTGTCGGAACATAGGGGTGTTGGAACATAGAGCACTTGCCCACGGCTACCATGTGTGGGCAGGCCACGCTGCTGAGGACTCGGACTGAGCATAGAAGGTACGTGGACTGGCAGAGAGACGGTCGGAGGTGATACGTCCAAAATCAGTGGGTTTCATATGATGCCGTACTAGTCCAAGTATCCGAATACACTTGGGTTTAATACGAGGACTGTTTAGTTTCGATGTCTAAGTAGTAAACTATTTTATTGTAGGCACCCTAGGCCAAGAACAATTTAGGGAATTTTTTTTTTTTTGGACTTATTTATCATTCAGAAGCCTTCATTTTTAACAATAAGACACGGAGGAAGGAAAATAAATGGACAAAAAGGTTACTCATAGTCATAGGCCTACCGTATCGTACCTATCCAAACGATACAAACCAAATTGCCCACTAACTCTGCGTAACGGACCACAACATTCTGACTTGCCAGCAGTAGTATGCTGTTAACTAGTGGCTTCATGTGCTCATATTATACGACGGCTGTTTGATGATGCACTCTAAGCGGTCCGCGTAATTCATACCATCTTCCAAGTGCATGAAACTGATGCTAACTGCATACTAGTGCTTGCAAATTAGTACTGGGGTATCCCCAGCTAGTCTGCTACCACACTCATGTGCCTGAGTGATACACCCAACATCCCCTCCCCTAGCCCCATAAATGTGGCCTATTTACTGGACTGCCTCCGTAAACATAGGCCACACATCCACATGTACAAAAACGTGTCGCACTTTGCCAAATTTTGATTTTCACATTCAGGCTTAGTTTGTAGGGTTTTTTGCTTTAGAAGCATACTCACCCTCTTTATAGGCTAATCAGAAAGTGCTGCCTTTTTCAGATGTCTATTTTTCGTGAAATTTCCAGATTCATTTGCACACGTTTGCGTATCAAATTTCAACATGAAATTTCACAAAAATGAGACATCTGAGAAAGGCAGCACTTTCTGATTAGCCTATAAAGAGGGTGAGTATGCTTCTAAAGCAAAAACCCCCTACAAACTAAGCCTAAATGTGAAAATCAAAATTTGGCAAAGTGCGACACGTTTTTGTACATGTGGATGTGTGGCCTATAGATGTTTACGGAGGCAGTCCAGTAAATAGGCCATATTTATGGGGCTACCCCTCCCCCAGCTTGGTCCCAAGAAGCTTCACTGCTTTCAGTTCTAATATTACAGAAAACCCCACCTCCAATAGACCCAATGCGTTAAGGCTTTGTATTGCATGGAAAGGCATGAGTAAACCTGTTGTGCATTCATTGTTACTAGATTAAAATGACAAAAAAGAGTCTCTGAGACACCCGCAGTGCTGTAAGGTCTATTGGAATCCGTGACTGTTCTTCATGGGTGAGGCATACTGACTGAAACATCGTGTTTCCACCCAATCTTTCCACAGAATCCACAACATCACAAAGAGATTTGCTTTTCTGCGGAGTCGCAATAATGGTGGGATTAACCCTAACCTTCCCAAATCCTCCCAAATCCTCTTTGCAAAATGGAGGATTTTGCAGGATTGAGGCTATACGGCAAAACTGTGCGGCTAATTTTGGCAGATGCCCTGCGTCAAGGGCTTAGGCCGGACCTTGTACTGTTTGTGCTCAGCCGTGCATAAATGTAGGCCTACATTATACTTGAAATCCTCCGCACTGCTCCATTATGCCACTGGCTCTGCCTTAACATATTGACAGTGATTTCCGGAGGATTTTGCAGGATTAAAGCCTTACAAAGATTACCCTTCCAAAGACCACATTCAAGAAAAAACAGAGGATTTTGCAGGATTGATTTTACTTCCCAGCAAAAATGCCTAGGGAGTTAGGTTAATATTTTGATTTTTAAATATTCGGTTTGAATTCCACTATTCTGTTTGGAATTTGGAAACCGGATATTCGAGACCGACCTTAAAAGAAAATATGCCTTCCACTTTTTGTGACACGCGCTAAAGAAAACAACAGGAGCATATAATCTCCCAATTTGCTCCATGGTCTCTGACAGTAACCGCATTCACTCGCTAGTGGTCTTCTTGGTTCGTGAATAGCCTACCCATTTGAACTGACCAGAGCGTTCTCATCCATGTTTTAACCAAAGTTACATGTTCAGCTCTGGAGGGCATTGCATTGCTCACTTGTCACTTTTTGTTGCCGTGACTGTGAGCTGGGTGGGAAATTTCGGTGAAATCGGATACGACAGTTATTCGGTTTGGGAAAAAAGTAGGATAAGGCCAAAAAAAAAAATAAGTCGGTCTCTGGTCAGCGCCGCGTCGATTTTAATCATGCGCGTCGATCTTTTTTTTTCCCAAAATGTTCCTCGGTAGCTCCAACAGCACCCTCTATTTCCGCACCTCAATTTTTTTTTTTACCAAAGAGCACTAAGGAATGGGAAATTGCACCAAGGCAAATGATCGAAAGCACCAAGGCAAATTATGGAGGACACCAATGTACATGAGGACACCAAAAAAGCAAAATAGTACCCCACATTGTCTGTACAATCCAGGCTTGAAGAAAAAAAAAAAAAAAAAAAAAAAAAAAAGCCGCGTGGCCGCGTCAATTCTAGAACTTTGGTCTGACCAGAGACCGAATATTTTTTTTTTTGGCCTAATCGGATTTTGAAATTCTTCCACCACTATTTAAAAATACTATTATTAAATGACTTTCTCGTTTTTTTTGTTTTTTTTACTTTTTTTTTTTTTTGAAATCCTGGTAATAATTTCATTGAAATGTGAAAAGGTTGTTAAGACATGTATGCAAAGCAATGTCAAGCGGCAATATATTTGATACAGGAATAACCAACAAAATAATTGTATAGTATTTTTGTTTTGTTTGTGTTACAAAAAGACAATGAAACACAAAACAATTTTTTTAACTTGAATCGAGAACAGGTCTTAGTTTAAAGGGAAAAAATATATAATTTGGCAAAGACAGTTTAAAAGCAACAACAGTTAACATAGCTACATTTTAACTCACATCCACTTGTAATTTCAGCTCATTTAAACAAAAATTGGTCAGAGCATACTGACCGGAACGTCGAGTTTATACCTCTGGTTCTTTTCAGAACCATTCTCTTAGTTGAGAAAGTATTCGCACATGGTGTTTCCGCAAACCTTTCATTATTTAGCATCTCCACCATGCAAAGCCTCAAATCTTACTCAGCTCATTTAAGTCACATCCACTTGTAATTTCAGCTCAAAAAATGAACAAAAGAAGGAAAAGTTAATTTATCCTCAATAGATAAATTCATATTAATACTGTAATTGCCTCAATTTTGTCTGTGCTTGACATGATAATAAGATTTTTAAAAAAAGACAGTCGGCATCTTTATTTAAGTTTACATCATATAGGGCTATTGACCCTTTGATTATCCATGTCCGGGATAATGGGCTTACTACCCGGATATTCATTGATAACAAGGACGTAAATCCGACACAGGTCACCATATATCTGTTGAAATATACCGTGTGTTTACCATGTATACAGCCATACCGGCAGCTAGCTCTACATACATGTTCATAGAATACCAGTAGGTATGCCCAATAGTTCATCTTATTGTCTCTGTAATAACGCACTGGTTGCACGTGATTGTACTGTATCCCACATTTCACATTTTTTTTCAGTTGTCTGACATAACTCCTACGTGACAGTGGGATTTTTTAAGCGCAGTGCTTCAACGACTGCTTTATCGGCCATTATCTAGACTTTGGTCCAAACACTGATATATTCTTTGCGTGAAATACTGTGCGTAGACAATTGCTTCGGTGCCTTGGTCAGGTACAGCATATATGTGACGCGTTTGTGGTACATTCCCCATTGTGCTCTCCGAGACCTGCAGTGGAGGTCGCGAGGCTGTAGTTATTGGAGAAGAGTGCCATTCATGTTTGGATAAATGTGGTATGAATTACCTTACGTGTATATTTTATAGCACTGTTCATTATGAGCAGGATTTTTTTTGTACACATGTACTAGGCTGTGTTCCAAATCCTTAGCTACAACACTCGGCTTTTAAGAAGTGGATTATGCTTTCCTTGGTGTATGTGTGTCTGCCATTGCCTGCCTTATTAATTCACAGGCAGCCTGATTCTCTGTCTTCAGCCAATTACTGAACAGTGCTTTGAAATCCCCTTCATTCACAACTGGCCAAAAAAGAACAAGATACATTCAATTTTCCTGTGCATCAATCAGTTGTAAATTAATTTGTACATTTTATTTTATATTTTCTGTAAAATTTGATTCACCATGTATGTATAGTCAATTTGCTTCTTGTCTTAGCCTCAGGCTCGTCTTACAGTCGGACTATAGGGGGAGTCAGGTTGGTGTAGCGGTACTTTCCTTGCCTTCCACCACTGTGAATCCTGCCTGGGCCAATATGTGGATTGGGTTTCAGTCCCTACCTGATTCCGTGGGTTTTCCTCAGAATATTCCTCTGGGCTTTTCCTCCCACCTCTAAAACTGTAATTTCTTCTCATTGTCTTCTCTCTACAGGTTTCTTCAGACTTACGAGCTACAGTGCCTAGGGCACTTTTGAGGGATCCTTGGGTTCATTACCAGAAAGAAATAAAATAAATAAATAAAAATAACATCTCATTTTTTTATCCTTGTAGATTAATAAACAGATGTGCTGCTTCGCTACAACTACAAGTCTTGAGTGCATCCTTTGAATAAAAATCTCATCGACTCTCACCAGACAGCTAGACCGGGCTCGTACCCAGCTCATCAGCGGAACATATCACCATCCATCAGCGTCTGATTATCCGAGATTCCCCCACTCCCCCACTCCCCCCTCCATCCCATCCTAAAAGATGCCTTCAGCTTCGTCGCCTGCCAGTTGATGTAGCCTGAGTAATTGATACATCACTGCCATTGACGATAATCGCGATGGAGTTGGTAAGTGCATCCTTTTAGCTTTCAGTGCACAATTAGGATTGATTGGTGCCGCTAGTACATGTATACGCATGTTCTTTAAAAAGCATGTCCTGGCTGCTTACTGGTCTACTGAAGTTACTTAGAAACCAAATTATCAATTTTGTACATTGCGGTGCTGTTGCTATCCCATTTCGTGTTTGAACCATTTTGTTTTTAAAATTTGGCTCAGGAATAACATAATGTTCCCCAAAACTGCAGACTATGATTAACTATGACAAGTGCTTTTGTTGGAACATTGTCGGTGAACTTCTGAGTTTTTACTGTATTACAGGAATTTGCATGAATCTTTCTAATTTTAACAATTGTTTGCTACTGTATACCCAGCATGATATGTGACAGAGGGGTACTCCCCCCTCCCCATATCCCTATACCCAATACACACCCTAGACTATTATTACCTAACACCCCCCCCCCCCCCCCCCCGACATCTCAAAAGAATTCCAGAGATTCTGGTAACGCAATGACCAACAAAAAAGCGGGGGAGGGGGTTCGTGTCACATATCTTGCTACAACAACTGTGTATGGACACTATAGACCAACCCCAGGAAAATGCTTACAAAATCTCCAATTGCACCAAAAGTAAATCTTTCAAAGATACTTCATGTTGCTTCAGGTAAAGTTACAAGCTAACGCAATTGGAGAGAACACCAAGTAGTAACCTGCCAATTTTCTTTTCAGAACGCCCCCCCCCCCTCAAAATTAAAATTATATCAAGCCTTTCAAACTGAGTATTATAAGGAGAATCTATGGGCAAAACCACCTGAGTAGTTTTGGTCCTACTTATAACATATTTAAACAAAAATCTGTGCAAGTTTTATTTCCTTTTAGTTTTAACCAACACATACACACGGTAAACAAGTGTTTGGGTCAATATCTGATACATTTTTAGTATGTCCCTTTCTTTGCAACACATTGTACCGATCTATTTTCGCCAGTCTCCCCTCTAAAATGTTTAAGTATCTGGATAAAGGTCGCCATAGCCTGCCCTGTATCCACAATGCGTCGTTCTACTTGAGATTGCCTATTGTCGATCTGTTTGCACAATATCAGAATACACCACGCCTACGGTCCAAAGTTCCACAGGCAGTGCAGCATACACCCATTTTAAAGTTCCTGTGTACGCATGCTCGCAAACCATGTGGTTAATGTGCACTTAACAAGAAACACTGCATTTTGGACTACTGGACGAAAAAAAAATGAAATTTTTAAACCAAGGGTTACTAGGGCTTCATAGTGATATCTGTCAGGTGAAATCGTTATGAAAAAAATCCTTATTAAAGGGAAAATACAACATTTGCAAACATCAAAAAATAAAACTACCAAATCATTTTGAAATACCTTGCTGGACTGTTAGTGAATGACAGTGTAAAGCATCCTGTAAAATCATGGCACCTGGTATACTGTCATTTTCAAGAAAAGTGGTATTTTTGTATCAATTTCCAACGCTGATCGGCCAATCAGCGTTGAAAAAAACTGGCTTTTTTTCAAATACTGGCACCAGTTTTGGTTACAATTTGAGACAGGGATTTCTTGCAACCGAGAGATTTGAATCTATTAAGTAGACAGAGTTCAGTGCCCTTGATGTTGATAACTGTAATTGAATTACAGTTTGTTTCAATAAAAAAAAAACCACAAATATGATCACGAATGAAACAAAAGTTGTTAAAAACATAAAATCTTTTAATTTAATTTCTAAATAAGTGTGTTTTAACTGAGGTTGATGTTAATCGGTTTGCACGGTATTGAAATTTTAGAATTCAAATTCTAAACAGTTATAATTTGTATTATAACATTGGCGACTCTCATTCATTCAAAAGAAAACAAACAAACAAACAAAGACAAATCGTGATAACAAATCCATACCAACTTCAATGGGTGTTTACCAAAACTGCATAAATTGCCACACGCAATGCTCTCAACTTTAATCGGGTGTAGAAATCACTATCTTAAATTACAGTATCTATATCATTACCTATTATGGCAAGATAGAACTTTCCTAAACAGGCGTGATAAAGTTTCCGCCCTTTTGAATGGGTGTGAATTAAATGTCAACAAAATACCACAGAAATGGGTTATGCATTGAAGTGTTCTTTTTTTTTTTATCGCATCCATGATGTACGTGGGCATTAAGCTCGACTGTTGCCTGACTACTGGTCATTTGTATGATCCTCTAGATATTTGCTGCCAAATCGTTTTGATTAATTCCGGAATCATTTGACAGAAACTGGTTCCTCCAAAATTTGTGATAAGAACTTGTTATTGCTGTCAATCATCATTGCGAAATATGGTATATTTTACGGGATTTAAAAAAAAAAATTTGTTGGATGCATCAAATTATTTCAAAGCTGATGAGTGTCGCTGAAGTAGATTTGGCAATTCAGCAACCAAAATTTACATTCCATACTTTTCTGGGTTTTTTTTTTTTTTGGGGGGGGGGCAGTTTTCAAATTGTTGCTTTAAGTGTTTTTTTGTCCTTGCAAAAATATTAACCTTAACTGCCCTGAATCCTTCAAAATCCTCTTTGCCAAAGTGGAGGAATTTGGAGGATTGAGGTTACATGGCAAAAGTGCGTTACTAATTTCGTATGCACTTTGTCGAGGTCTTGGGCCAGACCTTGCGTTGTTTTTGCTTAGCCATGCATAAATATAGGCCTGGATTATGCTTGAAATCCTCCGTACTGCTCCAGGATGTCACTGGCCAAGCCTCAAAATATTGACAGTCACTGCCGCAGGATTTTGCAGGTTTCAGGCAGTGGTCACCCCACCACGGACCGTATTCAAGAAATAATGGAGGAATTTGTAGGATTGAGGCTCCATGCTATTTTTCCATGAGACCAATTGCAGGATTTTGCAGGATTGAAGCTACATCCTAGCAAAAAGGCCTAGTGAGTTAGGGTTATTTGAAAATTGTCAAAATTATGTGTGCGGATGTTCAATGTCCAATTGCATTGCAAAACATGAGCTTTTTTTCCATCTGCTTACTCCTTATTTTCTCCATTTCTTTTATCATACGAAAACTGCAGCTGCACTATGCTAATGAAATCTTAAAATCTTTAATTCCATGCTTGAAATATCTGTGAAATAGTAACACAAAAGCATCAATAGCACATAAACAGAAAAAAGACAAATTTATTTTTATGCATGACATTTTGTGTGTAAGGGTAGCACAAACGTGCGGAAAAAACTTTTTCACACTCGATTTAACAATTTCATAAGTACCGGTACATGTATGTACGTCAAACCTCATACATGTAAATGACCCAAAATCATTTGTCAATGAAAATACAATGTAGTAGTGTGTAATGCTTATTGGATTACTAGCTTTTAAGTCCCATAATACCTGGCCTTTTGTTGTCCAATATTTTGTACAAGAAGTAATGAACTGTGAAATGCCTTTTTACAGAATCAGTCATTGTGATCTGTTACACGGTACCCTGTGGAGACATGGGTGTAATAGGGAACAAATGATTGAATACGTCTCCACAGGGCAATTTCTATAGGTTAATATGTCTCCAGAAGGTTATGAAATACATGTAGATGGATTTTACTCTAAAAGTAGGAATTTCCAAGGTGTGTTGATCCGTCGCAAATTGAAGTATTTTATGTAAGGGATATTGAGTCCGAATTTCAGCCCAGTAAATTAATTCTGGTTAAAAGAAGAGCATTTTGAAACTACCCTTTCCAACTTGAAAACTTTAGTACACGAAAACAAAGGAATGACTCCACAAGGATACAAATTCCAGTATGGGTGGGGTCATATTCCTCTTTTTCAGTGGTGTTACTGGATGTTTGGGTTAGGCATACGGGCATCTCACCTCCGAATTTTAGGAAGGCAAAAAAATGAACTTTTTCTTGTTAAAAACCTACTTGGTTCCCCCTCCAAAAATGATCAAGGCCCCTAAGAAATTGGGGAGGCAAAACAAATGAGCTAAAATGATATTGTTAAAAACCTGTGAATCCCCCACCAGGAAACGAGCCCCCCCCCCCCCCACATGTGCCTTTTCCCCAGCAAATTGGACCTCAAATACGACACTGCTCTCGCTGTCTATGAAATATACAAGTGATTTTTCTTTGTGTCTGCCAGGGTACCCCAGTGTGGTTTGACTCCGGAGGGGAGTACCCCCTCCCAGGCAGGGTGACAGAGACGTATGGAGGGGAAGCAGAGGGCGTCCAAGTACAGTGTGTACTGGACGAAAAGGTGGGTTATCGTAGCATCAATTCGGGCGATTCACAATGAAGTGCGCCACCAAGAGTTTGCCAAGGAGAGCTCATTTTCCCCAGTGCATTGTGGGAGATGGTCGACAAATTCGCAGCGCGGGACATTTGAAATTGTTCGTTTTTCCGGTCAGTAGTTTCGTAAGCGTATGATTCGAGTTTCTGTTTGCCCTTTTCTTTTCTTTTTATCAGTATGGTGTTTTTTTTGTAAGGCGGCAGAACGCGCTATGCCCCAATCTATAACAAATTAGCTCAAGTTGTCTACTGACACTCAAATGGGACATGTTTTGTCGACCATAAACTTGAAATATGGACTCTCCATGGCAAAGTCTTGGTGGCGCACTGCATTGTGAATCGCCCAAATTCTTGCAAGTTGCTTACCTGAATATTTATGCATTAACTTTTTATCATAGTTGGCTGTGTTTGCTCATTCGATTTCACACAGTGAAAATCATTGGATTTCTCGCAATCCGTCCAATAACGGTGTCATAATGATCGATAGAGCAACTCCACGAAAGACAGTAGCAGACATAGATGGAATGCATAATGAATTGAGATGTATGGTACGGTATAAGGCAACAGTGAGTGTGTAACAGTGCAATCATAAACAGTTTCATTTTTTTTTTAGCAATGATAGCTTAATTTATGACCTTTATTTCTGTTCATCTGTCAGATGTACACTGTCTCAAAACCCAAAGAGCGTATCAGAATACGACACGATGCATTGGAGATCCAACACATTGATGACATGATACAGCTAAGGTAAAGCATAATTTTTTTTGGGGGGGGGGTAGATTTCTCATGGATTTTTTGTTTAATCATACCGTTCCCCCTTTAGTTATTTTTGATAAACATTTACATGAAGTGTATTGTGTCTTCAGACCTTTATCATGAGGCCACCATTTCAGTCGTGTTCCCTGTATCCAATGACAGTAATGAATGATAATGTTTTTTGTGCAAAAAGGAACCAGACTATTTTTCCTTCAAGCCTCGCTTTGGTTACGTTGATTTGAATGGGAAAAATCCAAATGGCCACAACATGATAATAGTCTATTGCATTTCGGGCCATATAAAATATCGCAAATATTGATACGTTAAAATTGGCCGGCATTGTTTCACGAACAACTTGGATATTTTAAACTGACTTACACTAATGGCATAAAATAAATTCTCTCTTGTTGCACAAAAAATGTAACCAGCATATTTTCACGCAGAGTTTTATCACCAAAGCAATATGAACTTGTTCATATTCGTGGATCATTAACTGCATAGACTGCTCTGACCCAATTTCGCTCTTGAAACTCAAGTGCAAATCTTGTTTGACAAATTATACACCTTTTTAAAAACCTTTAAATCAATCTTGTATTTTGATCCCATCAATTTCGAATTTGTTACACCCTTTTACGAACCGCAAAAGGACATCATTGCAATTTGTAGATTGTCACAGATTAGGAGCACTTAAGATCAGTATCAATCGTTGAATCATTAACAAAACAAAAGTGTTTCAATCTCAGATTTTCAGTCTTCGCTACTAATTATTAACCGTAATATTTCTTTAATTGATATAAATTTGGGCGAATGCTGAAGTATTCTGTTAATAATAATACCACGAAGCATATCTCAGTCAAGTATTAAATACCATTTTCCACTGATGATATTTTCCAGAATAAGATAAGATTATTATAATTTTCAAGGAGAACTTCTTTATTTGCTGCTTTGCATTTTTATTCAAAGCAAGTCGTACCTCAAAAACAGGTCAATTCTATTTATAACGATGAGAGTTATAAAACAGATCCAGCTCCCATAAATTGGCCGAAACAAAGTTATTATATTCCTTCTGCTGATAAAAACCTCTGGTGATGTGGAACATTTTTCTTCCCCAAAAATGGCACAATGAAATTTAGGCTCCACAACCACAAATGAGGCCATATATCAATGTAAAATAATAAGGTAAGAGAATTTCATTTTCTCCGAGCATCCCTAAATCCATAAATTTTAACAATTTCACGAACACATGGCTTGTTCTCCTGTTCAAAATTTGTCAATCACTCGTTTCGAAAAAAAAACCAAAACAAAGCATGACAGGTGTTGTATTCGAGGGTCCTTAATTGAAAAAAGAGTAAAATACAGGAGACGGCACGGAGTGCGTCAACCATCAGGGTCCCCTTGCTGGCGTTGCCAGGCAACAGCTTCGGGAAATACATAGGAAATCAGGGAGAAGGATTAAAGTGGCCCGGAGCGATGTTGACTCGTGATATTTGTATCAACAGTAAATATCTTGTCCTTTCATGGAGCAGTTTTGGATAGTAAGCTGTTCATTACGGTGAATTAATGGTGGCCATCAGACATGGCAAATTAGTACATCTTTTCAGAGAGCAGTCTACATTGTACATGCACACGGAGGGCACGGCCCAACATGAATATGACATTTGGCAGGAATAGACTTCCGTAGAATTTTGCTGTTCTCTGTTTGTGACACTCTTAAAATGTACGTTTTTATAGTAGAGTGAACCAGTCATTCATTTCATTAACTACATGTTGATTCGAAGTGGATGTCTTTACTCTATTCCTTAATACAAAAAGAAATACAATGCATACTTTCTAAACCTTGGTTGAAATACATACGTTTTTAACCATGTTTGTAAAATATTCCTTGTAGATCAGAAGTGAGATTTGACTGATAATATACATTTGTAAATAAAAAGGGAAATGTTGATAAAGTTGTGTTATATGAAGAACAAAACTAAACATGACTTTTTATAATCATTTTACTAGTAAATTCAACAGTTTATTTCATTTCCCCCTAAATTTGGTTGCATTGAAATTGTCTATTGGCTTGACTGGAATATAAGTCCTCTAATGGGGTCAGTTGTAATTGACAATAAATCCTTCAGCAAATATTGACACGTGCTGTGCACTGCCACTGCATCATATAGCAAGGAACAGGAAAGAAGTGGACCCTAGATGTAAAAAAAAGACCCCTATCTAATTGCTTTACAGAGATCTCCATGAAGGCGCCATTCTCTTCAATCTGAAGACCAGATTTGACAAGGGACTCATCTATGTAAGCAAATTTATTTGGACAGGCATTTTTTGTTAAATGTATGTTAAGTATGGATCAACTTTTGCCATTTTGAATAGACTTGTGGGAGTGCAGTGAAATTTCTCATCAGTTTTCTTTTAACATTGTGTTTTAGTGTGATATGACAGGTAGTACATGTTATTTCATGCATTTTCTCTCTTTTGTAGCACTCAGTTATGTTTTGCAAGGGCTTGAGATTGTGAAGACGTTTTCAACAGAACTTTCCTTGAGAAAACCCACATGTATGCAGATTTGAGCCTTAAAATATCTCTTCAAGGTGGATGAACGCTTGTTATTTTAAGCCCTGCATTTTAAGGAAATGTGGAATTTCGCTCTTTACAACATTTGTTCAATGTGTGTTTGCTTCATAGACGTACACAGGAAGCATATTGGTTGCCGTCAACCCGTACAAACTCTTTGACATCTACGGCATTGATACAGTCAAGAAGTATGAAGGCAAGCCACTCGGACAGCTCCTTCCGTAAGTGACCTCAAAACATTTTTTTTAAATCTGCTGTTGATGGTCAGGAAATTGTGTGTTGATACATGTACCTCTGATTCATCTCCAAACAGTTTGTGCTTTAGACAGTCACTTTTTATGGTGCACCTGTAAAATTCCTCCAAGTTCACTCTAGTACCCCATTCAAAACCTTAAATTGCATTTAATCCAGGGTAGTCATGGTTGGTATGCTGGTGCTTTCTTACCTTCCATCTCTGTGACCTGAGTTCAAATCTCACCCGGGCCGATCAAGTTCTCTGTTTCTGCCTGATTCTGTGGGTTTTTAAATTTATGTACAATAATTTGGCAGTTGGACGGGATAACCCACGAAAAGTCTTTCGACTTATTTCCAGTGGGGTCCCTTGGTAGAAGATGTGGAAGGAATTTACCGTTTTAGTGGTGGGAGGAAAACCCCAGAATGATATTCTAAGGGAAACTCACGGAATCAGGCAGGGACCGAAAACCCAATCCACATATTGGCCCAGGCGGGATTCGAACCTGGGTCACAGTAGTGGAAGGCGAGAGAGTACCTATACGCCAACCTGATCCCCACAGATATATCCCGGGTTTTTCTCCCACTTGTGAACACTTGTGATGGACTTGTGAGGACTTGTGAGTGACTTGTGATGGACTTGTGATGGACTTGTGAGGACTTGTGAGTGACTTGTGAAGACTTGTGATTGACTTGTGATGGGCTTGTGATGGACTTGTGATGGGCTTGTGATGGATTTGTGATAGACTTGTGATGGACTTTTGATGGACTTGTGATGGACTTGTGATGGACTTTTGATGGACTTGTGATGGACTTGTGATTGACTTGTGATGGACTTGTGATGGACTTGTGAAGACATTTGAAGACTTGTGTGAAACTTGTGATGGACTACTACCCTGCTGTCTTGTTTTCTTCAAGCTGTTATGAGTGCATTCGTACAGTTGCAGAAACCAATGTTACATAACCGTAAAGAAATAAAAAAAAATAAGGAAAGAAATCAATAAAATTTGAATTATTTTCCATTTCAGCCACCTGTTTGCCATCGGCAACAGTGCCTACACCCGCATGATGCAGACAGACAAGAACCAGTGTGTTATCATCAGTGGAGAGAGCGGGGCCGGCAAAACAGAGAGCACTAAACTCATCATGCAGTACCTGGCAGCTGTCAATAAGTCCCCATCAAATCTCACCACAGAGCAGGTACATATCATAACCCTAAACCCTACAAGATCCTTGAAAATCCACTGGGAGGTTTTGGGAGGATTTTGTAGGATTGAGGAAGGTAAAGCACAGCCACTGTTTCAGTGAGTTGCCGTCAAACCTCACCACAGAACAGCATCCGATTTCAAGAAACAGTGCCTAGCTTACGCCATGCATAGGACTTGTGCAACAACTTGGTTGCGCAGCTAGTCATAAGCTTACGATCGATTTCACTAAATGTGGCGTAGCTGTGCGACGTTTTAAATACTCTAAACATCTTGGACGAGGATAATAACAGCATTTACAACGGCTGTTTGTGTATAGTTTTGTTCTGTCATGAAACAGTCGTTGAATCACCTCCGCCCACCATTTGAAAATGGTTTTGTCCGACTTTCATCAGAATCGTGCAGCAGCTCTAAAAAATTTATCATGAGTAAAATAGCAATTCATTTACCTAAAACACAAAGCTGTGTCTTGTATCAACCTTGACAAGTTGTGCAATGACAGGCTCCACAACGATCACGATTTGCTAGTAAAATAGTTCATTTTCAGTCGCTTCCCCACAACTCATGTCACCTAAAATGATTGCGCAAGTTTTTTTTGCGCAAGTCGCAGACTCACGCACTTTGAAACTTTCGTGCAGTGTGTCATAACTGAAATGTTGCGTAGTGTGACATGTCGCGTAACTTACGCAGTAAATTGTGACGCAAGTGGAGTTACGCCATTGCGTAAAGTTTTGTAAAATGGGCTGCAGGTATATTAACCCTAACCCTGTCCGATGCAACACAAAGTAATAGTTGTAAGAGTCTGTGAACCTTGTTGCATTGGGCCATCAACTCCAGTGCATAAATTGCCCATTCTGAGACAATGAGAGCTGGTTGTACTAAGCAGTGCTAATGTTGTATCCTGTGGCAGTTGGCAACTACCAGGCACTGAGGCACTTTGGCCTTGGGAATTTTTTTTACCGTATCGGATCTTGTTTAACTCTGTTGTCACTTTGGGCCCCAGTTGTTTGTTGTTTAAATGGGTTTTAGCCAAAAAAGGCCATTGGGTTCTTGCAGACTTATTTTGATTGCGAAATAAAATTTTGATATGAAAATAGGCAATATTCACAACTTTGTTTTAAGATAAAATTCACTTTCGTAGCCAACATGGTTCATTTTTCTTCGCAGATTTTGGAGGCCAATCCTTTGCTGGAATCCTTCGGCAATGCCAAGACGGTGAGAAATGACAACTCCAGTCGCTTTGGCAAATACACAGAAGTCTTCTTCAGGAGGTAAGTCTGGCAACCGGACTTACGGAAGGTTACTTTTTAAATATCTCCAACTGATGTCTGTTACATCCCAATACACTGAGCAAGTGAGTATGTGGAACATAAAAGCACCAGCTTCTGAATGCAGAAGTCCCTAGACAACCGATGATGCGAAAGGCCTAGATCCTTCAGTTGATGTGATCTATTTTGTCTCATTATGATAATGTGCATTTTTATAGACCAAGGTATTAGGAGTTACCCCTCATTTAGTATTGCGGTAAATGTTCTGGTTTTTCAGGGGAGTCATCAATAGTGCTAAAACAACAGATTACCTTCTGGAGAAGTCCAGGATAGTGCACCAGGTAAGTTGACATCTTTCTCCAATGTTCTTCGTAAACTCTAACTGCCCTTCAGGACTCCATCAATAGTCCGCAACGTTTATACACTGCAGCGGGAGTAAGGGTTCAATCTTGCAGCCTGAAATACTTTTGGTCTCAACATTCCATATTACAACCAGATGCTTGAGTATGACGGTTATTTGAAACAACCTTGACGTTATTTTGAACAAGTTACACGATTTGTCCTTTTTAGTGGGGGCCTTATTACTAGCTGGCATGTTGGTCCCCCAGAAAATGAAGAATTTCCTGGGTTTTTTTTTTTCTAAATTTTGTTTCTCTCTCATGTGTACTCTCTTGTATACCTTAAATATCCAGCCAAGCTATCAGAACCCGTTTGCATCTGTGAAGTGATCACATGTCTAGATTACATGTTTATTTAACGCATATTGGATCATTTTCATTTATCCAAAATAGTAACTTACCAAATTATTATCAAAAGCCTACTTGGATTAAAGATTGTGTTGGCACTAAACACTCTGTGAAATTATTCCGTCTGGCTTGTAGAAGAATTTAAGAAATGGAGGTGATTTCCAATGATCAGTCAATTGAGTGATTTTGGGAAATAAAGAGTGGTATTGACGAAATAGTGTTTCATGATCAAAAAGTTGTGCATGGTTTTTCACTGTTTTTAATGTAATATCCACTGAGCTGAAACTTCAGCAGGTAAGGCTTTGAACATCCAGTTTAGATTTTGCGTGGTGTAATTAATAATCCTACATGCCTTTATTACAAGAAATATACACAAAATGATATGTTGCCGGCCGCCTATTTCCAGGGTCCGGACGAGAGAAACTACCACGTCTTCTACGAGCTCCTGGCGGGCCTGTCTTCCCCAGAGGCTGCCAAGTACGGCCTGCGCACTGCCGACCGCTACCACTTCCTGAACCAGGGCGGCAGCTGTCGCATCGAGGGCAAAGACGACGGGGAGGACTTCTACCGTCTGGTCTCGGCCATGGAGGTGATGCGGTTCAGCCCCTCGGAGCAGGATATCATCTTCGGCATACTGGCCTCCATACTGCATCTTGGCAACCTCAACATGAACGTTGGACAAGTGAGAATTGATGGATATCTTATTGAAAGATTTGCTTCCCTTTAAGTTACGACGTGACCCAACCCAAAATCAACTTCAGGTCGGGTCGGTTTGGTTTCGGGTCAGGTTTGCACAATGTTGTGTTATCCCTATTTGTGGGAGCCTGTAAAGAAAAACCTGCCAGGCTAACATGGATGGACTCAATGCAATGACCTGCTAGATGACCAGATTTTGAACATTTTTACTTTGAGCTGGGTCGGGTTGGTAGGTCGAGTTGGTTGGTTTTGGGTCGGGTTTGCACAATATTTGTGCACAGTAGTGTTATCCCTATGTCTGGGAGCCTGTAAAGAAAAATCTACTAGGCTAACATGGACGGACTCAGTGCAATGACCTGCTAGATGACCAGATTTTGAACATTTTTACTTCGGGTTGGGTCGGGTTGGTGGGTCGAGTTGGGTCGGATTGGTTGGTTTCGGGTCAGGTTTGCACAATATTAGTGCTCAGTAGTGTTATCCCTATTTCTGGGAGCCTGTAAAGAAAAACCTACCAGGCTAACATGGACGGACTCAGTGCAATGACCTGCTAGATGACCAGATTTTGAACATTTTTACTTCGGGTCGGGTCAGGTTGGTGGGTTGAGTCAGGTCGGGTTGGTTGGTTTCGGGTCAGGTTTGCACAACATTAGTGCTCAGTAGTGTTATCCCTATTTCTGGGAGCCTGTAGAGAAAAACCTACCAGGCTAACATGGACGGACTCAATGCAATGACCTGTTAGTATAGATGACCAGATTTGAACATTTTCACTTTTAAAAAATTAACTTAGCCGCACTTAACTTCAGTTTGCTCCTCCGAATATAAAAATATAGTTTTTGTCTTTACTGCTTATTTCTAAATTGCAATTCTCATAAAATCATCAATATTTTAAATTTGACTTTTCCTTGTATTTTACAGAATGACAAACTCGTCATCCAGAATGAGAATGAACTCGGCCTGGCTGCCAAGTTCCTGTACCTTCGCCTGGAGGAATTGGAGAGAGCCATACTGTTCAGACTCACTGTAAGCTGTGCCTTTGACCCCCCCTTTGCCCTTCATCCAAATGTGGATTTAAGAAGTATTATATACCCAGTGCTGTCCCAGATCTTGAAAGTAAAAATGTATAGTCTTGCAAGGGCGATTCTTATACTCAAGACCTCCTGCTAAGTAATGTAGATGCCTTTATTACTCCACCACAGCCTTTGCGGGGGCTTTCAGGCCAGTTCAAGTCTGACGAAGCAGCGAGGACCGCGACTCAAGTCTCTAACTTCTGTTTTTTGCATTCTTACTTGTTATCCTAGGAGACAAGAGGAGAGCGCATATTAACCCCACGCACCTTGCAGCAAGCCATAGAGGCAAGGTATGTATAAACCACAGCCCCTTCTTCTCCTCGTGGGGAATGTGGCCCAGTGGTCGGGGTTTGTGACTCATGAGCAGAGAGTCAGGGGTTCGCATCAGCTGCTGGTCATATGTTGTGTCCTTGTGCAAGCCACTTCTCTCTCCACCCAGGAGTATAAATGGGTACCAGCATTAGCTGGGGAGTAACCTGTGATGGATTAGCATCGCATCCAGGGGGAATATAAATATTCTCAGTCGTTTCATGCTACTGAAACCGGAGATAAACGCTGGCCTGATGGGCCACATTGGCTTGCGACAGACTTTACTGACTCTTCTCTGCGGCCCAGTTGTCCATAAAGCTGTAACACAGCTTCGTGGGAAATATGGCCTAGTGGTAAGGGTTCGTGACTCATGATCAGAGGGTCAGGGGTTTGAATCCAGTTGCCGGACATATGCTGTGTCCTTGGTCAAGCCACTTCACCCCCACTTGCCTCTCTCCACCCAGGATTTATCTTGGTTTTGTCAGTAGTTTTAGTTTCTTTCAGTGACTTGTTCCCTGCCTCCTGTCTGTGTTTTTTTTTTGAGATGCTCCCCTTTTTTCTTTTCGTTAAGGGCTGGATTGATTTTTGTTTCTACATTTGAGGTACAGCTGACCTGACATAACATTGTTTGTAATAGACATTAGAATGGCAAAAATGAATTTTTATTATGAAGAAAACATTCTATTGTGTTTTATATTATTTAAAGTGAAAGATACGAAAAATGAAAAAGCGAAATGTTATATTGGTACATTTGTATGCTCAAGGTCATTGCTCATTGCGTTCACTATAGCATGATAAATTTTAAAGTATAAATTTAAGTTATCAAAATTTTTTTTTTAACATGTCTGTACTTCCACTCATCAGGAATGGAATCGCCAAGTCCCTGTACTCTTCCCTGTTTTCCTGGCTGGTCAAGAGCATCAACACCATCGTGGGTAACGTCGGCACAATGAGTTCCATTGCCATCCTTGACATCTTCGGATTTGAGGTAGGCATCAAGGCCCAAACGGACCCTGAATCAGTGTATTTTCGGGTGTTTTTCTGCCCATCTTTGCCCACCAAATGTGCTTTACTTCATCATTTCTTTATCCACTGATATCTTCTTTCCCTGGGGTGAGGTTTGTCAGGATTTTTCCTGATTTCAGGATTTTTCATGATTTCAGTTTTTACCCCCATTTTTTTCTCCCTGATAGTATTTTTTTTTGGTCAGAATTTTTCAAAATTTTAAAGCCTGTTGTTATGATTTTTCCTGATTTCAGGATTTGTTGTCGGGATTTTGCCCAGGCTGATTTCAAAGTCTTTGGCCAGGATTTTTACCTGATTTCAGATTTTTTTTGTCAGGATTTTTTTCAGATTTTAAAGCCTTTCATTATGATTTTTCCTGATTTCAGGATTTGTTGTCGGGATTTTTCCTGATTTCAAACCTTTAGTCAGGATTTTTCATGATTTCATGATTTTTTTGGGGGGGGATTTTTTTTTTGATTTCTAAACTCAGAATTTTTCCTGATTTCAGGATTTTTTTGTCAGGATTTTTCCTGATTTCAGAAGTTTTGTCAGTATTTTTCCTGTTTTAAGATTTTATCAGGTCTTTTCCTAACAAGAATTCTTGCAGTATCCCCCTTTGAAATCTGGAATTTCTGATGTTTACCATAAAGGTGTTTTTATTTCTTATAAAGTTTATATAGAACAAAAGAAATTGGTATTTTAGGGGTGCCTTTTGGCAGATTCATACCGACATATACCACAGACCCTTCCCTAATCTGGGGCCCTAGGTTACCCTCAGATCCTCTGCCAATTACATTTTGTTTTTCCGTTTTCATCCTGTCTTTCTTTTAAGCTGTCCATATAAACCACAAATGAAGTATACTTTGTTCACTTCTCTCCACTGATTTTTGTCCTGGCTTGCCAGATACAGTGCTGAATGCGTTTTGAGGAGTTCTTTATCCGTTAATGGAAATTTTGTAATCACGAGGAAATCTTGATGACAATCTCTTTTCCTCCAGGTCTTCCAAACCAACAGCTTTGAGCAGATGTGCATCAATTATGCAAATGAGCACCTGCAGTACTTCTTCAACAAGCACATCTTCATGCTGGAACAGGTATTGTCGTCCTTTCCTTTAAAAATGGAACCACGACTTCAAAGATATAAAGGAGTTGGGGTTAATGACTTTATTCATAGTGCTTTTGGTCCATTTAACCCTAAAAGGGCTGGGGGGGGGGAATCCGCCCCCTCCTCGACTTTTTCCGCAATAGCATTAAAAAAATTTTTTTTCGTGACCCGAGCTGTTATGACTTTTTAGCCTGGAGCCTTGTGCATCTTTTAATACCAAAAACATAAAGATCGGACCAAGGGTTGCCGCGCAGTGAAATATTTTCCGGCGCTATGCGCCGTGAAAACTGAATTTTTCCATATACGTCGTGTACACAGAGCAGAATTACCATTTGTACATATGAACAATTAATTAGCCATAATTCCAAAACCCTTTGACCTATAGTCATGAAAGTTCTTGGGTATGTTCATGATGAGTTGCTCTATGCATGTACCGAGTTTCAAAATTTTTCCGTCACTCGATGGCCGAGATCTTAGGTGAGAGATGGTCAAAATGACCCGGCCCTTTTAGGGTTAAGACAAGAATGAATCTTTTCATGTAAAAAGCTATATGTATGGGCCTGAATGTTTCTCATTCATGTTCTGTGTCCTGTTTGAACAGCAAGAGTATTTGAAGGAGAAGATTCCCTGGACCAGCATTGAATTCAAGGACAACCAGCAGTGCATTGACATGATTGGCAAGAGACCGTTTGGTGTCATACACATACTGGATGATGAGAGCAGCTTCCCTAATGTAAGTCCAATCAATCCCACTGCTTCTGGTTTAAATGACAGTGGTGACGTTCACGTCTCTCATGAACTTGTTGAATTCATAGGTCTCTCTCAAAGATGGCCATCTCTGTAGGAGAACTGCAACTGTGTATTTAACGCAATCAAGCACGCATCGCGCACTGTTGAAAATGTTCCAGACACACACACACTTGTTGCTCAAAATGTGTTTGAAATACGATGCAGCCGATGCGCGTTATGCAAGTTGACGCTGAAAATGCCGATGCACGTAGCTGGTCTGTAGGAAAATGACGTCATTTGAGAGAGACCTTTGTTCATAATTTGACAGAACTAAAACAACATGCAATTAACGTAGAGTTGCCATAATCAGCATGCCATCTCTAGCAGACACCTCTTTGAACCAATATATTGGTTCACTGCATTCAAAGAGTTACGTTTGAAACGAGCCATTTCTCAATTATATTGAAAATGCTCAAAGAGGTGGAATTTTAATGGAAATCAATTATTGTCATGCACACTTGTTGAAAGACTGTGTGGTTGTTTCTGTTTTTTAATTGTTGAAAAAAAAACCCCAAACTAAAATTTGTTGTTGTAAACATAGGCCGGGTTTATTTGATAGAGCAGCTAAGTATACAGAAATGTATTCAAACCAAAATGTCATGGTGTTTTGTGCTGTTGGGCAGGACACTTAACTACAATTGCCTCTATCTACCCAGGAGTATGAATGGGTAACTGCTAGGCTAGAGGACCGAATGTGGGCTGATATCGGCTGTCGCGTGGTTTTGTGGCCTGATGAATGGGGAATAATTGTAAAGCCCTTTGAGATTGTTGATATGATGGAAAGCGCTATATAACAGAGATGCCACTTTTCAGGTTTTAACCTGAATTCAGGTTTTTTTTCAAAAAATGTGACAAATTAAAAGTGCTGGATTTGGTCTGAAGCATCCAGAAAACACATTCTTGAAAGGGGGTAAGGGTAGTTGCAGGTTTTCTAGTAGTGTTTCAGGCTTTTTATTGATATACTGGTGGCATCTCTGATATAACCGTTACAATCATATAACCAAATCGACCTGTCTGTCAATATGATTATTTTCTGCATTGCTTCTGTACCCCCTGTAAAATACTCTCCTGTGGTTTTTCTTTTCCAGAGTTCGGACAAATCCTTCATGGACAAGTGCCACTACCAGCACATGGGTAACACCTGCTACAGCCGGGCCAAGGTGCCCTCCATGCAGTTCAGCATCAAGCATTTCGCCGGTCTGGTCACCTACGACATGGTGGGATTCCTGGAGAAGAATCGGGACGTGCTCAAGCCGGAGGTGGTCGACATGTTCATCAACAGCCACTCACAGGTAAGCCTGTGTCTGTGTGCTTTTGTCTACGACTGATCTTGTCATATGAAGTTAGTAGCCATGCAGACATTATTATGAGGCTTGCTATAGTAAGCATTAAGTGAGTTAGTAGCCATGCAGACATTAGTATGAGGCTTGCTATAGTAAGCATTAAGTGAGTAAGTAGCCATGCAGACATTATTATGAGGCTTGCTATAGTAAGCATTAAGTGAGTAAGTAGCCATGCAGACATTATTATGAGGCTTGCTATAGTAAGCATTAAGTGAGTAAGTAGCCATGCAGACATTATTATGAGGCTTGCTATAGTAAGCATTAAGTGAGTAAGTAGCCATGCAGACATTATTATGAGGCTTGCTATAGTAAGCATTAAGTGAGTAAGTAGCCATGCAGACATTATTATGAGGCTTGCTATAGTAAGCATTAAGTGAGTAAGTAGCCATGCAGACATTATTATGAGGCTTGCTATAGTAAGCATTAAGTGAGTAAGTAGCCATGCAGACATTATTATGAGGCTTGCTATAGTAAGCATTAAGTGAGTTAGTAGCCATGCAGACATTAGTATGAGGCTTGCTATAGTAAGCATTAAGTGAGTAAGTAGCCATGCAGACATTATTATGAGGCTTGCTATAGTAAGCATTAAGTGAGCAAGTAGCCATGCAGACATTATTATGAGGCTTGCTATAGTAAGCATTAAGTGAATTAAGTAGGCATTTCCTACATGTTAACCCTAAAAGGGAGGGGGGAGGATTCTGCTCCCCTGCACTTTTTTAGCAATATTTTCACCAAACGCAAGTTTCTCGTCGTGAGCTTTCATGACTTTCTAGCTTCAAGCCTGGCGCACGTTTTGATACCACATTTGTGAAAATTGACATCAAAATAGAAAAAATGACACCACAAGTGAAAATTATCACTGCACTGTGTGCGACATTATTTGAGGCAGCCCAACACGGAAATTGCATTTGCCCATGTATACAATACATGGATAGTACAGCTTGCTGTGGGAAGCGTGCTAACTTGAAAATTCAATAGTCAAAAATACTTTGTTTCATGGAAATTAAATTCTGTGAATACGTTCCGATTACATTCCTGTACATGTGTGCTGAATTTCATTTCATTTCGTCGTTTAATGCCTGAGTTCTGAGGGAGGCTGGGGTAACTCAGTTAGATAGCTTTCAAGCCCTTTTACCCATTCAAATCATTTATCTGTTTTTTTTTGTTTTTTTGGCCTGTCATTTTCCCAGTTCATCTCGGACATCTTTGAGTCCCTGAGACGCCAGGAGGAGCAGAAGGCCATGATGATGAGCAGCGTGAGAGGAAACAACAGCATGAGGAAGATGCGGGCCTCAACCGTGGCGACGCGCTTCAATGAGTCACTGCTGGAACTCATCAACACCATGGGCAAGTGAGTACATGAAGCCATATGCAATCTCAGTTAGTTACGTAACAAAGAAAATGACATGTTTAAAAAAACACATGTCTTTGCATAAGAAGATTCCTCAGATGGGATACAGCTGAAACAAACAATAGCATTTCTGTAACTGCTTACTTACTGAAAATTTGTTTTGAAATATCAGTTCTTAATTTCTCTCATCAGTTTAAAGCATTGCCATGAAATCTTGCTTAGTTAAGCAGCAGTCACACATTTACGGGCATATTCGTAGGACATTTGTAGAAAATTCTTAGAGATTTCTACCACGAATGAGCTACGAATCTCCAAGAATATGTACGAATAGCCAAGAATAAAACTACAAATCAGTACGGTTGTCCTACGGATGTCCCACAGTTAAACAGTTTCAAACTTCCGTAGCCCTTCCACAAACACCCAAGGAAGATGACGGATAACCACGGATGTACTAAGGATGACTATGGTACTCCCACAAATTTTAAACCATTGAAATTTGTAGCTCCAAACCATAAATGTGTGACTGGGGCTTTATGTTACGGTTAGTTTACTGCACTGGAATGCAGCAGCTCAGGAACTTGCTTCCAACAAATTAAGCAATCTGGTAACTTCTCGCTGCCCCCAACAAAATGAGCTTGCATACAAAGTAAATGTGCTAGACTTACAGATAAATCCACACTTCTTTCCTCGCAACATCCCAACCTGTGACAGCTGAAATTGCATTCCTTATGCTAAATACCACCTGTTGCGTTGCTCTGCAGGTGCAACCCGTTCTTTGTGCGTTGCATCAAGCCAAACAGCGATAAGGCACCCATGGAGTTTGACGAGGGTCTGGTCCTGGAGCAGCTGCGCTACTCAGGCATGCTGGAGACCATCTCCATCCGCAAGATGGGCTTCCCTATACGCATGGCCTTCCTGCACTTTGCCAACAGGTAGTTCAATAATAATAGTAATAATAGTGGGTATATATAAAGCGCACGTATCCACCAGGACTGGTGCTCAAGGCGCTACATCGTTATTACCCCTGCTCATTGGGCCCATGAAACATTCCAAATACCATCTCAGCTCCCTGGGGAGTATACAGCTCGATGCAGCCTGTTAGGCGCAAGGAAGCTAATTCAATCACAATAACCATCTCTGCCCTCACAGGTACCCATTTACTCCTGGGTAGAGAGAAGCAATGAGTGAAAAAAGTGCCTTGCCCAAGGGCACTGATTTCATTCAAAGAAGTGAATGGAATTATTCCTCTTAAAAAATCTAAGCTATTCAACATTCTGGTACAGGATGTTACCTCTAAAACTGAAGAATCTTTGGCTACAGGTTTCCAAGCTAAAATGCAGCATCAAGCAATCTTGCATGAAACCGAATGTCCACCAGGTTTTTAACCACCTTTTTACCTGACAAACATAAAGCTTTTGTATATGCAGTTACTCCTACACCATGTTAAGCTTCAATATTATGTTTTGGAAATTTTAAATACAATTTTTATTTAAAAAAACGAACAAAACTGGTGTGTTCTGATGATCGAGGCATTGTGAGTAGTGCAGTTTACTAATAAAATTTGACATTGTGTTTGCTCAGGTACCGCTTCCTGATGGGCCCAGTATCCTTCAAGTCTACCGTCAAGGAAACCTGCCGCATCATCTTATCCAAGGCTGAGCAGAATGACGGCAAAGACTACGTGATTGGAACCTCAAAGGTATCGCAGAATCAACTTTGTTAGACATCTTTGTATTGTGAATTTTGTATGAAGCCTTATACCTGAACGAACTGGCTTTTATCATGTTTATAGTATATTTAAGCCCGATATGCATATTTTTTATTATTTTGTTGACTACTTATTGGCTATGCCATGTATACATTTGCTGCAGCTTTTGCTGTAAATTCTGTCCGCTACCCTTACTTATTTGATTCCAGTGAATATGAGACAAAACAAGGCTGAGCCATTTACCAGAAACTCTCAAACACAATTTCTCAAACCATATTGTCAGTGAACAATCATGTTAGCTGACTGGTGGTGATTGCTTCTTTGTCATGCTAGCTCAAGCATGGGTCATTTGAACTAACAAATTCAGTAGTCTTGGTGCTTGCGTGTGAGTATTTTGCACATGTATACGATGTATGAACACTGTATACTCAGTGTGTTACCTCCCGATCCCGTTAGCTCGGTGGTTGAGTGGTAAGACATCTGCACTAGAAAAGCAGGAGGTCGTGGGTTTGAGTCCCACCCGAGTGATTTTTTCCAACTTTCACTCGGGAGGTTACACGCTGAGTATACAGTGTTTATACGTTGGTGAAGGGCAAAACCTAATTTGATTTACATCACCCCGACGCAAAATTCCATCTTATGAATAGTTAATGCGGTACCCGCTGCTATGTACATCAGATTCGAAACCAGCCAACCGATCCCATTAGCTTGGTGGTCGAGTGGTAAGACATCTGCACTAGAAAGCAGGAGGTCGTGGGTCTGAGTCCCCCCCGAGTGATTGTTTCCAACTTTCTCTCGGGAGGTAACACACTGAGTATACAGTGTTTATACGTCGGTGAAGGGCAAAACCTTATTTGAGTTACATCACCCCGACGCAAAATTCCATCTTATGAAATTTGCTTCAGTAGGCTAAAGTGTGATTTGCCCCCCCCCCCCCCAGGTCTTCATGCGAGAATCCCTTGAGACCTCCCTAGAGCATCAGCGTTCCCGCGTCATCCGCCACGCGGTCGTCACCATCCAGAAATGGGTGCGGCGCTTCCAGACCAGGCAGCGCTACCTGCGACAGAGGGATGCCGTCATCCTGATCCAGGCACAGATCAAGGGAAGGAGAGAGAGAGGGCGGTACATCAAGGGCAGGCGGGGCATGATCCGACTACAGGCGTTGCATAGGGGCAGGATGCAGAGGAGACGATACCAGCAGGTAGGATGATTATAATAGTGTGTTTTATTATTCCTGAACCGTCAATCCAATTTTCCCTTAAAGGGAATATACAACATTTGCAAACATCAAAAAACAAACTTGCCAAATTATTATGAAATACCTTGCTGGACTGTTAGTGAATGACAGTCTAAAGCATCCTGTAGAATCACGGCTCCTGGTGTGCTGTCATTTTCAAGGAAAGTAGTATTTTTTATCAATTTCCAATGCTGGTCGGCCATCCAGCGTTGGAAACAGCTGGCTTTTTTCAAATACTGCCCCCAATTTACCATATTTAGTTAGTCTGCATTTTGTTTGCAATAGATTACACACTTATGAACGGTTATGCTAGACTGGTTACCTGACTTTACAATTTCCCCAACATCTATAAATTGCTCTGTTTCATCAAACAAGTGGGGTCAGGGAACCAGACTACATGAACATGATTGTTTTTCTTGGTTTTTCCAGCATCTACGAACACAAAACTGCCAGCCAGTCGGTGTTTCAATATTTGCTGTAAAATACTTAGCCCCCAAATCGATCCATTTCTGAAAATTACAGCAAAAGCAAATGTTGTATATTCCCTTTCACTTACCCCCACAAATTTTGGCATATTTATGTTTTGGACCACGAGCAATTGATCTAGTCTACTTGCGGCATAAAATTTTGCCTTTTAAATACGAGTTGTGACATTCTGGTGTCTTCAAAAAGGTACAACTACGAACGAAAAAAATGTCTCCTTATGGGTACATTAACAGTAATTATAGAGCGCACGTATCTAAAAGTGCTCAAGGCCCTACATCATTGTTAACCCTGCTCACTTGGCCTGCCAAACATTCCATTTCCAAAAATGTGTCTCTTGACGTATCTTTGGAAATGGCCTTCTGTTATCGTTCCTTCAAAATGACAGCATGCCAGAAAAGAACAATTTCACAGGGAGTTTATTGCCGTTACTATCTTTAAACCAAGTAAGCTTTTTCAACGATAATTTTGTTAGTTACTTTTTGGATAGCTGCAAATGATCTACCAGGGGTGAGATTTGTCCAGAATTTTCCTGATTTCAGGATTTTTTTGTCAGGATTTTTCCTGATTTCAGGATTTTTGTCAGGATTTCCCCCTGATTTCAGGATTTTTTTGGTCAGGATTTCCCCCTGATTTCAGGATTTTTTTGTCAGGATTTTTCTGATTACAGGATTTTTTGTCAGGACTTTTCCTGATTTCAGGATTTTTTGTCTGGATTCTTTTTGGTCAGGATTTTCCTGATTTGAGGATCTTCTTGTCAGGATTTTTTTCAGGACTTGTCCCAATTTCAGGATTTTATCTTAAGAGTCCCTTTGGAAATTCGGAATTCCTCAGGTTTTACCGTAACTTAGAAATGTTACCTCTATAAACGTTCACATGGAACATGTACTCAGTGACCCCCAAACCAGCCGGTATTTTTGGATGTTTCATTTTCACCCGATCTCACCCTGAATCTACTCTACCTTTAATCTTTTGTCAAAACCCGCCATGCCCCCCCCCCCCCACAGATGCGCATCCATCACAAGAGGATGATGGAAGACCGAGCCCTGCGAGAGGCTGAAGAGCGTCTGCGGATGCAGGCAGATGCCGCCAGGAGGGCCGAGGAGGAGGAACGCATCGCCATGAGGTCCGACATCTCCCTCCTAGAGATCCCCATGGAGCTGGCTGTCTGTATGGAGAAGCTGGCTGGATGGTCCAACCCCCACGGCGAGAGGAACCTGAACAAGACCGTGGGTCAGGTGGCTCACCAGGACTACATGTTCAGCTTCCCACTGGACGTGGACGAGTACCCGCTGTCCAAATACGTCCACATCTACTTCAAGGTATTTGTGTTTCTGTGTATATGTTCACCAGTTGCTCAGGCAGTACCCGCTGTCCAAATACATCCACATCTACTTCAAGGATCTGATACACCGTGCCCTCTGGAGACATGCACACATAGGGGAACAAAAGATTGTATACGTCTCCACAGGGCAATTTCTATAGATGAATACGTCTCCACAAGGTTTTCATGAAATAGATATATGAATTTTACTAAAAAACTAGGAATTTTCAAGGTATGTTGATCGGTCGCAAATGGTACAGTTTTAGAAAAGGGATACTAAGTCCGAATTTCAGCCAAGGAAATTAATTCTGGTTGAAATATGAGCATTTTGAAACTGTACTTTCAAACTCGAAAACTTAAGTACACGAGAACAAAGAAATGTCTCCACAAGGATACACATTTCAGTATATAGGTATTTGTGTTTCCGTGTATGTGTTCACCAGTTGCTCAGGCAAATCAGGCCATAAGGGTTGTGTGTGTGTGTGGGGGGCCGTCACCGCGTTATGGGGAAGCTTTTTATTATAAGGCCAATTAGGACCGAGGTATGGGGACTTTCTGCTGTCCCCACAGCATCTTCAGTCCCCGTAGTACCATGGGACAACTTGTGTGTAGTCTCCACAACTGTGTGCATTTGTTTATGGTATAAATCGAGGACACACACGTGCGACATCATCGGTGAATCGAGGACAGGAACCAAATCGAGGACGACCTCGATTAGAAAACGTGTACAAAACCAATGAGAGCTGTGGCGGAAAAGTAAAAGTACAAACAAAGGAAAAGGGAAGAGGAACAAAAGAAAATCCTTGATTTACTCTATAAACAAACGTGGGTGGTTGTGTGTGTTCATTGGCTAGTCCTATTAGCATGGAGAACAGACTTTTACAAGACCATAGACGTTCGCTTATTTTGAGGTTTATAGGCAAACAATACATTTGAAAGTAATTTTCAGAGCCAATGCCGATGACCTTCCTTTAAATTTGGTGGTAAAGGCTGAGTGACCCACTCTCCAACAATAAATTATTTTAGAGGCATGGTCGTTCAGATTCAAACAATGAATGCAGCAGGTATAAATGAATGACTAGGTTTACCGTATTTTCTACAATCACTTGTCATTTGATGACTAATGATGTCAATATAACATGTACACATCGGAATCAGGGCCAATGGTGTTCTTAAATCCAAGTCAATCATGAGTCAATCACAGTCCCAAGTCAAGTGACGCGCTATTCAAACAAACTTTGACAAATGCATTCTTTTGTCACTGAAGTTCTGATTTCCATGTGAGATTTGACTCGTGCTTGACCTGCCATGAGCTCTGTGTATTGTGAATACCGTATTCTGATTTCACAACCGATTGCCGATCTCCCATCCAGACTCCTCATTTCGGTGCCGCCATCGAGCCCATCAACACGGGCTTCCACAAGCTTAATGAGATGGAGGACCAAGAGGCTGTAGCCATCTTCAAACTCATCCTGCGCTTCATCTTGGAGGAAGGGCTCAGTAAGGACAGGGAGCTGCTCATCGGCAACTACATCGTCCAAAAGGTACCGCTGACAATACTCCGTCCATCTCAGACACCTAGGGTTGATTTTCTATGACCCAACTCCTACAGCGTTTTGGCCTGGACCATTTCTAAATCCAGCAAAAAAATCCTCACCTGTGTAGGAAATTAATGATAAATGTTTTGCATCAAGCCTTATGTGATGCAATTGTGACTGGGCTGGGCTCTATACCTTTACGACCCGTTCAAGTGGTGGATTTAGGATATTCCAAGGGTTTTGGGGAGGGGGGGGGGTGGTACTGTTTTACACATTAGCATTTCAGATGATGAGGATTTATTCAAAACAAATAACGAAAGTTTCACATTCGTGCAGTATTGGAAAGAATAATTTCATTCGGTGGCAGATGGAATGTTCCGTTCAGTTCCACTTTGGCTTCACCTCCTGGAATAGAGCTTTCCATCTGTCACCACATGAAATTATTCTTACCATTGCACTCATAAACATTCCTTATTCATTCACTGAATGTTTATGTTTAATCCTCTGAAACCTGATGGCTTTTGTAGGACCAGGGAGGGTTGTGGTAAATCATATTTACAAGCAAAGATGAAGCTATCAATATTAAGCTTTATTCTTCCTCTGTGTCATTTCTCGCAGGGAATCGGCAACAAAGCCCTACGGGATGAGATCTACTGCCAGCTCTGCAACCAGACCTGGAAGAATGCCGCGCCCCAAGCCCAAGAGAGAGCCTGGCTGCTCATGGCTAACCTGATGAGTGCCTTCCCACCCTCCAAGAGATTCTACAAGTATCTCCTCAAGTAAGTGTCCCTGCTTTTTTTTTATTTGCTGTTGCAATGACAGTTTTACTCCTGGCGCAAAGCAAAAGTGACTGTGTAACACATTTCAATTTTCAGATTTCACCCTGAATGCTTTGTAACATCATTTTTGAAGTTTTTGAACCAACCAGTACTCGAATAGTTTTTTTTCATATGAATGTAGCATCTTCACGCAAATGGATTGCACATGAGTATGGTCACTTTGCAGGAACGGATATTTTTCATTTTTACTGCTGGAGTCCGTATTTCTACACTAGATCTAAATTTTCAAGCTTGTGCTACAGAACATTTTGTCGCGTCAGTGCAACAAAGTCGTAGCTCCATTCTTTAAGAAAGTTGTATATCGCGGGAACACGCTCAGTGCAACAAGGTCGTATCTTGACGTCCACTGCTTTGTGTGTACATCCTGGTTATTTTAAGCGAGATACGACCTTTTGGCAATCTGAAACTCGCGTTTTGTGTTCCTGCCATTTTAGGAGATACGACTTTGTTGCATTGACGCGACAATTTAAAATTGTCCGTACTGTAAATGTTTAAATAGAGTAGCAAGTTCGATCAGTAACTGTGGTTTAGCAACGTTTGACTAACTTCATCGAACATACTAGTCAGCAATGGTTTGACTGGACTAGTGGAGTATACCAGCCTTCAAAGGTTCATCGTATCACAATCTACAGCAGGAAGCCATGACAGTGATGTTCTGTGATGACCGAATTTCGACCAGGGATCATTTGTTCTTTTATATTAGCATGCAAGCACACTTAATGTCATGAATAAGTCACCATCAACCAGCGCTCCTCGATGAAAATTGTTTCAACTTCATACCATCCCTGGATTCCAATAGAGAATGTTGGCATCTTCACACCAGGGCCATATTTCATGGCTCTGCTAACCACAGAATTCCGCGCTTACGATCACCATTCTGTGCTTACACCGCTAGCAGACAAATTCCGTGCTAACCCTGTAAGCACAGAATCCTTAGATACAGGATGTACGCATGCGCACAAGCTGAAATTCCTTGTTAACCCGTGAAATACGCTTATCGTAAGCAGGGAATTTTCTGCCACAGTAAGCAGGGAATTTTTTGCTAACGGTAAGCAGAGCCTTGAATTTGGCCACAGATGCCTTACTCACAATCCTGCTTATTCATCTGACTATTTTTCTCATCATTTCTCATAATATTTTGCAAAAGTTGAAGAATAATTCCCCGGAGCTGGGTTTGAAGCTGTGACCTCCGGATTGCCGTTCTGGCAACATTAGCAATGCTGCAAGCATGGAAACATTCAAGTTTGTTAAAAAATTGTTCAATTTTTGAGAAAAAAAATATCTTTCTCCTCAACTGACAAAAATTATCTCAGGTATGTCTCAGATCACGCCTGGGACGGCTACAAGTCCTACTGCCACCAGAAGCTCCTGCTCTGCGACACCCAGGCCCTGGAGTTCCTGATCCCCCGGACCTACCCGCCGTGCTTCCTGGAATGGAAGGCCAACCGTCAGCGCTGCAACATGGCCCTGGTTGCTGAGCTACCTGACGGGGAGGAGGTCACCGTCATGGCCGACTCGTGGAGCACGGGGGAGGACTTTGCCAGGAGTGCGCTCCAGAAAAAGTGAGTTGACTTCATTGTGGTCTTGAGTAACTTGTTCTTTTAAAGCTAATCCTCCAGGGTATTTTGGCTAGAAAACCTACAAAATGCAGCAACATGCAGCATTTAAGTGACAAGCCTGCCCAGTGCAGCAAGATCCATCAGGCCAATAGTCTCAAGGCCAAACTGCCTCAGAGTCTGTGGTCCCCGAACGTAGCAGGATACAACTGAGGCATTGTTCTACATGGGACTAGCTCTCATTGTCTTGGAAGTTATGCACCAGTGTTGGTAGCTGAATGCATCAAAGTGCACCAGACTTTTCCACCTGATGCACTGTGTTGCGTCTGGCAGGGTTAGGGTTAAAGGAACTAAATTGTCAGGTTATTATTAGCCAGTTAAAGCCAGAGGACGTGGAAACACGATCTGGCAATGTATATTGTCAGGGGCGGGTGACGGGTTAAATCGTTAAGCTTTCCCCGAGTCTCTGGCAGTGGGTATGTATACACATCAGTTGCTCTATTGGTCTTGTACACACTGTGTGTTAAAAATGAATTTGGCCGCTGTACACGTACCATAGCAAATATCGCTCTGTGGCAGGGCCTCGGAAAGAAAGGGTCTAATACTTGTAATAAAAAAAATATATCAATCTTTTGGGAAAAATCATGCAAGGAAAGAGGCTTCTGTGAATGGCATCTTCCACTTTGCAGACTGTGTCAAAGTCCCTTTGCCTTGAACAGTACAATCTTTCGTCAAATGATATCCAACCCCCACCCCCCTCCCCCTCCCCCTCCCCACTCTTGAAATGTCTGGTAGTTGCTAAATTTCAGGAAAAGATATCTAGCAAATCTTGTTTGATTTTTAACACCCTGACATCGTTTGTGTTCTCCAGGGGAATCACCAAGGCCTGTCACGGCTGGTCCGTCTACGTGATGGAGGACAAGACTCGCTCAGAGCTCTCGGGCTATGACTACATCATGGATCTCATCTCCGAGATGGAGATCCCCCCCGACTTTCCCGTCCGCGAGTCCCAGTTCCTGGTCTCCTCCGAAACGGTGCACGACAGGTTGCCCAATAGAAAGTTCAAGGTGCTCCGAAAGTGAGTTTGTTTTGATTATTTGGATAATGTGGAAGTATTTAGCTGTGGACATCAGCTCCCGATTTCACGAAGCGCTGCGACGTGTCGCAACTCAGTGACGACGTGTAAAACGTTGCAACTCGCAACGCGTCGTATCTTCCATTTCACGAAAGTTGCGATGTGTTGAACGCGTCGTAAGTTCCTTGACAACGGCTCAAAACACGTCGCAAGTTACGAAGTGTTGAGTGGTCATCGCAAATTAAGAAGTCATTTCTAAGCCCGTTTTATGCCATAATCATTACATTAATGAGATTATAATACTGAGGCAATGTGTGTAAAGTTGTAAATAGAAAATTCATTGAATAATTATGAATTAGACTGGAATATTGGAGATGAAATTTCAAAGTAGCTATACAGACCAATGAGAGCTTGGTTTCCTTCAAAATTGCATCGCACGGCCGCCATTTTGTTTTACGTTTTAACAAATTTCGAGCTGTGATCCGACACTTCTTTGTTGAATATCGAACGACTATTTACTGTGCGCTGACTAAATACATAAAACAGTCACCGAGTTTTGCTATAAATACACCTACGACTGGTCGCACTTACGACGTGTTTTGTGAAATGGATCACAGGACGCGTCGCAGCGCTGCGATGCATCGTAAGTTACGAAGAGTTTGATGAAATCTGGTGCTGCTCAACAAATCATCATGTCTCTTCGTTAGTCCATACATTTGTTAGTTAGTTAGTGACAAACGGCAGCCACGTCTCAATGACAGGCCATAATCTGGGGGACAATAAAAATTGTCCAGACGCAAAATTCAATTAATGAAAAAAATTATCATTTTTTTCCCACCAGTAATTTGGCTCAGATTGACGCCTTACTGGAGATGGACCCCGCGGCCCTGAATGCCCACATCCCTCCCCCGCCCACTGGGCCCCCTCCACCCGTACCCAAGACCTCACCCAGCAAGCCACCAGCCCCTCCTGCGCCCCCACCACCCCCGCCACCCACCGTGGGCAGCGGCTTGGGGGTCGAGTCCAGGCAGAAGAGACCGTCGACTAGCTCCAGACCTCGGAGTGAGGACGTGGAGTATGCGTCGACGTTCTTCAATCCCGGGGAGCGGTGGTCTAGTAAGCCTGTATTCCCCGGCAACATTCACATCCCGGAGCCGGACTATGACCTACCACCAGAGGAGGATCAGAGGTAATCACATTCATTTTCCAAAATAAATATAAATAAATGAATAAATAAAAATTTTGACAGCAAAGGTAATAGGTGCGTAATATAAAAATTGTTTAACCAGTTAGTACCCTGTACCACCCCACGCATGTTTACGTTACATACCAAGTGTGGACATTCCATTGTTTTCGTGTAGTTAAGAAAAACCAGTGAAAAAAACTAATTTTTTTAAAATGTGAAAACTCTTTCAACCCAATTTTTTTCTATGATTCCCTTAGTGTTTCTCTTCATTCTGCCACGTATAAACCTAACCCCAAAATGCCTCTAAACCTGTTTTCCAGAAATGGGGAAACACTGTGTGGACAAGTCCACACAACGTTGCCTCTACCTGGTTTATGTGGACACCTTTTGTTCGGAAGTCCACACAGTGAATGTAATGCCTACCCACACCACCCGTCTATTCTAATGATACATCCTTTCCTATGAACACAACACCAAATTAATATACAACATACATGTATAGTATCATATCGGGTATGGCTTGCCAAGGGGCAGTCAACCAGTTGGAGCTGGCTCTTAAACTGTTTAATTATAAACAAGAATTACACAGATATTCAATGTAATTTAACAAACTCCCGAATAAACCCACTGGATTAAAAACCAGAGATAAAACTCCATGAGCAAAAACTCTGGAAAACCTTGTGGTTGCCAGCAAAACAAAACGTTTCAAACGTTTACCCAAAGCTATTTTTAAAGCTGATCCATTCTCAGTTTGTTCTTAACTGAACTGAAGCTAGAATGATCCCACCACGCCTTTGCCTTGTACGTTCTGCGTACGTTCTATGCACGTTCTTTCCTATGCAAATTTGACACGCCCCTTTCTACCCTTATGCAACACCGGCTCGCAGAATTCATTCCTCACCCGATTAGACACATTTTGCCTGCTGCACAACCGTAACGCAGGCAAAGATAAATCCTGTTACTCCCTTTTATACAGATCAGATCTTCAGTCTATGCTTATTGTTGTCTATTTTATTCCACCCTCATACTGTAACCGCTTGAGAAAAAAGAGGTTCCAACACAGTGAACAATGCACAAGAGAAAACAGTGTACAAAATGACTCTGTGGTGAGGTTGGTTGCTATTTTTAAAAATCTAATTGAAGGCAACTATTAAAGCTATAGTCCATCATTTGCAGCCATCCGAAAAGTACCTGGCGTAATTATTGTTGAAAAACAAACTTGGTTGAAAGATAGTAAGGGAATTAAACTCCCTGTGAAATTATTCCTTCTGGGAAGCCTTCATTTTGAAGTAATCAACGAAAGAAGGCATTTCCAACGGTGATTCTTAAGAAGCACCGTAGGAAAATTTAAATTAGTAGTTCGTTTTGTTATTCAGCGCAGCGCGCACAAGTATTGGAACGACGCACACGCGCGCGCGGTTGTTATAATTCGTCGGATCAGTGCGCTACGTCGCGTATAGCTGCAATTCAAAACAATTCAAAACATGATTCAGTAACTTTTGATTTGAAATTGAGATCTTAGAATGCTGTTTTTCTCGGAATGTACAGCTGAACCTTAGCTGAAACTTCATCAGGTTAGTTGTTCAGTATCCTTCATTAGATTTTGAACCCTTTTGTTGCTTCAAACAAACAAAATGCACAAATTACAAATGATGGACTATAGCTTTAAGTAATATAATTTCTTATATTTTCCATAGAATTGTTTTGATATACATGTGTAATGAAATATATTGTGAAACTTTTTTTGTTGTATTTCCAGGTACAATGTCTATGACGACACTGATATCGGTCCATCGAGCCCCATCCATCCAACCTTGAACTCAGATGGCAGCGATAACGAGAGTGACCAGAATCACAACGTGGCCCGACAGATCAGGGCTGTGTCGGTACCCAACAGTGGCTCCAGACACAGACTGGACGACTACGTGGACAGGTGGGTTGTCTCTCAAGCCAAATCCATCTTGAGCAATCACAAGCAATCATAAGTCAATCACAAGCAGTCATAAGTCAATCACAAGCAGTCATAAGTCAATCACAAGGAATCATTAGCCTGTCATGAGTCAATCACAGGTCAGTCGGTCTCAATCTGTGACAAAGATTCCTTTGTTTTTGTTCATGCCCTGCGACATGTGATTTGAATTGTGACCCGGTCAGTGCTGGTTTTGTGATTGACATGATTACAACTCTAGTGATACTTTCTTGGCTTTTAGGCATTCAATGTGTGTGCTACAGTGAGTAGCAGCAATTGTTTATTGCATTACAATTTTTCATGGTTAGGGCTTCAATTTGTGTACTACATTGAATAGCAGCCATAACCATAGCCAGCCGTATTTATTGCATTACAATTTTTCATGGCTAGGGCTTCAAATTGTGTGCTACATTGAATAGCAGCCATAACCATAGCCAGCCGTATTTATTGCATTACAATTGTTCATGGCTATGGCTTCAATTTGTGTGCTGCATTGAATAGCAGCCATAACCATAGCCAGCCGTTTTTATTGCATTATAATTATTCATGGCTAGGCTTCAATTTGTGTGTTACATTGATAAGCAGCCATAGACAGCCTTGTTTATCACATTGCCACTTTTCATGGCTAGGCCTTCAAATTTTGCCATTAATATGCTGCAGTGAATACCCGTAGCCACAGCCACAAAAGCCTAATTGATTGCCTAAACTCACAGCACATATCTTTCTCCTACTCACCACACAGGCTGTTCAATCCAGTCCTTGAGATGAACGGAGCTGCAGACCTCGCCAATGCGGCCAAGGTCAACAAGGCCCTGAGGGGCGGGGGGAGAGGCCCCGCCCCCAGCCCCACCCCTCCTCCGTTGTTTGTGCCTCCTCCCCCACAGCTGTCAACTGGTCTTCCACCCTCACCAATGGCTATGCCAGGTTCGGAAAATTAATATTTCTATATTAATTGTTCAACAATTTTTGTGACAGTAGGCATATGATTGTACATCATGAAATCACTATCCATACTAACATCTAAACATATTTGAAAAAAAAAGGCATGTCAAAAACAGAAATCCTCATTTCGTACTAACATCAGTAAATCAACATCACTGACAGGAATTTATAATAAACATACTTTCCATCATATTTCATATTCCAAGCATTATCTCTAATTCCGTCGATACAAATCTTCATGCTTACTAACAACATATTGTTGGGTGCCTGAAAGAAGGTCAAATTAGATTTTTTGGGGGTAATCGATTAAGCTTGGAAATATCTTTCAATTGAAATACATATTGTCTCAAGGGGCTACCTCATTCTGACGTAATTAACAGTAAACAAAAGACGGAAGGAGGTTTTTCATTATTTGTGCCCGGCAAAATTTCGTAAGCGTGTAGTTATAATGTAACAAAAAATGTTCCAAGCACCCTAACGTCCCACTTAAATGGGTACGCAAAGCCAAGTTTGTTCCCGGCAAAAGGACGTTAGGATTTAACATGCCGCTTAAGCACACGTTTAATGCAGGGTGGATTCATGTTTAAGGCAGATTGAGTTCCCGGTAAAAGCACAATATGAGTTTAATTGTTAACGACATTCATGAGCCCAAATTTCAGCCTGATGTGATTTTTCATTTAGAAATGGGAGCAGAAAACCTTTCACCTCGATTATCTCCAAAAGTGCTTTTTGCGTGCCGGGCTGCTAACGTCCTTTTCCTTGGCACACAACGATATCAAATCAACAAACAAAATCAACTTTTTGGTAGCCAAACAAGTGACCACAGCTCTCAGAAACTCTGTCTTTGACAGTTTGCTTTTTTTTATTTTCTCTTTTTCTTGATTTTTGTGACTGTATGAACTTCAACTTCTAGCTGAGTCTCACCGGTCACCCGTTGCTTCTGAAAATCAAGCACCTACTGATCGGGTCCATGATAACCCATCACGTGATCATGGCATTCCTGATATCCCAGTTCCTCCACCGCCACCTCCAATCCCCGGATCACGTCGTCCTCTTGCTAATAAACCAGCAACTTCCAACCCGATAGCTAATATCCAAACTCCTCCCCTCTCACCTCCTTCCAAACCACCACCTGCTAATCAGTCACGTGATATTCCAGCTCCTCCCCCACTACCCTCTCATGGCCCAGCACCTGTCAAGCCAGCACCCGATACCCAAGTTCGTCTCCCACAACCTAATCATCCATCACCCTCCATCGCAGTGCCTACCAACCCAGAATCTATTTCCCCAGCAACCATTAACCCAGCACCCATTACTCCAGCACCTGTTACCCCAGCAGCCAACTCAGCACCTGTTACCCCAGCACCCATTAACCCAGCACCTGTTACCCCGGCGCCTGTTACCCCAGCATCCAACCCAGCACCTATTAACCCAGCACCCATTAACCCAGCACCTGTTACCCCGGCACCTGTTACCCTAGCATCCAACCCAGCACATGTTACCCCAGCACCCATTAACCCAGCACCTGTTACCCCAGCATTCAACCCAGCACCTGTTCCCCCAGCACCCAACCAACCACCTGTTACCTTGGCACATGCCATCCCGGCTCCTGACACCCCAGATTCTTCCTTCCGACCAGCTTCTGGTCCAGCGCCATTCACCTCTCTACCCAATTACCAACACCCTTCTAGCCTAGTGCATGCTAACCCAACACCCGTGAACCCGACATCTGCCCTCGGGACGCCTGTTAACCCCGCAACTGGTTACCAGGCTCCAATCAATTATTACTCGGCACCTGTTAACCAAGCTACTAATTCGGCATTTGTTTACCCAACATCTACTAACCAAGGCGCCACCTATCCAGGCTCAACACCCTTCACACCTGGTTTTGCCAACGCCCAGGCAACACCCATGCAGACTTTTGCACCAACCTCTATGCCTTCCGTGTCAGGTACGGGTCAGCTTACTAACCCTGAAATAACTCATTTCATGCCTGTTTTATACCTTTCAAACCAGTCCATCGATCTCTTAAAAGCCAGAATGGTAAGGAACAACACTTTAGGACCGACAAACACTAGCTTTCTTTAAAGATGTAAAAAAAAAAAAAAAAAAAAAACTAGTAATGATTATAATCACCATATCTCACTTATTGTAACCTGGAGCACTGTGTTGTCAAACAGCATCGTAGCAGTCACCAAATATCAAAGTCTACAGATGGATCGTTAGAAGTAGCCAGATATTCACCCTAACAAAGTATCGATTGAGTAGAAGTAGCCTAACCCTAACCGTTGTTTTACTAACACATGACGTAGGTTTCCCCTCCATGGCTACCACTCCTGCGTACACACCAGGAATGTTGCAGCCAACACTGCCCACTGTACCGGCCCACATGCCCGCCGCAATGCCGGCCGCAATGCCCATGACAGGTAAAACAATTAGATGTACGCCGCCTTTCTGTCTTTCTGGACCCCTTTCAAACAAGCATGAGCACACTTTGTGTTACTTACAAGCCAAAACATGTTCAAACCAACAATCTCCAGGGTGGAACACGAAGTAAGGAATTCCTGCTTATGAGTGAAAAAGTCTTACCACTTAACGTTCATGCTTGTGAGAATACTAGACATCATGGGTTGTAGTAACTCACAGTAATTCTGTTGTCACTCATGACAAAGTGCATTATTTTTCCAAAGGCACCTCAGTTGAAATTGTTTGCACTTTAAGAAAAACTGTAGTTGTCTTCTTTAACAAGACGAAGCTTGCCTTAAAGATATAGCGTAGATCATTTGTCATTCGTGCATGTTTTTATTTGAAGCAACAAAAGTGCTCAAAATCTAAACACGGGTGCTTAACAACTAACCTGATGAAGTTTTAGCTCAGTGAATGCTGTATATTCTGAGAAAAAAATATTCTAGGATCTTGATTTCTGGACCCGAAAGTCTCAGTTTAGGACATTATAAATACTCATTGACTCTGTCAGTTGGTCAGTCTGTCAGTCAGTCTGTCAGTCAGTGACTGAGTAAGTCAGAAGTCAAAAGGCAGGCCCTTGATTTCCAGCCAAACCTTTCAGGAACCTAACGGTGGACTCCTGCCCATTTTAAACTCCTAGTGCCTATGATGCCACACCAGCCTACCCTTTTCGAGGCAGCCATACAGCAGCAGCAACAGCAGGCTGCTGCACAGCAAGCTGCTGCCCAACAAGTAGCGGCTCAACAGGCCGCTGCACAGCATCTTGCGGCCCAGCAGGCTGCCTCACAGCAACTTGCAGCTCAACAAGCAGCTGCACAACAACTGGCAGCACAGCAGGCAGTAGCCCAACAGGTCGCTGCCCAGCAAGCGGCGGCTCAGCAGGCAGCGGCTCAGCAGGCAGCGGCCCAGCAGGCAGTTGTACATCAGGCGGTGCAGCAGCACCAGCAGCGACAGCAGCAAGAGGCCATGATGCAGCACCAGGCAGCTTATCACCAGCAGACAATAATGGTAAGTGACCTATACTTCAATTGCTGCATTTTCTTTTCTTACTTGGTAGAACGGACCCCTCCTGCCAATTAGGTCACAAAATTAGATCAGCTGACCACGATACCTCAGTCAAACTCTGTCACAAGCACCATGAGAAGCCATATACAAGCTAAAGATGGACGGTTTATAGGCAGTGCTGGTTTGTGGTTGGGCATACTATAATAATAATAACATCGTAGTCACATATTTACCAATAATTAGGTACTCAAGGCGCTGGAGATTATATCTATTATATTAAGGTAAGTAAAAAATATGAGAAATATGAGACCCATTATGTAGCACCTTATAATGGTTTACAAGGTGTTGCGGCGCATATTGCAACCACTGCTTTAACACCGGGGCAAACCCCTTCTCAAGTCTACAACTTCCCGTTGTGGTGAGATAAGTTTCAGAATCTTTCAGATAAGTACTACCTGTCAAAAAAACATATCCTACTTTTCATCCTAAATAACTCTGTTGTTTACCAATGGAATTAAACCAAAATTTCAGATCATGTTAACAAGGCATGACAGATTTTATGGAGTGAGTTTCATCAGCTTTGTGCAAGATGGTGAGATTTAATTGCCGTACCGAAAAAAATTACTCAATTTCAGAATGTCGATGCAGCACTGGAGATGGTGGTTGAAGACGCGTGCTGCGGCTGAAAGCTTTTGAAGGAATGCAGGATCACCCCTGGTGTCATTGCACACCTCCTCGAAGGTGTGTTACGCCTAATGATCAAGGAAGTGTGCAATGACATCAGGGGTGATCCTGCATGCCTTCAGAAGCTTTTGGCCGCAGCATGCGCCTACTGCCACCGTCTCCAGCGCTGTATTGACATTGGAGGACGCCAAGTCAAAAGTGGCAGATTCTTAAATTTTAGTTTAAAGAGGTTGTGGAATGCTGAAAGCTGTTTTGTTTTTTATATTTTTTTTATTGTAGAGTAGACCCATATATATCATAATGACAAAGTCCCATTCTTTTGTAATGTGCGTTTATAAAACTGAAATTTATCGAGTTATTTGTTGGTCGGCGAGCGCATAATTAAAATCAACAGTCGTCGGGTTCTTCGTAAAATGAGAAAAATCGTGACGTAATAAACAGGACTCGTTTATACTACGCTGCATCGGGAGTCCTGTTTATTACGTCAGGATTTGCTATGTTTTGTTTGCTGCCCCCAACGACGACTTTTACACAAATTGCACGTTCGAATCGAAACAGGACCTGAAAAACAGCTCTCAAAAGAACCTTTTGTACTCATTTCATGACAGACACAATAGTCGTTTTTATTTCGTCACACCTTAGGCTACATATACACGAAAAATGAGGGAAATGTCTTCAAGCATTCCACAACCTCTTTAATTCCATTGGTATACAACAGAGATATTAGGATCAAATGAAGGACAGGTTTTTATTGAGACGTAGTACAAACTGCAATTTGTGCCAAACCTGTTGAGAATATCATATTCAGAAGAAGGGTTGCTGTTACCTTGTGGGAGTATCCTCAAGCATTTTATGTCGTGATCCTTCGTACCCTACACGTGTATAAATTCTACTCATTGAATGGAAATTGAATCTCGGCATCATGGTCACCTAGATTTTTGACGTCCAAGGGTTGCATTTTACTGGAACATGCTGATGAATAAGGATTAACACTAAATACAGTGTTTTCTTTCTTGTTTCATTTCTCAATAGGCCCAGCAGGTGCAGTTGCAACAGCAGCAACAGATGCTACAGGACATACATTCAAAACTCTCCGCCACCACACCCGCGTCTGATACCGGCTCTCTGAAAAGTTCCCTGGCCAAGAGCCACGATGCCCGGAATCAATCATCCAGTAAGGGTAGTCCACCGCCATCTCCACTGAGAAAGAAGAACCTCCACTTCTCAAACCAAGTGGTGAACATCCCCAGAGAGTCTTCCGAGCAGGCCAACACTGGCCAGCTGAGATCAGAAGTGCCTCGATCCCCAGTCAAAGGCCCCAAACCGGGCTTTGTTCCCGCTCCCCCTCCCCTCCCACCGCCGCCCCCATCCCCACCATCCGAGTCCGAGATGGTCAAGGTCCGGACCCGCTCCGGGAAGGTGGTGCCGCTGAATGACTCTTACCGGGCCAATACCGTCCGAGTCGGCCGGGTAGTCTGGCCTCCGAGGAAGGAAGAGGAGCTGAAGTCTTCCGGTGTTCAGATTGATTGGGATAAGGACGCCTTGGCATCAGACGCAGGCCAACTGGACGAGCAAGTAGTCTCCAGGAATTACCAGCCTACCAGTGAGATCAAGAAGGCTATCCACGCAGCTCACAAGTCCAAGGGGATGGCTCCGGAAGCCTCCCTACAGACTCTAATCAGCGCAAGAGCTAAGCAGCTCCAGGGCAAATCGGAGGAGACCACTGCCAAACCCGTCCAACGTCCCCGTCCTTTGAAATCCGCACTCAAGACCCCTCCGCCTGTCAAGCCCAAGAAATTGACTCCCCGTCCCTCCCCGAACAAACTAAATGTCCAGGATGTGCACGCCGAAGCCATGGCTAAGATCCTAGCTAGGAAGGCTACCCTTGATCGGAGGAGCCCTCAGAGTCCCCCCGTCACCCCAGCGCCTCCACCCCCACGCACGGCATCCAAACCCCTCGGCAAAACACCCCCTGCTCCCCCACCACCCCCTCCACCAATCTCAACTATTCCATCCATCCGTGCCAAGGCAGAAGCCTTCCAACAGTCTCAACCTGTCGCCCGATCGGAGAGCAAGCGGGAAGGTCCCAAGAGGATCATTCCCAAGAAACAGGAAGTGCACAATGAGGCTATGCACATCTTGCAGTCACGTGGCCATCGTGTGAGGACCAATACAGATTACGACAAGGTATGCATCATTCTAATCACCCTCTTTCAATCCTGACATTCTTTTTATAAGCCCTCAAAAGATGTTAATTACTTTCTTGTAAAGATGAAGTCTAATAATGCAATAGAGATTCACCACGCTTCAACAATATCTTGGAACATTTTTTTTTTTCAAATACAAGGATTTGCCCAGTTTCTGTACATATTTGTCAATCAGTGTTTGAAAGTCTGTCCGGCCTAGTTTGTCTTAAATCATCATGGATGAAGAAAAAAAAAACACCAGAAATTCACGGATGAGATTGGATTGAGAGTAGAATTTCAGGTGGAAGGGCATGAAACGAATGTAAGCAGGGAAGGGAGGGGAATTGGAATGCCGATGACAGACGTTACAGCAACTGCAGTAGGTGATAGTATGGTTTGGTTTGTCTGACAAGGCAGAGGCGGGGTTGGTTATTAAGTGGGCTTTAATGAACTGGGCTTCCATAATGTAAAGTTAAAGGCAGGAAGTTCGAGCCCTGTAAGAGTTCTAATCAATCATCTGAACATGAATGAAGGTCTACTCCATTTCACGTGAATGAAATTCTGTTTCATGAGAATATTCCACACATCTTTCCAACTAGGCTTTCCAACAATTCAAGATTAGTGACAAAACTATGGATGTGAGTATTTGTTGGCATCTTGTACGCTGCTTGCTTGCTCGCTTGCTCGCTTGCTCGCCTGCCCGCTGCATGCTTGCATGTCTTGTTGTTAGCGACACTGCCCCACCCCACATTTGTCAGAACTTCAACACACCCTCAAGTACTACTTGAATGCATTCTGTATGTCATTGTATGTTGCCTGCATTAGCCTGTTACATGTTTCACAATGTTGCACACGTATGCATACAAAATTAAGTAACTGTGCAGAAGTCGGAAAAAAAGTTGGCCTAATACAAGCAGTTGATTCAAAAATTTTCTGGGAAGTATCATTTTTTCTTGGTATGATACCGGTAAATTTAACATTGTGCATGAATTGTAATTTTCATTATCACAGTGAAACTAAATTATACTCCAACTGTTAATGAATGAACAAATAAAATCAATTGTAATGCTTATATAGCGCTTTCCATCGTATCAACTATCTCAAAGTGCTTTACAATTATTCCCCATTCATCAGGCCACGAGACCACGCGGCAGCCGATATCAGCGCTCAATCGGTCCTCTACCCTCACAGGTACCCGTCCATACTCCTGGGTGGAGAGAGGCAATTGTAGTTAAGTGTCTTGCCCAAGGGCACAAACCCCATGTTCCTGGCAGGGTTCGAACCCACGCATCATCCTACATCAGTCAAACGCCGTAACTATAGGACTATGGCATATTCTACAAATCAATTCATATTCACTTGTTTGGGCAACCACTGTTCTAAAGGCTTGAGAATTGCATAAACAGAAAAGTGACAATTTGTAAACCAAAATTTAAAGGTGATTTATTTGCATGTTTTTGATGTCATACTTTGATTACTTGGGGAATTGAATTGATGTGAAAGTTGTGAAAATATATTTTTGTCCTTGGTTTCTGATACCAACACTGTATTTAGATTGGGCTCAAATGTTTCCCTTTATACATGTAACACCAGCTGTCCTCCCCTTGTCCCAGACACTAGTATGCTTATTCATATACCATGCATTTCACAAGCACATATGAAATCTTCGTATACCTATTTCCTCGCAAACGGCGATTTTGCAAGTTCAGCATGTATTCCCTCTTATGGGAATCACAACAGCACTGATTTTTTCCACTAGCCTACTAGGCAAGTAAATATCATTGACTTCCTGATGGCAGGTTTTAGTTGTCGTTTTTACAGCAGTTTTTAGTTGTCGTTTGCTCGACAAGGATAAAAGTGAGCTCTGATTCATGAAAGAAAATGCCTAGTGTAACTTGTTCACGCATACACTCGCTATGTAATACAACATGTACCTAGAGTGTCCTGTAGTATGTTTGCCTGTGTTTGAATTTTATACTTTGTCTATGGCTTGAAACTGCATACATCACTCACAATTCAATCACAGGTCAGTCAACAACTCAGTCACAAGGCAATTAGGATACAAGAAACAATAGTTTTGACTAGCCTTTCACTGGTTGACTTTTGATTGACATAATAACTTCGAGCATGAAAGTTTGTTTCCAGTCCCATCATTATATCAAGTAAATAAAAGATACCTTTTTGGGACTTGAGTAACAGAGCTCGTATCAGGAGCTTGCGACACCATCACGGTGTCTTTATCAACTGGTGTTGTTGAGGCCCTCATGTGACCCGTCACGTGACCAGGCTTGGTCACACAACAGGAGGCGGCCGTACACGTGGGCCAGCTCGTACCCTCCATCTCTGTTCATGTGGGGGTGGTGCCTGCAGATTTCCACAGCTTCACAGATTTTGCGTTTCCAGAGGTCCTCCTTCCTGGCGTGACGGGTCACACGAGGGCCTCAACAACGCCAGTTGATAAAGTGATGGTGTCGCAAGCTCCTGATACGAGCTTTGTAACTCAAGTCCCAAAAAGGTATCTTTTATTTTGCTTGACATAATAACTTGTTTGGGCCACCACTGTGATGACTTGTTATGACTTGTTATGACTCGTGATGACTTGTGATGACTTGTGATGACTTGTGATGACTTGTGATGACTTTATTACAACACTGGTAAACGTCACCGTCTGCATTTGAAACCGCAGGAAGTGGTGGTTCCCCTCATGTCCCCGCCGGATGTTGAGCAGCTGGAGTCCCCACGCACCAAGGCCTTCCCGTCCATCCCTGATGTCTTCTACACTTACAACCGAGTGCGCTGGCGTCTTCACATACGCAAAGAGGTCAAAATAGTTTGTCCTTGTTTGTCCTTGTTTTTTTTCGTGGTTAAACCTACATGCACGCCAAACAAAGTCTTTAAGCTCACTTCTGGTTATAGAGGTCTATTAAGTGTCGGAGTTGGGGAACTTTATCCTCCTTAAAAAGGTGTGATTTTAGGTGAACAACATTTGTCTTGTTCTCATGCATATTTCCCAAACTTCCCGTGAAATTTTTGAAATGAACAAAAGACCTAAAAATCAGGTCCTCAAATGCAAAGCAAGATTGTTGGTGAACCTGCTTGGAAATTTAAGTTTAAGAACTAGACACAATACCCGGTAATTATAATGTTGAGTGTGTTGTTTATGTAGCACTTTCTACCAAAGCTAGGTCTCGAAGGCCATGAGACCACTTTTCTGCAACCGAGATCAGCGGTCTGGTCTCTACCCTCACAGGTACCCATGTATACTCCTGGGTGGAGAAGGGCAATTGTAGTAAAGTGTCATGCCCAAGGACACGCACCATGTTCCCCGTCAGGGTTCGAACCCATGCACAACGGCACACGAGTCAAACACTGTAACCCTTGGACAATGGCGCTCCGCATGGCTGCTCAGGACAGCCTTTCTCAGGGATAAGTTTAATCTTGCAAATTTATGTAGATAAGGAAGGGGTGTTCACGTATATTGGACACTGTGATTCTTTCTGTGTAAAAGAGTTTGTGGAGTTGTTTCCTTTTCTTCTGATTTGCAAAAACTTGAGGTCATTACTATTGTCACTGGACCCTGCAGTGTCATCTTGGGCATTGGTGACCTTTTTTTAAAAGTATATTTACGTTTTTTTGGGTCTTGTTTAACACAGGTGTTTACGCCTGGCGAGAGACTGGAGAATCCTATGGCCCAACAGCTTGTCTTCTATCAGATAGTGGCTGACACGTTCAGTAAGAGCTGCATCCGGATGAGTATGGAGGAGAAACGACAAGTCAAGGCCGTGCTCGGTGAGTGACTTCTGTCCTTTTGTGTCATTGTCACCATCAAAGCCATTGTCATCAGTGTCATTGTTGTAATCCCCATCACTGCTGTCAATATGATGTACAGAGAGTTGATTGTCATGCTCATTTTCATGGTCACGTGTGTCAGTTGTCATTGTCATTGTCATAATCTCCATCACTGTTGTCATTAAGATCTACGAAGACATGGTCATGAGCATTTTGTCACTTTTATTGTGTCATAATCTCCATGACTGTTGTCATTTTGATCTACAAAGACATCATGGTCATGAGCATTTTGTCACTTTTTTTGTGTCATAATCTCCATGACTGTTGTCATTAGGATCCACAAAGACATCATGGTCATGAGCATTTTGTCACTTTTATTGTGTCATCTCCATCACTGTTGTCATTATGATCCACAAAGACATGGTCATGAGCATTTTGTCACTTTTATTGTGTCATAATCTCCATGACTGTTGTCATTATGATCTAGAAAGACATCATGGTCATGAGCATTTTGTCACTTTTATTGTGTAATAATCTCCATGACTGTTGTCATTAAGATCTACAAAGACATCATGGCCATGAGCATTTTGTCACTTGTATTGTGTCATAATCTCCGTGACTGTTGTCATTATGATCCACAAAGACATCATGGTCATGGGCATTTTGTCACTTTTATTGTGTCATAATCTTTATGACTGTTGTCATTATGATCCACAAAAACATGGTCATGAGCATTTTGTCACTTTTTTTGTGTCATAATCTCCATGACTGTTGTCATTAAGATCCACAAAGACATCATGGTCATGAGCATTTTGTCACTTTTTTGTGTCATAATCTCCATCACTGTTGTCATTATGATCTACAAAGACATCATGGTCATGAGCATTTTGTCACTTTTATTGTGTCATAATCTCCATCACTGTTGTCATTATGATCTACAAAGACATCATGGTCATGGGCATTTTGTCACTTTTATTGTGTCATAATCTCCATCACTGTTGTCATTATGATCCACAAAGATATCATGGTCATGGGCATTTTGTCACTTTTATTGTGTCATCTCCATCACTGTTGTCATTATGATCTACAAAGACATCATGGTCATGGGCATTTTGTCACTTTTATTGTGTCATAATCTCCATCACTGTTGTCATTATGATCTACAAAGACATCATGGTCATGGGCATTTTGTCACTTTTATTGTGTCATAATCTCCATCACTGTTGTCATTATGATCCACAAAGATATCATGATCATGAGCATTTTGTTACTTTTATTGTGTCATAATCTCCATGACTGTTGTCATTAAGATCTACAAAGACATCATGGTCGTGAGCATTTTGTCACTTTTATTGTGTCATAATCTCCATGACTGTTGTCATTATGATCCATAAAGACATCATGGTCATGAGTATTTTGTCACTTTTATTGTCATCATTGTCATAATCTCCATCACTGTTGTCATTGTATGAACCTTTCTCTCTGCATTACCAAAACAAAACTCACAGTAACACTTGTATTTTGTATGTAAAAACAAGATGCCAAAATGACTACTTAAAATCCATAATTTTAGCCAAATTTTTTTTTTAGCCCAATAATACACTTAACCGTATACCATTTCACTGCTACATCCATCAAATGAAAGCTCTTCTTGTCTCTTTTAATTTTATACCACATTTGACGTTGTGATGCTTACAGTTTTGAAGATTAAATAAATTTTCCATTTTTCAGCCATGTCCACCTTCTCATTGAATTACCTAAACAATTTTTCTTATTTGAATATTTTATTTCACACTACAATTTACAATGCCAAATTTTACACCAGGTACGAAGAAAATTATTTTTAAAATATTACATCATCAAATCACATATTCACTTTACAAGTTAAATTTTTACAGTACACAGTAAATTCTTTATCATAAAGGCATGCAACTTTTCCTCGGATCGGCTGATTTCCTCGTTTTTTACTTCCCGTGAATGCCATTACAAATTGAAAAAACACTGTACAAAGTCTCGTATGGTTTGGAATTTCCTTGTTTTTTTCTAAATTCCAAGTTGCATGCCTGATCATAAGAACAAGGTTTGAAAAATGATAAAGGGTGATTTAAAAAAAAAAAAACGGAACCCAAACCCCCAAAATTATATTTCATATAATTTAAGAAAATATGTAGCACCAAACATTATAATAAACACAATGACCCTAAAACCTCTCTCGTCCAAAAATGTGATTTCAAGAATTGTTGTCACAATTGTCTTCAAACATCACCAGCGATAGAACCTCAGTTTAAAAGTTAAAAATATTCAAAAAAGTCCTTTTGAAGGCCCGTCTTTTAAAAAAAGGGGATTTTATTAATAATATTGTTTCGCCTGACCAGGGTAGTTAATAAAGATATTGTGTACTATGGTTGTTGACAGTTGTTGAAACAAATATTATGTGTCATTTTCTTTGTTGTTCCAAACAGTCAGAATACACAATAAACTGTTTTTTTTGGGGACGAAACAGGGGCTAGGGTCATTGCGTATTTGTGTTTAAATGGTGATATTCTTTGAACGAATTGAGAAATTTCAGTAATTTTTTCATCTAAAAGTAGCTTATGAATTTGGCTTTCCAGTCATTATTATGTTTGGTGCTACATATTTGTTAAAATATGAAATATATTTTTGGGGCTTTGGGTTCTGTTTCTTTTTTACTCACCCTGTATTTCAGTTCAGTTAAATAAATAATAACTAATAAATAACTTTTTTTTTTTTTTCGTTTGAATGTTTGCAGATGCTCACGGTGTCAACCAACAGAATGCTGCCCAGAAAAGCAAGATGCGTAAGGACGTCATCGAAATGGCCCGCAAATTTCCCCTCTACTTCTGCCGTTTCTTTGCCGTGACCGTAAGATCTTTGTTCATTTATTTTGGGAGTAGAAATTTAGAATAAGTAGTACTTTCAGGCCCGACTGTATGTAGCCTCATAGCTAAAAATTAACTGAGTTTACGTTAATAAGCAATCATAAATTAAGTTATGTTTCGGCAGTTTTCCCTTTTTTGGTTGCTTACTTAATATTGCTTGATAAAACATTTCTCGTGAGCCACATATGTACATAAGCGCTAATAAAATATGTTACACTTTAATCAAAGACAACGATATTAAAAGATACATTGATTGTTTACAATGTACAGGGTGTGTCAAAAAGATAGTGACCGAGTTGGACAAAAATGTTTACAATATAAGTGGATCCCTCCATGTAATAAAAATAACATAGGAATAAAGTACATACTATTGACTAGTAACTGTGAAAATTTCACGCAATTGGCGTACTTGATTTACAAGTTATTTATATTTGAGTACAAATATCACAAAATATTTAGCTGTCCACCACTGATCATTTACCAATACGCATTGATGAATACCCTTTAAATATTCATAAGATGAAATTTGCGTCGGGGTGATGTAAATTTAATATTAGGTTTTGCCCTTCACCGACGTATATTTTCATTGTGATACCCGCTGCTACATCAGATTCGAACCAGCCAACCGATCCCGTTAGCTTGGTGGTCAGGTGGTAAGATGTCTGCACTAGAAAGCAGGAGGTTGTGGGTTCGAGTCCCGCCCGAGTGATTTTTTCCAACTTTCACTCGGGAGGTAACACACTGAGTAAACAGTGTTAATACGCCGGCGAAGGGCAAAACCTAATACTAAACCCTATAAATACAATGAATGATCGAAAACTTGCAAAGAAAAACAGACAAAATCAGCATCATCGTTCCAGAGAAAAAGAATTGATTTGTTTCTCAAAATTTATACAAAACACACAATCTGACAGTAAAACTAAGGTTTCAGTTTTTACTCAAATGATTAAAATCTTATTTGTATTTGAATGCCTATGGGTAATCTCTGTTTCACACTCAGCTCAATAGTTTCAAAGCAATAAGCATGGACGCTGTAAAAATGGGTTATTTTAGTAAAACATGCATAACTTCAGATAGCATGGATCAATTTCAGTAATTCTTTTTTTTTCCAAAGAGTAGAAGAACACGCTCGTTTAATACATGCTTCACTGATGTGTCAAATGTGATTACTTTTTAATTGAAAAAAATAAATCATTAATCCAGGTCACTTTCTTTTTGACTCACCCTGCATTTACAAAGACATCGAGAAATATTTTAAATATCGCCTACATAAACTTTTTAATTTGTCAATAGTATTTTCACACGTCTCTATGATATTTACAGATGTGAATTTAAAAAAAAAATTTAAGTGGTTTGAAGTGCTAAATTTAAGTGATTTAAATTGTTAAATTTAAGAGATTTTATTTTTTTAATATTAGTGAATAAAATTTTTTTAATTTAAGTGATTTAATTTTTTGAAGGAAAGAATGTTGCAACCTGACGCCACTTCAGAGGTTGTGTACAAAGTCTATGGAGAGTCAAGAAAATGTTCAGTGTATTTCCTAACAAAATTGGAATGTTTCTCAGTCCCAGATTCATGTCTTATCATCATTTTTGCAATGAATGACTTTCATTGAGATGATATATGACGAAAAAAGTGGCGTCAGGTTGCAACATTCTTTTCGTTTTCTATTTATAAGTGATTTAAATTTAAGTGAATAAAGTGATTTCACTAATTTGTCCACAAACAGGGAGGTAGAAAGAATCGCCAAGTTGAGATTCTAGGGGTCTCGGAGAACGGCATCAGTTTAGTCAAGCGAGAATACGACCAGACCAGAGACCAGTTGACTCAACTAGACCACATCAGGTAAGTCCAAAGAAAGATCACAAGTCCTCACATGTCCATTAGTAATCTATTCCCAAGTCTGTCCCGAGCCAATATGGCCCATCAGACCGTCGTTTATCTCCGGTTTCAAAGGCATGAAAAGACTGAAAATATTTCTATTCCCCCTGGACGGGATGCCAGTCCATCGCAGGTTACTCCCCAGCTAATGCCGGTACCCATTTATACTCCTTGGTGGAGAGAGGCAAGTGGGGATGAAGTGGCTTGCCCAAGGACACAGCATATGGCCAGCAGCTGGATTCGAACCCCTGACCCTCTGATCATGAATCATGAACCCTAACCGCTAGGCCACACTTCCCCACAGTCCCGAGATAAGTCACAAGCTATTCAGACGAAGTGTGGCAAAGTAATGGTGCGCTTATCCAACCCGAAACCGAGCCGACCCGAAACCGACTTTGGGTTGGGTCGGGTCATTTTTTTCCCCATTATTTCAGTCGGGTTGGATTGGTTTGATATTTGAAATTTTTGTATCAAAAGTGTGTTTCCTTTTTCCTTTTTTAACGTGGTTGATCTTGATTGTTTTGGTGAATGTGTGAATTAATTTGGTTAAAAATGAACTAATCACACTAATACTATTCTACTAAGCTACTACCACAGCCGTTACTTAACTAACTGTAATATTTGACAATTATTTGTGCCCGGCTCCACAAAAAAAAGGCTGTTATGAAATTGAGTTACATACATGGTTGGAAAGCCCACAACGTAAGCTTTCATTTGGTATATAATAGAGCTCCATAGCCCCTCTCGTTCTGGAGATATTATGTATTTACATATTAACTACTTCTTTGGAGTTCAAATTACACAACTGAGAAAACAGGCTTTGAAATAGCTGGCTTTGTTGTAGAACAACAGAACGATGCACACAAAATGGTTGTTTTTTCCCACTTTGTTTATCAAAATAAACATTTCTGTGAAAGAAAGCTGAAACTGTAGGTATTAAAGATGTCATTCATGACAAAAAATGAAAATCACATTTTGATGAAATGTTCACCCTCTCAATGTTGAGCGGGCCATACACAATAAGGCCCAGCGTGACTTAAAGGGAATATACAACATTTGCAAACATCGAAAAATAAAACTACCACGTTTTTACGAAATACCTTATTAGGATGTTGGTAAATGACAGTCTAAAGCATCCTGTAAAATTATGGCACCTGGTGTCGAGTTATTTTCAAGAAAATGTTTTTTTTGTCGGCCGACCACCGTTGGAAAAACCTAACTATTTTTCAACTACATTTCCAAAGGTGGTCGGCCGACCACTGTTGGAAAAACCTAACTATTTCTCAACTACTGCTCCAAATTTACAATTTTTTTTTCAGTCCAAATTTTGTTTGCCATTGGTTTCATGTTCATGAACGGGTGCAGGCCAGCTAGACTGGTTCCCTTATCTTACAATTTTCCGACATCTATAATTGATCCATTTTATCTTTAGTGGAGTCAGGGAACCAGACTACATAAACAGTTGTGTTTTTCTTGGTTTTTAAGCATTTTCGAACACAAAACTTCAAACATGTCAGTTAAACAATATTTGATCTATTATACTAACTCCTCAAATAGTTCAATTCTGAAAATTACAGCAAAAGCCAATGATGTACATTCCCTTTAATACCTTTTTGTGGAGCCGGTCACATTTTGCCTTTCATATATGTTCAAATTGTAATGTACACTTGAAGAATACTTAATCCATTTGAAAAAAACGAATCTAGTCTTTTATTTACAAATGGATATCACAGACTGTAACTTGCGTCGATGAAAAGCCACTAGGCACTTTACTGAGAAATTATTGTTTTTGCAGCCTTTCTGAAGTTTTGTTTCAAATAAGGTGCAGTTTCTGTAGCACACCGAAATTTCCGTTTTAACATTTCTTTTAAATAGTTTTCTCCAGAACATTCCTTAGGGTTTGTGAGATAAGTTCTTAGTGAGATGACTTTGTCATTTTTTTTATTTTGTAAATTTGCGTTCTTGGTCCATGTTTACAAAGCAAGTACTGTTTAACAGGGTGTTTCAAAGTACATGCAGTTTTTGGTCAGGATGAATCTGTCGCTATTTACCTGTGCCCGGGTGGCGTAGTTGAGCTGGCACGTCTTCTGGTGCGATGTCGCGTTCTGACGTACGTTGAAGGAACGGCAGCAAGGCTCTTGGATGCACGCTTGACCGCACTGACCGGCGGTGGCGATCTTCATCTCCTTGAGGGTGTAGCCAGACAAGCAGTGGTCAGTTATCGGACGTCCGTCTTCACCCATCACAAAGCAGTAGGTGTGATCAGCGCACTGTGGCTCGGACTTGGTGTCATCGACAGGCTTCTTGCAGACCACACTGTAGGATGAATCGCAATGACGGTCATCCCACTGATTCTGCCATTCGCCCACCATAGTTGCACAGTCCTGGTTGCCTCCCCAGTTGTCTGGATTTTGCCCTGCCCAGTCCATGAAGCCACACCCTTCCAGACACACCCATTGCCCCTCCTTTTCAGTATCAGAACAGCCCATCCAGATGCCATAGATCTCTAACCCCCGCAAGAAGGAGTTCTCCTCTGGAGATTCTGGTACAACAATCAGCGCCCCGTGGTTCTTGCAAGCTGTTTCTGCTGCAAACCATGTCATGTATCCAGACAATTCAAGATAACAGGAGCCTCCCCAATACATCCAACCATCTGGACATAGTTTCTCCTTGTTGCCAGAGCATACAATCGAATGCAAGTTTCCGAGGAGAAAAACTGACATGATTGACAAGCCACAAGAAACAGTTTTCCAAAAAGTTGCCATTTTGAGTTCCAGTGAGAAAAGATGTGGCTCAAACTTCAGTCTTCCAACAAGCTTCTGTAGTGTCGCAAAAGCTAACGTCAAGTTTTCTTCGACGTACTCCTTGGCACAAGTCAGTGCAATACTGGCATGGAGTGGTGAATATATAGAATGTTATACCTCATCTTACGTAGCATTGGTTGAACAGAATCAACCGTGCGGCAATATTATAGATCTTGAAATAGAGGCACAGTGGTATTCTCTGGAGTGCGCGGGCCATTAAACCACAATGAGAGTCATCATCAGCAACTATTAATTAAGTTACAGCCCGTCTTTAATTAAAAGTTACTGCGAGTCATATAGGTAAAAGTAATTGACTACTATTTTGTACATTGATCCCAGGAAAAAAAAGCTTTGTAGTAAGTGTACTGAACCGTCAGGTATGTGAACCCTTGCAGAGAAAATAAGGCCAAAAGTAATTACTTGGTTACAGCCGGTGTCATACGAAATGTTGCCTCACTTGCGTCATGCCACCATCCTCATATTCGCCTGGGCATGCACAAAGCGAGCATCGATTCAGTATTTTGCAGCGTTCCAATTTCACACTCCACTGGCAATTGACCTATCGCCGTTTGCGAGTTAGCCACACCCCTTAGACAGGTAGTTTTGTTCGTTAAGTTTTGTTTGTCTCAGATTTTGCGCGTTCCACGTCCATTTGTATATCGTGTAATTGGACAACATTTCAAAATGGTGGGGTCCATCCATGTAATTTGTTAAATTTTTTTCCCATGTTTGGCATGGGCATTTGCAGTTCAGGCTATGTTTTATGTGCCGGAAATGGCCCCTTCAGTGTTCAAGGCGATAGATCTTTCTGAGTCCAATAGCAACTTTTTGTTTTCCTTTGGCATCACAAAATTGCTGGACCATTGCCTAACAGGGTGTTTCAAAGTACATGCAGTTTTTGGTCAGGATGAATCTGTCGCTATTTACCTGTGCCCGGGTGGCGTAGTTGAGCTGGCACGTCTTCTGGTGCGATGTCGCGTTGTGACGTACGTTGAAGGAACGGCAGCAAGGCTCCTGGATGCACGCTTGACCGCACTGACCGGCGGTGGCGATCTTCATCTCCTTAAGGGTGTAGCCAGACAAGCAGTGGTCAGTTATCGGACGTCCGTCTTCATCTATCACAAAGCAGTAGGTGTGATCAGCGCACTGTGGCTCAGACTTGGTCTCATCGGCAGGCTTCTTGCAGACCACGCTGTGAGATTGAGTGCAAGCACGGTCATCCCACTGATACTGAATGCTGCCCACCATAGCTGCACAGTCCTGGTTGCCTTGCCAGTTATCTGGCCCTTGCCCTGCCCAGTCCATGAAGCCACACCCTTCCAGACACACCCATCGCCCCTCCTTTTCAGTATCAGAACAGCCCAGCCAGATAACATTGATCTGTAACCCCCGCAAGAAGGAGGTCTCCTCTGGAGATTCTGGTACAACGATCAGCGCCCCGTGGTTCTTGCAAGCTGTGTCTGCTGCAAACCATGTCATGGATCCAGGCAATTTAACATAACAGGAACCTCCCCAATACATCCAACTATCTGGACATAGTTTGTTATTATTGCCAGAACATACAATCGAATGCAAGTTTCCGAGGAGAAAAACTGAAATGATTGGCAAGCCACAAGACAGGATTTTCCAAATCGTTTCCATTTTGAGCGCCAGTGAGAAAAGATGTGGCTCAAACTTTGAATCTTCCAACAAGCTCCTGTAGCATCACGAATATACTAATGTCAATTTTTCTTCGATGTGCTCCTTGGCCCTTCCAGAGTAATAATGGCGTTCAGTAGTGGCCGTATGATAGCAAATTCTACCTCTTCTTGTTTAGTAATGGTTGAAAGGAATCATCCTTGGGGCAATAATAAAAGAACAGAGAGCCACAGTGTGTGTGGTCCATTAAACCACAATGTGTTCCTTGGCAAGTTCAGTGTACTAGTAATATTGATCGACGTGCAGTGGTGACTGTGTGATAGAATACGATCTCTTCATATTTAGTAATGGTTGCAAAGAATCTACCGTGCGGCAATAATGATAGATGTTGAGAGAGACACACAGCAATATTGGAAACAGTCTTTGAAGGTCACTGCTATTGTTTCTTTTACGTGAAAGTAGAACTACTATTTGGTATATTGATCTCGTGAAAAGGCTTTGCTAACGTAACGGCATTGGACCCTGGAAATTGGGCTCATTTGAAGAGACAATTGGGCGGCATCCATTAGTTACTTGGTTACAGCCGGCAATTATTACACACGCACCTATGGTTGAATCCACTTGCCATTGAAATGTACGTTTTACTGCCAGACATTATGGTAGCAAAGGAATTTAGATTTGGCTGTATTGTGTTGAAGTTAATTAATGTGGCCATCTTTGCGGCATGCGTACTTAAGGCTACGAGTTCTTGAATTGTAGTTGAATAGTTTATCATCTTACAGATGCATTCCCCGTGCTGTTTTTGAGTTTCATCCTGTAAAATAGATTCCTTTTCTAAACTTTTCCTTTTCCAGTGATGCAAAACTTATTTACTTTCAAATGAGACGTCGACCAAAAAAAACCAACTGGCGGCAATAATTATTTACTTTCAAGTGAGACGTCAAAACCCCCCCCCCAAAAAAAATGGCGGCAATAATAAAAGACGTTGAAAGAGAGCCACAGCAATATTCTCCGAAGTGTGCGGTTTATTTTCTCCGAAGTGCGCAGTTTATTAAACAACAGTGTACTGCTTCTTGGTGTGTTCAGTGTATCATAATGGCGTTGAGTGGTGATGTATGATAGAATATGATACCTCTTCTAATTTAGTAATGGTTGCAAAGCATCAACAGTGCAACCAAAGAGAGGCAGAACAATATTCTCCGGAGTGCGTGGTCCATTAAAATGCAATGAAAGCCATCGTCAGCAAAAGTTACAGCCCGCTTTGTTGCATTTTATAAAACAGTCTTTAAAAGTTACTACTATCTTGAGGTTTTTTTTTCCAAAATGCAACAAATGCCATTTTGCTACCTTTTACCGTCCTGTTCTCGCCCTGTTGCCCAAAGCCAGTTTCGCAGCTGTATCTCAAAAAATAAAAGTCCACACTCATTGGAGGGGTCATAATTTTGAATCTGATCGTCTTTAAGACAATCAGATTCGTCATATTAATAATACGATGACGTCATTTATATAGACCGTTGGGGAATGTTGTTAGCTAGATTTTGATACCTCATTTGCTACCAAAGACTGTTAATCGTCCAAGATTGACAATGGTTTTTTGACAATTATGCAGTTTGAAAAGTTGCAAATTTTAAAGATTACGCGAGGAGAAGTTGCTAAGCATAATTATAAACCACACATGTCCGTAATTGGCCCCTATTGACTGCCCATTGCCTGAACAAAACGTGGGTAATTCAATTCGCGTGATCCCATGCATGCAAACACTGTGCGATCGATATTCTCTGCCGTTCTTATCGGGCAGTGTGACATTGTCACGCAGCAATTTCCACTCGCGTGCTCTTTAAATTTGCAACTTTTCAAACTGCATCATTTTTCACAAACCGTTGTCAATGTTGAACGATTTAAGTCTTTGATAGAAAACAGGGTATCAAAATGTAGCTAACAACATTCCCTAAAGGTCTATATAAATGACGTTATTATAAGATGATCAGATTAAAAATTGATGACCACTCCAATGAGTGTGGACTTTCTTTTGTTGCCGTGTTTAAGAACACAGTAAAGCAAAAATGTAGTTTGGAAACAGCTGTTATTTTGTGCATGTTCTATACAGGGTGGGTAAAAAAAAGAAAAAAAATGAAACCCAAATGTCGGGACTATTGTTTAAGTGAAGTTCTGCATGCAGCACTTTGAAAATCTAGAATATGAAAGCCCAATTCATAAGCTTTCTTTTAGTACAAGAATCATTCAAATCACTCATGTACTTTTCAAGTTACGGAATTTTAAACACAACCACCGCTTTAAAGTTCTGTCCACGGATCAAAAAGTGTGCGTTCTTTCAGCAAAACGAAAACAATTCACACACATCCCTGTGTGATTTGTTTATGTTTTGCTGAAAGAACACTTACCTGTTTGTGATCCGTTGACAGAACTTTAAAACGGTGGTTGTGTTTAAAATTCCGTAACTCGAAAATTACAAATGTACATGAGTGATTTGAATGATTCTTGTACTAAAGGAAAGCTTATGAATTGGGCTTTCATATCCTAGATTTGGACTGTGCTACATGCAGAACTTCACTAAAACAATGGTCCTGACATTTGGGTTTCATTTTTTTTTTACTCACCCTGTATATTCTTTCCCAACAGTGAACATTTTTCACCTTGTTTAAAGGGATATATTGCTTTTTGGAAATAAACTCTTCATCTCTATTTAGGTGAAAGTACATGTAATTTACTTCTACTATTATATTTGATATATTGATCTCAAGGAAAAAGCTAGCCATCACTACAGAGAAAATTAGGTGCAAACTAAATTACTTGGTGCAGCCTGTGTCATATGAAATTTGGACTCCTATGAAATCTTGTCTCTTTTACTTTATACATTGTGTGGTCTCAAGCCCTGTCCTATTAGTGTATTTCGTGGAGTCCAAATTTCCCACAACACTGGCAACTTACACATGTACATGTACCTCAATCCAATTATCACAGAAATGTATGTTACTGCCAGCCATAGGTCGAGCAGATAGATCTTTCTGTGTCCAAAAGCAACCCCTTTTTCTCCTTGGGTATCTCAAAATTGTCTGGACCATTGCTTAACAGGGTGTTTCAAAGTACATGCAGTTTTCGGTCAGGATGAATCTGTCGCTATTTACCTGTGCCCGGGTAGCGTAGTTGAGCTGGCACGCCTTCTGGTGCAATGTCGCGTTGTGACGTACGTTGAAGGAACGGCAGCAAGGCTCCTGGATGCACGCTTGACCGCACTGACCGGCAGTGGCGATCTTCATCTCCTTGAGGGTGTAGCCAGACAAGCAGTGGTCAGTTATCGGACGTCCGTCTTCACCCATCACAAAGCAGTAGGTGTGATCAGCGCACTGTGGCTCGGACTTGGTCTCATCGGCAGGCTTCTTGCAGACCACGCTGTAAGATTCAGTGCAAGCACGGTCATCCCACTGAAACCTGCCCACCATAGCTGCACAGTCCTGGATGCCTTCCCAGTTATCTGGCCCTTGCCCTGCCCAGTCCATGAAGCCACACTCTTCCAGACACACCCATTGCCCCTCCTTTTCAGTATCAGAACAGCCCAGCCAGATGCCATTGATCCCTAACCCCCGCAAGAAGGAGTTCTCCTCTGGAGATTCTGGTACAACGATCAACGCCCCGTTGTTCTTGCAAGCTTCGTCTGCGTCAAACCATGTCATGTATCCAGGCAATATAACATAACAGGAACCTCCCCAATACATCCAACTATCTGGACATAGTTTGTTCATATTGCCAGAGCATACAATCGAATGCAAATTTCCGAGGAGAAAAACTGACATAATTGACAAGCCACAAGAAACGGTTTTCCAAAAAGTTGCCATTTTGAGCTCCAGTGAGAAAAGATGTGGCTCAAGCTTCAGTCTTCCTCAAACTAGTGCTTTTTACATCGCATCACCACTATTAACGTCTATTTTGCCTGTTCTCCGACACATCAAATGAAACGTTAATGAGTGGGGATTAAGTAAAATCCTCAACCTTAGCTATTAATGGTTGTTAAGGGTAATTTGTGCAGCAATAATGAATGAGAGGCAGTGTACCTTTTCCCTGAGTGCTGGGGTCTATTAAACGTACACAGGCACATTGGTAATTACCTCGAAAGGAACCTACAGCTTTGATAAAAAAAAAAAACATACTCAAAGTGAAGAGAGGTCACTAGTTCCAAACACACTATAAAATTATTACGCCTGAAAGAGTAAAAAGTACAAAAATAGTGTGTCTGCAGGCACACTTTAAAAAAATAGTTTTTGACTAATTTAATATTTGATTCTTGTAATTTGGACTTAATTGAATATTCAAAATGCGCTGATCAAGTTTAACTTGCGTCAGCCTAATTGGCCGCTGATCGCGTGCTCATGCGGTTGTTGGAAATAGACACAGATCTTATTAAAGAAGCATTCTAAAGAAGTGGTATGTTCCTTTAACCACCTCGAAAGACTTGATTGCCAATATTATTTGAAGGGCATTATACTTATTTATATTAGATGAAAGTAAGTTACCTAAAAGCTTTGTAGTAACAGTATTAAACCATCACGTAGGTACTGCCGTGAGCAATGGCTCATGTGCAGCTAGACATTTAGGCGGCATCCAAATTACTTGGATTAGTAGTGGCAATTACTCACATGCGGATTACTGTCGGCTGTAGCGAAGTAATTCAGATATGGCCATATTGTGTTGAGGTTGATAAATATGGCCATCTTATGTGCATGGGTACTCGTGGCTACGAGTTCTTGAATTTTAGTTTTGGGCAATTCCGCGCAAGTTGGACATGGCTGTAAAATGGAAAATTTATGAAATGTTTAGAACTACAGGTAGAGTCAAAATAATCTGGACCCAAGTTCACCATTTTTTGGGGTGGGAAATAGAGTATAATTGAGAAAAAAAATGTGTTTCAAAAGAATGGTTATCCACAGGAATTTTGAATTTTTCAGATCTTTGATTTCAGTGGTGTGCCAGTGAGATAAAATGTGGTTATATGTAATTTGTGTACAAATAAAAATGGTTTGGGGCTAAATTTGTTTTAGGTTGTCATTTTGGGATCCTATTTCTGTATGCAAAATGCAAGCGTTGTTGTGATTGTTTGTTTTTAAGGCAGAGAGAAAGGTTCATATTTTATGAAAATATCACACAGAACTTACAATACTGTGATCCAATATTTTTTTTATCACCTGTTTGAAGTTAATTTCAGACACGTAATGTCCGTAACATTTAATGTATGATGTTTCCATACCATCTCGATTTGAGTTCAAAAGTTGCAAGGTCATACATGTACTTTGAAATGTGCCCTCTCATGACACAATCCCGAAATCAGCATTCGGGACGTGATTCTCATTCAGTCGATTGTAGTTAAGTGATGTCACACACTGAACTGACGAATATTAGCAACCATGTACATGTTCTACATAACCCCCGAGGACCGACACACAAAGGGAGAACAACAGATCCTTTCAGTCCTCGGGCGTTGGGTCCTTTGTTAAAAACGGTTCTCTGTAGTAAGTGTGTGTGCTTAGTCTATGGGAGAGTGTTATATCACAGGGACAAAGGGAAACACAAAGCATTGTCCTCTAGAGGGTGTGAATGCATGCACCCATTCACAGATTCACCCAATTACAAACTAACTACAAATGGAAATTTCAAAAAATGTGTCACTTGACACATCTTTGGAAATTCCCTTTTTTCCCCCCTCAAAAAAACTGCATGCCAGAGAGAATAATTTCACAAGGAGTTTAAGTATCATTACTATCTTATTAAAAACCAAGTGAGCTTTTTAACAATAATTTGGTTGGTTACTTTTTGGATAGCTGCAAATGGTCCAATCTACCTTTAAAAAAGTCATATCCAACGGGAAAATGGGAGTTGATCCACGTGCAAGGCAATATCTAAATTTTTATGTAGATTGACGTTTTTACAAGTTATTGCTTCTAAACTCAGCTTAAATACAAGTGCACATTCTTTGGCTGTGGTATATGAACCATTAACTTTGTGTGCGAGCGGCCATAAATTTTTAGTAAATTTACTCAAATTTGGCAATTTTACAATAAACGATATTTTCCAACTTTTTTTTTTACAAATTCTGGAAAGAAAACAGTAAAACAACCAAATAATTCCTCAAAAAAATCAGAATTTAAAAAAACGTTGATCAAACATTGTGTTTTTTTTTCCATGGTTTTCATTCAAACAAAATGATTGACACCCCCCAAAAATAGATTGGCTCCTCCCCTAAAGTGGCTGGCTGTAGAACTGTTCTTGTTTATATTGTCTAACCTGTCTAACCCATTGCTTGCTTGCATACAGCTTCTCTGACATCAAACAGATTGAAGTGAGTGTTGCTGGTACGATCAGGATAACTCTGACTAACGACAAAGTCATACCCCTGTTCACTCACAGGGTATGTACGCTCTTCACTAATCCTAATCTTTAATTTACATTATTTTGTTATTCTTCTTGGTCAGTTGGTTTTGAGCTAACATTAATGGTTAAGCATGTTTGTTACTTAAGCAGGCTGACTGGCAAGCTGGCTGGCTTGTTGGGTAGCAAGCTGGATGCTTGGTTGGCTGGTTGGCTAGCAAGCTGGCTGCTTAGTTGGCCGGTTGGCTAGCAAGCTGGCTGTCTGGCTGCTTGGTTGGCTGGTTGGCTGTCTGGCTGCTTGGTTGGCTGGTTGGCTGTCTGGCTGCTTGGTTGGCTGGTTGGCTGCTTGGTTGGCTGGTTGGCTAGCAAGCTGTCTGTCTTGCTGCTTGGTTGGCTGGTTGGCTGTCTTGCTGCTTGGTTGGCTGGTTGGCTGTCTGGCTGCTTGGTTGGCTGGTTGGCTGTCTGGCTGCTTGGTTGGCTGGTTGGCTGTCTGGCTGCTTGGTTGGCTGGTTGGCTGTCTGGCTGCTTGGTTGGCTGGTTGGCTGCTTGGTTGGCTGGTTGGCTAGCAAGCTGTCTGTCTTGCTGCTTGGTTGGCTGGTTGGCTGTCTGGCTGCTTGGTTGGCTGGTTGGCTAGCAAGCTGTCTGTCTTGCTGCTTGGTTGGCTGGTTGGCTGTCTGGCTGCTTGGTTGGCTGGTTGGCTGTCTGGCTGCTTGGTTGGCTGGTTGGCTGCTTGGTTGGCTGGTTGGCTAGCAAGCTGTCTGTCTGGCTGCTTGGTTGGCTGGTTGGCTGTCTGGCTGCTTGGTTGGCTGCTTGGTTGGCTGGTTGGTTAGCAAGCTGGTTGTCTGGCTGTTTGGTTGGCTGGTTGGCTAGCAAGCTGGCTGCTTGGCTGGCTGGTTGGCTGGTTGGCTAGCAAGCTGGCTGTCTGGCCGCTTGGTTGGCTGGTTGGTTGGTTAGCTAGCTGGCTGGCTGGCTGGTAAGCTGGCTGGCTGGTTGGTTGGCAAGCTTGCTGACTGGCTGTTTGTCTGGCAGGCTGACTGGCAGGCTGGCTGACTTGCTTACTGGCCGGTTGGCTGGCTTGCTCCCCTGCCGTCAAGTTGGTTGGCTCGGTGGCTGGCTGTGTAGCTGGCCCACTGGCTTGTTGGCTGGCTCTCTGGTTTGCTGGCTGGCAGACCTAGTACGAGCTTTGGCTTCTTGTCTGACCTCCCCATACTATTACTTCAAGTTCCGTTAAAGTTTTTCCAAATGTACAGTATTCAACTTACCTTGAAACCTGAAACCTGAAACCTGAAACCTGGCTGGCTGTTTGCCTGCTTCATTGGCTGGCTGGCTGGCTGACCTGTTAACTGGCAGGCTGGATTGTTATTGTTCTATGATAACCTGATTAGTAACTGTCAGCTTCCCTATACACCCAGGCCCAGCTGATCAAAGGCATGATAGAAGCCTACATCATCGACCTGGAGAGAGACTCACAGTACATGCGAGCCATCCAGGACTACATCACCAGGGAATCCACTCTACTGAGCTTCAGGAAAGGTGACATCATCAAACTGACGGCCAGGCACCCTGCTGCTGACTCTGGTAAGAGCTAAGGTCTCATCCGACTCAAGCTTCAATGAGCTAGTTCAATCATTATACAAATACTGAGTGTTTATGAGTGCAATGGTGAGAATAGTTTCATGAGTTGAAAAATGGAATGAGTTGAATGGAATATTCTCCATCTTTTAACGAATGAAAATATTATCACCATTGCACGAACGCAAAACATTCATTATTTGTTTTTAACATCCAAGTAGATTCGTTTGGAGGATAAAACTTAAGAACAAAAAAAAGGCACAAAATTGTATCATATCCACTACTTTTTTTCAGCTTGTTCAAGGCTAACAAAGGTTTAAAAGTCACATTATTGACATTAATGAATATTAGCACTGTAAGTTCTTAAAACAATGCAAAAAATCATCCAGGCATCTGCATCAACTTCAAAGGCACGTTTTGCACTGCTACAACGCGTGATATGGTCTAAATAGGGCAAGGAACGTACCGTAAAGCGCCGCGGCCGCTGCGCGTCTTAGCGTGCGCGCGGGGTGCAATAGATCAAAAGGGATGGGACGAAAATGCACGGTGAATGGAACCAAAAATGCAGTGGTTCGATTTATGAATGCCGCGTGACCTACAATCCTCCAATCAAATGACAAGGATTTACTTGGGTGTTACATAATGATCATTAGTGGTTGATTTGTTACAAAACGTATTTGCAAAGACTGACATCGGTGTCTCGTTCCTTGCCACAGATTGGCTGTTTGGGATGCTGGACGGTCGCACGGGCTTCTTCCCCAAGGAGAGCGTCATTCCAGCCCCCGGCCCAGAGTCCCGCAATCTCCTGGTGAGCGACACCAATCTAGAATAAATAATACAATGAATTTGTGATCTGAGAATGATGGCGGTGTGCTCAGGATTTGCAATGTGTAATCTGAAGAGAGTAATGCTCTGATGATGAATTAGAACATGCAGTGAAAATTTGTGCCTTTTTTTTTTTTATTTTCCTGCAGGTCAGAAGAGGAATCGCTGCTGAATTGGTCATCAGCAACCAGGAGGAACCCAGAAGACAGGTCTGTTGTGCTCAAGGTTTTCCGTGGTGATTTTTGAGAGACCTGTTTTATTGTAAATCATAATACAACATTTTTACTGGTTCATTCAGCGTTGTAACAAACCATCACAAGTCTGTCACAAACCAGTCTGTGGAGGAAGTGTAGAATCTCCTGGTAAGAGGGTCTAGTCCAAGGTCAAAAATGATTTGTCAGATATCGGGCATTTCCAGACCATTTGCTGTATGTGTCTGAACATAAACAGATGTGCCCTGTCATACTGTCCAAACAAGATTTGCAATTGTAGTGGAAGACTATAAGTGTGATTTACTTGTCAGTAGTCGGTAGTCAATCACATATCAATCAAATGTCCATCACTAGTCAACCACAAGTCAGTCACAAGTTAAAACGCAGCTCTAGACACAAGTCATCAAATTCCAGTATCAAGTCAATTAACAAACTCCTCAAATGTTCCAGGATAAATGGCATTTCTTTGTTGTTCTTCACCCCTGTCACTTGGTTGAACTTGCGATTGACTTGTGGTTGACTTGTGATTGACATGTGATTGGCTTGTGTCTGACTTGTGATTGACTTGCGATTAAGATGTGATGGGCTTGCAATTGACTTGCGATTGACTTGTAATTGGTTTGTGATTGGCTTGCGATTGACTTGTGATTGGCTTGTGATTGACTTGTGATTGACTCCTGATTGACTTGTGATTGACTTCCGATTGACTATTGATTGACTTGCAATTGACTTACAATTGATGTGTGATTGGCTTGCGATTGACTTGCGATTGACTTGTGATTGGTTTGTGATTGGCTTGGTTGCTACTCTGGATTCCATCAACATATTCAAAGTATTCGTGGTCTCATCTCTCCAGAAGCAAGAGGCGCGGCCCTCAGCCCCCAAGAGCCCTGAGAGACAGCCCACCCAGGAGGAACTCACCCGCTTCTCCATGGTGGAATTTGCCTCCAAGTACTTCCGAGAAAACCCCAACAAGTGAGGACAATAACATTGACACTTTATACATTGTATTGTCTTTTGACTGCATCGGAATTCCTTAGATATTGCCAGCGGTAAGACTGTTACCCCTCTATAGGAGGTGGGTATGGCTGCTTCCGTACGCGGATCTGTTACTTATTGCCATCCTTAGCCGAAGTATTCCAACACACCTTTAGTTTATCCTGAATTGAAAACCATCAAATCTTGATAAACACATATCACACTGGCTTGTAAATACTAAATTTAAAGAGATTGAAGATTAACCCTATCATCCTCCATCCCATCAAACACCCCCCCCCCCCCTCTATAGGTACGTGATGCAGAGGAAGGAGGACGGCTCCATCCGAGGTTCTCTCAAGTTCATGGGGAACTTCAAGAGGTCTCGCAAGAAGAATTGTGAGTTTATCTTATAGATGAGGACATAAGGATCCTTTCATGGTACTATACCCCAGAAAAAAAGAAAAAAAGTGGAGCAAACACATCCAAGAGAATTTTAGTTTTTAAGAATCCCAAAGTAAACACTGCGTGTACAGGGTACAACTTTTAACTATAATTATCCAATTTTGTAACAAGACTGAGTAAGAACGTCTTGATAATTTATCTGGCTGAATAATGTCTTAAGGAAATGCAGAAAGACATTCATAAACTCTGTATGCTGGGATTACTTGATGAGTCAAGTGTTTTGAATCGTAACTTTTACAGTACATACATTTCCTGCTATCTAGGAGAGCGGACAGAAAATTTCTTGCTAGTGGCACGGATAGTGATTTTCTGCATCCTAAAATAAAATAATAGTTGGCATGTTTTAGGTGGTCAAAATCTGGTGACCAGGTAGTGATTTTTTTTTTCTCCAACAACATAAGCAAATAGTTTGTACACTATGAGGTTTTGGACTTTACTTCCCTCAAAACATGAGAAAAAAATATATAAAAAACAAAAATTATTCAAACCTAATGAAATTCGGACTTTATTTCCCTTTTAAAAAAATCCTCCAAAGCTGCAAATTAGAAAAGAAAACACCCACACCCTCCGATCTCAAAACCTTGGCATTATCCAGCTGAGCCATTGAAGAGCTCGACAACAAACCGTTCGTGGCATTATATACCTGCGTACGTATAACAAAAGTATTGCAGAGGGTGCTCAACAACCATCCATACAATATTGTTTGGGAAAAAATAATTCGCGACCAGTCAGCCTCTTCCCATCCTAAACTTAAAGCAACTTGGTGAAACTGCAAAATTTTTCTTTGCATAATTTTCAGCCAAGAAGAAGCCCATCCAAGTGGACGAGCAGGATTATACTCAGTTCCTGGACGCCGTGTCCTACACCAACTCCCCGATCCAGGTCTCCCTGCTGGAATTCCCCGTGGCTGCCATCAACAAACTCTCCCTGGAATGCTTCCTGGGTAAGCTACATAGACACAGCTACAGCCTCACAATATATTCTCAATTACTGCCTCAAAATCTCTCCCAGGAGATTTGGAATCTGAGTCGAGGCAGCCCACTCTTTTCTTTTACGTCCGTTAGCAACGGAATCCAGTTACAAGACGCAAACAAAATGTGTCTATGTTTTCTCAAAATGTATAGTACCTTCTGAATTGAATCTCCGAGCAGGGTTTTTTTGTTAAGCACCCTACTTAAGATTTTGAGCTCAGTATTTTGTTGCTTCCCCCCAAAACTTCTGAGTGCAATGGTAAGAATAATTTCATCAAGTGACAGATGGATGATTCATTTTACGAGGCGAAGCCGAGTGGAATGGAACATTCCATCCGTCACCAAATGAAATTGTTCTTTCCATTGCACAAATGTGAAGCATTCATTAGTTGTTTTATACAACACCTGACTGAATCCTCATCATCTGATTGGTCAGAGGCACCAGTAGTGTGATCGTGCAGTGGAACTTCTATTTACTGTGGAATAAGAACTTCTATTTTCGCAGTGCAGCCGTGCCATGCATTGAGACGAATAATTCAATGACATGTGATCAACGACCCACCAATCAGATTCCGGGAATTTTTCAGTCATTGTATTATGTCTGCTAACTCTTTTGAAAACCAGGGCCTAGTTCGGGCAAGGACCATTAGTCGACTAGTGGTTGATTTGTGACGTACCTTACGCCTGCGCACTAATAGCAACGTGCGAACGTCTCTAGTCAAACGCTGGTCAAATGTCATTGCAAAACGTCTGGATCCTGGCTCCCTGCTGTACGTTATGAACGTGCGCAGCTATGGTTACCAGCGATGCAACCAGCCCCAGTAGGTTGGTTCCAATATTTGGTTGATTCCGTAGTTAACCATCGTCGACTAGACAGAGTTCGGGCAAGCGTTAGTCGACCAAAGGTTAACTATAGTCCTGCGCGAACTTGCCCCAGATTTAAGATATTGATTTGGACTATCCTCATGAAAAAGTAAAGTTTAATCAAACAAAAAAATTACCTTACTTGTTGCCAATGTGCACTAACCGAACTTTATTAGTTTTTACAAGATCCAGTTGTCAACATTCAATAGTTGAAGGCTTAAAGGGAATATACAACATATGCAAACATCGAAAAATAAAACTACCAAGTTTTTACGAAATACCTTACTAGAATGTTGGTAAATGACAGTCTCAAGCATCTTGTAAAATTATGGCACCTGGTGTGAAGTCATTTTCAAGAAAATGGTATTTTTGTATACATTTCCAACGGTGGTCGGCCGACCAGCGTTGGAAAAACCTAACTATTTTTCAACTATTGCTCCAAATTTACCATTTTTTCAGTCCAAATTGTGTTTGCTATTGGTTACATGTTCATGAACGGGTGCAGGCCAGCTAGACTGGTTCCCTTGCCTTACCATTTTCCATCATCTATAAATTGATACATTTTATCTTTTGTGGAGTCAGGGAACCAGACTACTTGAACATTTTTGTTTTTCCTTGGTTTTTCCAACCTTTTCGAACACAAAACTTCAAAAATGTCAGTGTAACAATATTGGATCTATTATACTAACCCCTCAAATAGTTCATTTCTGAAAATTAGAGCAAAAGCCAATGATGTACATTCCCTTTAATAACTTTCTTCTTACCCCACAGCTCTCATGAAGATCATGGGTGACTATCCCCTGCGTTCTAAGCAAGACACCCCCATTCAGCAGGCACTGTATGAGAAAATCATCTTCATCATCAAGGTAAACCCCGCAGATATAGACACATCAGCCGTCAATCTGATTTGTGTCCATACGATATATGGGAAGACACCAAAAAAGACTTGTGCTGTTCCTCTGCGTTTGAAGAGGAGAAACAGGGCTTATTGTTAAGGCCAAAAAAAAAAAGTCTCCGGTTTCTGGTATGGAGCTTGTCCAAAAAGTGGTGCGGTGACGCGGCTTTTTTTTTTTTTTTTACCCGACTTTTTTGCTTCAAATGTCGGCTGATGACTGCAAATGGTGCCCGACTATATATATGGGAGTCCAGAGAGGCCACATAAAACTTATTCTCGATCATAACCCCATCTAAAAACACGTTTAAATTGCGCAGCAGCAGAATTCCAGTCGAACTAGTGAGTTTGGCAGTTTTGAGACATCATTTTTCATTGAAAAAAAAAACTTTTTCATTTTGCCGACGCGCATGGCTACGGCGACGCGCGCGCATACCAGAAACCGGAGACTTTTTTTTTTTGGCCTAAATTGGGTTTTTTTTATGAATACAAATATGACCTTCTTGTAATATTACTTCGTTTCGTTGACCATTTTCCCTATTTTCAAGGCTTGCTTTGGACATCGGGAGATGTGTGATGAGATCTACTGTCATGTCATCAAACAGACAACCAGAAACACCAGCACCAAAAAGTGAGCTAAACTGCATCCTCCTGCTTACGGTCACCTTGTGACTGTAAGACCTGATGGGATATTTAATTGAAAGAAAAAAACCGAGGACAAACAATTTGTGGACCAAATTTTTTTTAACCAGCACCTTTACTAGAGTCCATGAAACCATGTAGTGTTTTGGCAGTTTTGGGCGGTGCAGGGAGTTATACAGGTAGGGTGGTTTTGGGCGGCCGCAGAGGTGTGGTTTCTTGTAGTTTAAAGGAAAAACCATTGCTTCTGCAGTGTAAAATGAAATGCTGTTGGTCTTCTTATATGTGCTTCAGTTTCATTTATGTTTTGAATAAAAACTAATACGAAAATAGCAATACAAACTCTGTTCAAAATTTCTACCATTTTGGTTTGTCCACAAACATGGATACGCCAAGCAGGCTTTTTTGCATGTCACAAGTTAGCTCTCTATTCAGTAAAACTCAGTCTACCCATTTACCTTTACCAGTCTACCCATTTACCTTTACCCAGGTTAAGCCTACTCCACGCCTGGCGGTTCTTCACCCTCCTCACGGCCTTCTTCCGATGCTCCCCCACCCTCAAGCCCTACCTGTTCCAGTATCTGACCATGGTAGCCCAGACGGCCGAGTTCCAGTACGGCGGCATGGCGGGCGTCTGTCTGTTCAACCTACGCAAGAGCTTCCGTCACGGCGGAAGGCGCTTGCTGCCCGGACCGGAGGAAGTGGGGAATCTCCTGGTAAGTGGATCAAGTCCGAGGGCAAAGAACAGTTGAAGCAACAGATGTTTTTTTTTCGGCAACCCCCCTCCCACCCCCGCCCCCATAATTTATTTGTGTCCATAATTTACTTGTGTCCATAATTTACTTGTGGACATAATTTACTTGTGGACTTGATAGTTGTGACAGTGTCAGTGTGTTCTATGTGTCATGTCATGGTAAGCCGTGTCCGAAATGGGCTTCCAGAGCTACGGCTACGTCTATTGTCAGCGCGTCCCTGCGTATTTTCAATGGGCGCGGACCTAGACCTAGCTCTAGACAATTGATTCGGATGCAGCCTTAATTCGCTCACACACATACATCTCACTGGATTTAACAAGCCAGTTTGTTATCAACTGTATTTGTGCACACGAAGAGTTGATCGTAGTTTGCACTTTAGGATCATCAACCCCTCATGTGCATCCATAACCGTACAGAAACACTGAAACATTATACGACACTTTGCACAAAATTCCGAAACTTGGGCCTGCACTATGCTTTGCAGAATGTTTTTTAATGCAAAATTGCTCCCCCTCTGATCCCAAAATTGACTTGTGTACATTTATCTGCTGGATTTATCCCCCAAAACCATAGACCAAAACTCAGATGGTTGTCAAGATCCCCCCCACATGATCTGATTTGTCTGTTTGTTTGTCTGCCTCTCAGGCCGGTCGTTTAGTCCGTCGCCAGCAGGTCCACCTCCCAGGCAACCTGCGCACCATGGTCAAGGTTTCCAACAGCTCAGTGGTGGTGGACATCCTGGAGGAATTGTGCACGGAGATGGGCATACAGCAACCAGCCGCCATCGAAGAGTTTGGCATCTTTGGACTGGTGCCTCAAAGTAAGGACTGGACTTCTCGTGTTTACAGATACTTCCTTGACAAACTAAAAATGACTGTTTAAAGCTATAGTCCATCATTTGCAGCCATCCGAAAAGTAACTGGCGTAATTACTGTTGAAAAACAAACTTGGTTGAAAGATAGTAAGGGGACTAAACACCCTGTGAAATTATTCTTTCTGGCAAGCTGTCATTTTGAAGTAATCAACGAAAGAAGGCCTTTCCAACGGTGCTTCTTAAGACGCACCGTAGGAAATTTAAATTAGTAGTTTGTTTTGTTATTCGGCGAAGCACGCGCAAGCATTGGCACGACACACAGGCATGCGCGGTTGCTATAATTCGTCGGATCAGTGCGCGACATCGCGTAGCTGCAATCGGCTCAGTGAGAACGTGTCTCGGACACTGAATTCAGGCCCAATTCAAAACATGATTCAGCAACTTTTGATTTGAAATTGAGATCCTACCCGGTAGAATGCTGTTTTTCTCGGAATATACAGCTGAAGCTGAGCTGAAATTTCATCAGGCTAGTTGTTCAGTATCCTTCATTAGATTTTAAATACTTTTGTTTTTTCAAACGAACAAAATGCACAAATTACAAATGATGGACTATATCTTTAAGCTCTGGCAACAGAGCTTCTACAAGTTACTCGGGTGTCGGTCAGTCAGTTGGTCTGTCGGTTGGTCAGACGGTCGGTCGGTCGCCCCCAAAAAATTGACCAAAACGAACCCCCTAACTAACCCATAAAACTGAAAGTGCCAAATTGAAACTGTCCAGAAAAGCAAACAAAATACATTAAATAGTTGACAAAAATTGTGTGTATGAACTGTTTTGAATAGAGGCAAGATAATGTGTGGTAATGTTATAGTCACGTGGTATATTTGTGCGCTACAAACTTAGGAATTTAGGGGGCTTCTAAACACCTGTCACTATACATCACCCCTGCCTCTGGCCCTGTGTCAGTTTAATGAGTCTCCTGGGCGTAGGAGTGAGGATACAGTTGCATTATGAAGGTCACTATTATTTTTGCATTGTGACTTTCAACAAAATGGGAAATTCTCATTTCAATTGAAAATCACGACCAAGTGAGTAATTGTATAATTTCATGCAAGACTTTCATGCAAGACGACCAGAGCTTATCATGCAGTTGCACTTGTTTTGTTTTTTTGTCAGCACCCAATTTCATGAAACTCATCGTAACTTATGATGCATCGCAGCGCTGTGACGCATCATATCCCTACTACGCATCGCAGCTTTGACGCGTCCTGCGATCCATTTCACAAAACCCACTGTAAGTGGGACGCGTCGTAGGTGTATTTATAGCACAACTCGGTGACTGTTTTATGTATTTATTCAGCGTCCAGTAAACAGTTGTCTGATATTCAACAAAGAGTCGTCGGATCTCTTATTTTGCCATTACCACTAGACACGTCGTAACTTGCGATGTGTCTTAAGCTGTTGTCAAGGAACTTACGACGCGTTCAACACATCGCAAGTTTGTGAAATGGACCATACGACGCTTCGCAACCTGCACGTGTTACACGTCGTAACTCGGGTTGCGACGCGTCGCAGCGCTTCGTGAAATCGGGTGCAGGATGTACAAGTTTTGGACAACCTATGAAGTGTGCCTTTGGGGGGTACGAAGGTGTGCAACCCAAACCAGGCTATATCACTTACAGTCTGCACGGCTTACAGAATACTTAGTGTGCAACAGTGCTGATCTATCTTCTTCTTTTTTCCTGATTCAGAGAACAAAGTGGTACCCTTGCAGCTGTCGGACTACTTGATGGACGTGACGAACCACTTTGAGAAGCAAGGCTTTGAGTACGCGTTACTCTTCAAGAAGGTGGTGTGGTATCAGCCCATGAGTGTCAGTAACGAGTTCGCATCGGCAACCATCTACAACCAGGTATCACTGTCGTTGTGAGAAGTCCAAACAAGTTTTGAACAAAAAAACAAAATTTAAGTTTCGGATATTTTCAAGTCATCCTGTTGTGTAGATTTCATCTGTGTGTGATCCTGTGGGAAGAGATCCAAACCCCAACTTATGTGAAGTCAATTACATGCTCTTTTGAACTAAATGATCAATATCAAATCTGCATACTTTTTAGCCCAAAGCCCAGTTATAGGAATAGTCTTAGCTGTAAACGACAAATCATTTTTTTTCTTTTTCCTATGTCCAGGTCTTACCGGATTATCAGAGCGGTCGTCTGGTTGTCTTAGAGTTCAACACTCTGACTGAGCAGCAGAAAGCTAAGATAGTCAGGCTGGCTATCCTCATGCACAGAGCAGCGGACAAGGTCCAGATACCAACAGTGTGAGTACTTTGTAGTCATCTCAAGTCAATTACAAGTCATCACAAGTCAATTACAAGTCATCACAAGTCATCACAAGTCATCATAAGTCATCAAAAGTCAATCATAAGTCATCAAAAGTCAATCATAAGTCATCATCATCATAAGTCATCACAAGTCATCACAAGTCATCAGTAGTCATCTCAAGACATCACAAGACATCACAAGTCATCACAAGTCATCACAAGTCATCACAAGTCAATCACAAGTCATCACAAGTCTTCATCATCACAAGTCATCACAAGTCTTTCACAAGTCATCACAAGTCATCACAAGTCAATCACAAGTCTTAACAAGTTATCACAAGTTGATCACAAGTCATCAGAATTCAATCCCAAGTCATCAGGAGTCATCACAAGTCATCACAAGTCAATCACAAGTCAATCAAAAGTAGTTGCTGGTCATCATAAATCATCACAAGTCATCAGAAGTCAATCCCAAGTCATCATAAGTCATCACAAGACATCACAACTCATCACAACTCATCACAAGTCACCATCATCACAAGTCAGTCGCAAGTCGGATAAAGTCAATCATAAATCACTACCTACAAGTCAATCACAAGTCGTCACAGGTCATCGTAAATCATTACAAGTCGTCACAAGTCATAACAAGCCATCACAAATCAATCACAAGTTGTCGCAAGTCATGTCTTCCAGTCTCAATTAGTCAACTGACAAAATATTTTTAAAAAGGCATTGTGTAGTCATTTTGTCATTTTCTGAAATTCCAAAAATGGCATTAGATCGAGAAGCTTGACAAAAACGGCATATCATTTATGTTAATTTTGGACTATTCTATTTTCTTCACAGGAAGGATCTGCCGGACCTCTTACCAGCTAATGTGATCAACCATATCAACAGCCAGCAGTGGTTGAACCTGATCCACAGTGAACTCCCCCTGCTGGAATCGATGAGTCCACACCTGGCCCGGACGGAGTTTGTCAACACGGTCATCAAGTGGCGGCTGTTCGGATCCAGCTTCTTCGACGTGGTGGTAAGGAAAGAATATTTAATTGGAGAACAATTTCTGAAATGGTTGGATATAATCATGAGTAATATTGTATGAAAATGATGGTGATGGACTATCCCCTGTAATCCGCTCCGTTCACAAGTACCCCCTCATCGGCAGAGAAAGTACAGTTGGGGGTGGCCGACTGACGCCATCTTGCCTGACTGCAATTTGCCACGACGCGTGGCTGTACCACTGCGTGTACGCAGTACAAATGCCCTGGTGTACGTACGGCACACACAAGGAACGGTGCGCGTCAACCAGCTAAATGTCCCGCCCATGGGACGTCGTTGCTAGGTAAAAGGGCGCCCTCTTTATTGGCGCACGGAGCCCATAGGGAGTAATTTTATTATACTATTGGTTTTGTCCATATTGTTTCCCATATGACAGCATGTGTCAGACTCCCGTGTTGGTGGAGGGTGCCTTCTTGCCATCAACAAAACAGGAGTGCACTTCTTGCATCCACAGTCTCATGTAAGTATTACAAGATTTGATTTGAAGGTTTGCATGGTGGAAGATACTAAGACAAGATAAGTTTGCGGTAGCACCATGTGAATAAATCTCTTTTCAGAACCACACATACTCACAAAAGAGATTTATTCACATGGTGCTACCGCAAACTTATCTTGTCTTATTACAAGATTTCCAAACACAGAACTGTCTGGGTGGGGATCGTTAGGCTTAAAGAGTGCATTGTATCAGAACGATAAAAACATAGATGTCAGATGTAACAGGGACAGGAAAAAATGGACCCTAAATTGTATTAAAATCATAATTTTAAAAAAGAAAAATTAGAGTAAATGTTGACAAGGAAGCGTACTTTGTGCGTTTGGCTTTGCAGGAAGTACTGGTGACTCACGGCTTCCATGAAGTGGTTTCCTCGCACCACCTGAAGGGAGACGGCAGGCAGTACGTGGACCTGAAATGTGGAAACCTGATGGTGCAGAAAGTCACCAGGATCCAGACCAACCAGGTAAAAATAGGCAATGACATTTTATCTGGAGTACTGTGGCCTATTGGTTAAGGGCACTGATTCGTTGTCTGTGGGTAAAGCTGCAGGTCGTGGGTTCGAGTCCTGGCGGGGTCATGGTGCGTGTGCCCTTGAGCAAGGCACTTTGTCACTCATTGCTTCTCTCCACCCAGGAGTAAATGGGTACCTATGAGGGCAGTGATGGTTATTGTGATTGAATTAGCTTCCTTGCGCCTAACAGGCAGCATTGAGCTGTATACTCCCCAGGGAGCTGAGATGGTATATGGAATGTTTAATTGGCCCAATGATTAGGGGTAATAATAATGTAAAGCGCTTTGATCTTAGTTAAAAGCGCTATATAAGAACCTGTTATTATTATTATCTCGGAACGAATCTAGTATCCAGACGCCACTTCTTTGGTTGTAAACAAAGTCTGTGGAGAGGCAAGTGCATTTCCAAAGTATTTTCCGTCACAAAATCGGAAATGTTTCTCAGTCCCAGATTCACGTCTCTTCAATATTTTTGCAATGACTGACCTTTTTTTGACAAAAGTGTGAGGTGTTATGACAAAATGAAACAGAACAGGGCAGAGGTCGAAACGAGGGTTTGCGGGTTTTAGGAAAGAGAATAAATTTCTGCTTACAATACTATTTGTTGCCTCAAATCAGGCATGCCATTGATAAGTTAAGGTTGAAAAACCGTTGTATAGAATGCATTCAGTCTCGAATTGACTTTTTCATTGATCCCCCACAATTGTGCAACTTATTAATTTAGAATTTAAAAAAAAACGAGTTTATGAATGCCACTGTAGCGGTTGGGTTTCCCTGCTTACATTTTTCACACTTCATCACCTGGAACAACATGGATGCCCTTATTTGTTGTATTTCAGTGCACTGAGATCATCAATGTCATTGGGCAACACATGCAACGCCAAGTCACCAGCGGTCACCAGCCCGACCAGCCAGACAGCATAGCCGACTTCAACAACCTGGCCTCCCCCAAGTACCCACCCAGCCAGGGCCAGGAGAGCCCCAACAATCCGGCCAAGCGATGGGGCGGGGTGGCCACGCCCATCCAGGAGGTGACCAAGCAATCCAACGTGGCCCGGTCCCCGAGCGCACTGTCCGATTACAACCGGGGGGCCAACGTGGCCCGGTCCCCGAGCGCACTGTCCGATTACAACCGGGCGGGGTCGCCAAGTGGTTACCGGGCGGGGTCCCCGAGTCGCCTGTCCCCGCGGCGACCCTCCCCGGCGTCATCGATCAGCGAGCCGGAGGTTTCGGAGCCACGCCCGTCGTCACCGAGGAGGCCTCCGAGTCCGTTTGACAACAGACCCCGGCAGCTGGACTCCAATTGGGTCTTGGCGCCCAAGGATGCCGAGAGGGGCCACGCCCGGATGCCTTCCTGGGACCGCTCCTCGGGCAGCGCCCGGGATTCCTCAGACGGAGAACCTTACAACCGCTCCTCCCCAGTACTTCCTCCTGCGTCATCGGGGAACATCTTGAAGATGGGGATGCCGCGATCGGCCGCCACCAGGCAGGCATCGAAACAGGCTGCACCTGCTGTTGCGAACGGCAACCTGCACGGCAATCGCATGGGGAGAGGAGCTGTGCCTGGTGCTTACAATGGCCGGAAGTAAGTGCCTCAACACCAACGTAATATTTCCATTATCAAAGTACGAGGTTTTTAATTTTACTAACTAAATCAAATAAAAATGGCCGCTGATCTTTGGATAGGTATCCCTTTCACCCTTTCCATACTTCTGGTCTAAATCCAGTTGTGGTCCAAGCTTCCAGTCATTTTCATACACCATAAGTACTGAAGTGACGTGGTTTCTGCCTTAAAATATGAAAATTGCTTTATCAAATTTATAAAAATCTTTCCGTCCAAGCATGATGAATGTTTATGTTGTATATCTCTTTTCAAACAGTGGAGGAATAGATCCTTCAATAGTAAAACAGTATCTAGACATTGAATGCAAGTGAAAGAGAAGTCAATGCATATTATTCATTACTGCCGTAGGGCATCACCAGCGCTTTCAAGCGGGAGGTGCCAGGTTCGAAACCACACCGGGTCACCTTAGTTGAAAGAAACACGTTGAATTGCCTTTAAAATAATAACATAATTTTAAGCATTGACAGTCTATAGACCATTATCATGTTGCGGCCATCTTGATGTTTTATTCATTCAAATCAACGTAACCAAAGCGAGGCTGGAAGGAAAAATAGTCTGGTTCCTTTTTTGCACAAAAAATATTATCATTCAGTACTGTTATTGGATACAGGGAACATGACTGAAATGGTGGCAGCATGATAAAGGTCTTTTGGGATCACCACGCAGTGTCATCGGGGATCAAACAAAATACTTGGATGGCGTATTGACAAAGTGGGCGGGGCTTAGTTTTGATTAAACTCCGCCCACTTTGTATGTGTGCAACAACCCGTGTGTTTCCCTAATGCCACTTGGTTGAGCAGTCACAGCTGTGATTGGTCCAAAACATTGGGGGGAGGAGCCTAATGGGTGGGGCTACAGACTGGACACCACCCACAGAAATTTAGAAACCATAAAATTCAGAGATTTTCTTGAGCATTATTAATTCAAAACTGTTTTCAATTCTGAGCCTGAACGTCTGTATTCACACATTCTATTTCGATGTTTAATTCCCAGTCATTCCAATTATTTCAAAACTGCCGTAAATCTTATTGCCTTTGAAATAGAGTTGTATTTATAAGAGTGAATTATATAATGATAGATTTGTATTGATTGAATATATTTACTTAGAGATTTGTTGAATACTTTTGCCAAATGCATGTAGTTAGTATTAAGTCTTTATATATAGTAAGCGGATGTTTGTATATAATTATGATCATACTTACAGCAGATTTATTCATATGGACACGCTGTCTTCATATGTGATTTCCTTTTTAAAGAAATAATATGCCTATTTATATATCTTTTTATATCAGAATTATATCAAATCTCAAAAGTACTCGGAAATTGAAAAGCGGTTTTGCCACAGATGAAGATGTGTAAATTTACAAATGCTTGATATATAATTTAAAGAAACTGATGAAGACGACGATTGTATTTTGATTTTTGTACATTTGAATGCAGAAATAAAGAAAAGAAAGACTTACTGGTGCATATTTAAATAGAAATAATTTGAAGTATTCAGCTGTTTAATGAAGTTGTCCAACTCAAAACAAAATGGTATTCCTTTAAATTTTCTGGCGATGTGTACAGCTCATGTTTTCTTTCTGAAAGAAAAGGAATGTCTGTTATTGTTTCTTTTTGTTCAAGTCTGTTTAATTGTAAATCAATGCAGCTGTGGAGAAAAGCTATCGGTAGAATCAGTTTATTTTAAAGACATCAATTGTTTAGAGGCTTAATCCGTGTACTGCACATGTATGTACAATATGTACACTGCCTGTTATCTTGAAAGCAACTGCCAATACTAGTGGCTGTTTCCACTTTTCTTGACGAAGTTTTGCGTAATTGTTAGGATCTTTGTATTTTATAAATGTTAATGAATATTGTGAAAGTTTCATTGGAACTTTATGAACTCTTTGGAACCCTTCAAAGTTTACATAAAGAATCATAGTGTGACTGTGTAGGCCCACCAGAACATTAAAGGGTTTTGAACAGTATAATGTACGAGTTAGTACAGTGTATTCAGTGTTACACCACCAAAAATTACGTTGTTGAATTATACCAGAAACAAACAAAGGAAATTCCTTGTGGTGAATTTTGGAACCTTTTCAACGAGTCAAACCTTGTAAAGGCGTTAGACTTCGTTCCAACTTCATCCCGTCCATTTTGTTTTGCAACAAGAATATCCTCGCTGTTAAATAAAAAAAAAATTTAAAATAGGCATCTCTCTTCCCTTTTGTATTGGGATGTCATCTTCCAGGATTCATTCACTTTTCTTGAACAGATATCTTATGTTGCTTTTACATTTAAAAAAAATGGCAACTTTTCGCTTGAGTTAATTTGGTCTTAACAAAATCCTGGAATCTGTTTTTTCTTTGGTAAATGTGTAAAAAATATTTCCGTGCCTAGAAAAAAAATCTGCAAACTTAAAAATTCTTGTTCAACTTTACTTTTGTAAAATGTTGAAATTTGTAGTCTGGTAGCTGTCAGATGAAATTAGTGCCAAAAATAGGATACATTTTTTTAGTAATTTTTTTTTTATATTTGTCTTTTTTTATATTGTCTTCTGCTTTTATCGCCCATCGATGCAAGCCAAGCAAACAGCGTTCGCTCCACATTCCAAAATAAGACATTCATGAAAAATATTTTCTTTTGAAAAAATAATTTCATATATACTTGTATTTAGTGCCTACATATGTATGCTACAAATTAAGTTTAATATACAGTAAGGACAGGACTTTTGTCGATTATGGCAGAGGGCTAGCATAGTGTTCTAATTGACTAACTGGCGGACTCACTTATGCACCGGGCAGTGCTATTGTATAGGATTACCTATAACGCCAAATCTGGCCCATTGTGTAGACAAGATGCATAAAAAACTTCCAATGCATAGCAATTTTGAATAAATTGAAACAAATTCTGTGCACTATAGGATCAGATTTACAAGTCTCGCCTCATCTTGTTCACGTATTTTATGTATTTTTACAGTTACTTGGAAGAAAAAAAAGAAAGCTGTTTTTAATTTTTGAGCAGTGTTATGATCGCAGATACTAGAATATATAGAGTTAGGGGAAGTCAATTTGTAGACTTTTAAAACAGTAGTTTTCTTTTCTACTTTGAAAATGGTATTTCAATTGAAATTGAGTATAAAACTCTGTATTATTTTGTCATTCACCCACCATATTAATTTCAGAAGTCAATGCCTTTCAATTTACTGCCGAAAACTCCTTTGATTTGATATACTGCCGAAAACTCCTTTGATTTGATATATTTTGAGTAACACCTAATATTGTTAAAGAAGTTACGACAGTTTTATACATGTAGCTCATTAATGTCGTATTAACCCAAGTTTCACGTATTTTTGTTTTGCCTTATAGAATTTAGTGTACCATACATATACACAGATGGAGTAAAAAGAAAAATTGCAGAGAATTAAACTGAGCTTTTTAAAAGTTTATTTTAATGCATCTGTATTATCGCAATTGATGATTGGACAACCACGATGAATATTGAAATGTTTATGCCAAATAATTTTTTTATAAAAATGATGCTACAAAATGTCGTAATTTGCTATTTTTCTAATAAATTATTGATCCAAGATTAACCAGACAAGTGGCTTCATTCTTTGCCTTTTTTTAAAAAGATTCATTTCACTTTAACCTCAACGCAACTTATTTTATAAGCACCACTAGTGGGCAATTCAAAGGTAACTCGCGTTACATTTTAAGTAGTGCTGTAAATCTGTGCCTGTTCAAATCACATGTCAAATCACATGACACTAGGGAGCACTGTTCCAGGCGCGGATCCAACCCCCCCCCCCCCCCCCACCAACACCCCCCAGCTCTGTCAAATTGGGTTTTTTTTTCATAGAAATTCCTTCAAAATAATGCGACCCCCCCCCCCCCCCCTTCCACTCTGACACCCAAAAAATTATGGGTAATAATGTCCGCCTGTGCACAAAACATGGAGAGAGCTAGCGTGGTTAGGTTTTTTTTGTTGACTATCATCTGTAATAAAGTGTAAAAAGTCGGATTTGAACATCGCCCCTGTTGAAAGTACAAGCGCCCTCAGTTGTCTGGAAAGCATGGACAATTCCAAATGTTTAAAGAAATGCACTTTTCACTATCTTTAATCAAAAAGGGACGTCAAATAGTTTTCATACATTTTAAGATCCCAGTAGATAGATGCATAAAAAAATGAGCCCAAGTAAAATTGTAATGGTCCCTTTAAAAATTTAGGCCTATGTGTAATTGAATCATTTTGAATTATCTTTCAACCACTTTAATCACGCGTGTAAAAATAAATACACAAATATTTTCAAAATTGATCATCGATATCCGAAAAAGAAACTCTTGCCAATTTGAAGCTCTTTGTCAAACTTGTAAAAATATTTGTGGGTGAAATTAATTATGTAAGTTTGCGACTTGCACAAGTTTAATCACGGGGCGCGCCGGCGCCAAAATATGAGTAGAATTTTCACTGGTTTCCCAGCTCAGCTCATTGCACAAAGAATAGCAATCGGGTACCAGGGCTTGTCAAAGCATTGTGTGCACGTTGGTGGCGCGAATTTGCACCATGTGCGATACGTGACTTGCCTGTAAAAATAAAGTACACAATACTGGCTGCGATAGGGATCGATTGTTTCATGATAAAAACTTAAATCAACAATTCAGACGTAATCGGACCATATGCCATGAACGGGACTGCGGTTGAAACCTCAGTCGAGCCGACTGTTGCAAAGAGACAGAAGCTTTCCAACGGCGGAGAGGTAGGACGTGGCATTGCATTGCCGTTCTTCGACTTCATGTTTTGTTGTCTCGTGCCGCGCCGTGTTCATTATTGTCAATGCCATTGTTTTTGTAGTCGTGGTAGTACTTTTGTAGGCTCTATAAGTTATAAGTAACGCATACCAGTTCAGTTATCATTTAGGAATAGGAAGACCTAGTTATGTTCTCGTGCTTTTTTATCTCTTATTCAGCATTTGTGTTTCATTCCAACTCAGACACGACAGACACAAAAACCCTATTTTTATTTGGCAGTCTGGCAACAGCGGCCCATGCCATGGCCTTGGCTCCATGATTATATTATATTATGACCTTGGACCGGTCCCTGATTGTTTTTCGTTGTTGTACCGTCACTGCACTGAACACTGAGTGTTTAATTTTATTTTATTTATTATTATTTAGGCATATTGTGGTTTTTTTTTTGGGGGGGGGTAGAATTGTAATTGTAATTGTAAAGTAAGTAGGCAGCTGGGCCTAGGCCTAAAAACCCTAGTGTAGTACTATAGCCTAGGCTAGCCCCAGTAAAAGGTCTAGGGCCTAATTGGATAGCCCTAACAGTCCTGAATCCTCCAATTTACATACGATTTTGCACACCCCCTAGGGAACTAAACATGTATATGGGCCATTTTTTTTGCGTAAGAATGTTGCAACCTGACACCACTTTTTTTCATCCTGTCTTATCTCAATGAAGGTCAGTCATAAAAATATTTAAAAAAACTGGGACTGAGAAACATTTCCAGTTTTGTTAAAAAATACTTTCAAAAATGCACTGGACTCTCTCTCCATAGACTTTGTACACAACCAAGTCTAAGAAGTGGCATCTGGATACATTCTTTCTATTTTTTTTTGGTGTCTGGTTCAAAAGTGAATAACTTTTGTATTGCTAGAAACTTTAGCAATTTAGAAAAGGAATCAATTTTTCGGGATAAAACTCAAAAATAGCCTGGGGAATGATCTTTAAATTGAAGGATAAAAAAAATGTGATTAATCAAATTTCAGCTATCAATATGTCATAACCGACATGCATGTCACTGTTTCTTCTATAACAGGTACATTTGGACATCATGCCTGCTAACGACACAACCGTAGTCACTCCAGCCCCTGAGGGTTGGTTTGGGAGCGAACCCCTGGCAACCAACGACCCTGCCATAGCGAACATCATCTCCAAGGAGAAAGACCGACAAAGGCGCGGCCTGGAGTTGATTGCCTCGGAGAACTTTACCAGCCGTGCCGTGTTGGAGACGCTAGGCTCCTGCCTGCAGAACAAATACTGCGAGGGTTACCCTGGAAACAGGTGAATTTAAAGCAATTGTTCCCAAACTCTCCCCCCCCCCCTCCACCCAGCTCTGAATGGTTCTTTAGCCCTAACTCCCTGGCATGATTTACTAGGAACCATACCCATCCTGGCAAATTCCAAAACCACATGGGAAACTGCACACACATTTGCATGTATAGTTTAATTTCTCAAAAAGTACCTGAGGCCAAAAAATAAAGTCTTCGGTTTCTGGTATGGAGTTTGCCCCAAAAGTGGTGCGGCGACGATTTTTTTTTTTTTTACTTTTTTTTTCTTCAAATGTCGGCTTATGACTGCAAATGGTGCCCGACTAAATTTAGTGCAAAATATATGGGAGCCCAGAGAGGCCACATACCGCTTATACTTGATCGTAACCCCATCTAAACACACGTTAAAATTGTGCAGCAGCAGGATTCCAGTCAACCAGTGAGTTTGGCAGTTTTGAGACATCATCTTACATTGGACAAAAACTTTTTAATTTTTCCGACGCGCATGGTTACGGCGACACGCCCATACCAGAAATCGGAGACTTTTTTTTGTTTGGCCTAAGATGAGTATTTTATTTTGATGGAGCCTATACTCTTGTGTATAATCAGTGAAATGTTACAGAAACCCATTCATGCAAACCAGAGCTGCAACAGATTATAAAAGGATGTGTGTTTTTCAACCATTCCAATGGGAAATACACATTGCATTGAAAATCACTCAACCGGCACTCTGCAATGGGTCTTTTCATTAACTGTGTAAATCACGTTGAAACGGGTGAAAAACACATTGCCATTTATAATTCGTTGTACATGTATGCCTGGTTTGCATGAATTGATTTTCATCAAAGTTTCGCTGTGATTATACACACAAACAATATACTCCATCAACATGAAATGCTGATGTTGGATATTTTTTGAGAAATTTAAAGATGTCTGCGTGCACACTTTTTTTGTGTCACCCTTTATTGTTTCCTGTGTCACAGTTTTTGGCATTTTTTCTTCTTTTCATACAGGGTGAGTAAAAAAAAGTGGAACCCAAACCCCCAAAATTATATTTCATATTTAAACAAATATGTAGCACCCAAAATAATAATGACTGGAAAGCCAATTTCATAAGCTACTTTTAAATGAAAAAATTAATGAAATTGCTCAATCCGTTCAAAGAATATCACCATTTAAACACAATGACCCTAAAAGTTCTTTCGTCCAAAAATTCGATTTCAAGAATCATCGTCACAATTGTCTTCAAGCATCACCAGGGAAAAACCCTCAGTTGAAAAGTTAAAATATTCAACAGAGTCCTTTTGAAGGCCCGTCTTTTCAAAAAAAATTTATAACTCATATTGTTTGCCTAACCAGGGTTGTTAATAAAGATATTGTGTGCTACAGTTGTTGACAGTTGTTGAAACAAGTATTCTGTGTCATTTTCTTTGTTCCAAACAGTAAGAATACACAATAAACTGCTTTTTTGGACGAAACAGGTTTTAGCTTCATTGCGTTTAAATGGTGATATTCTCTGAACGGATTGAGCAATTTCAGTAATTTTTTCATTTAAAAGTAGCTTATGAAATTGGCTTTCCAGTCATTATTATTTTTGGTGCTACATATTTTGTAAAATATGAAATTTTGGGGGTTTGGGTTCCGCTTTTTTTGACTCACCCTATATTTCCCTGGTTCTGGTAGATATTACGGCGGCACCGAACACTATGACGAACTGGAGCTCCTCTGCATCAAGCGTGCCCAGGAGGCCTACGGCCTCAACCCCGACGAGTGGGGCGTCAACGTCCAGCCCTACTCCGGTTCCCCGGCCAACTTTGCCGTCTTCACTGCTGTCATCGGTCCCCACGGCCGCATCATGGGTCTGGACCTGCCGGACGGCGGTCACCTGACCCATGGCTTCATGACAAGCCGTAAGAAGATCTCGGCTACCTCGGTCTACTTTGAGTCCATGCCGTACAAGGTGAACCCGGAGACCGGGTACATCGACATGGATCGATTGGAGGAGAACGCTCGTCTCTTTCACCCCCAGGTGGTGATTGCTGGTACGTTAGCGGCGCATTTCTTGGTCACACAAGACAAGACAAGTTTAGTGTTTTGGTTTGAAGATGCGTTTCCCATGCTTTTTTTTTTGGTTTCCCTTTGAAAACTTTCCCGCAGAATGTTCGCGTCGGTCCAGATCGTAAGTGGGTGCAGAATTCTTAAGCTTTGTGGCCTTACTGAGGTCACCTCAAGCTCCACCCTGAACGATATTTTTGAGAGTTTTAAGGGGATCGAAGCGTCATCTGCAACATCACAGTCAGCCGACATTTGAAGGGAAAAAACCCTGCGTGGCCCACCACTTTGGGGGCAATCTCCATACAAGAAACTGGAGACTTATTTTTTTTGGCATAACTGAATGAGTGTTTCATTTGTTCATTTACAATTTAAATGAAACATGCAGATTTTGCACCCTAAACCTCCTAGATCCTTAGGTTTTCAAGGAATTTTTAGGATCAAGAAACCTGCTATATAATATTATTACCAAGCTTATAATACATCAAGTTGAAGTACAAAGAGCGTTTTGTATTGTAAGGCCAAAAAAAAAGTCTCCGGTTTCTGGTATGCGCACGCGTCGCCGTGCGCGTCGGCAAAATGAAAAAGTTTTTTTTTTAATAAAAGATGATGTCCCCAAACCGCCAAACTCACTGGTTTGACTGGAATACTGCTGCTGCACAATTTTAACGTGTTTTTAGATTGGGTTATGGTCGAGAATAAGCTTTATGTGGCCTCTCTGGACTCCCATATATTTGCACTAAGTTTAGTCGGGCACCATTTGCAGTCATCAGCACACATTTAAAGCAAAAAAATCAGGTTAAAAAAAAAAAAAAGCCGCGTTGCCGCATCACTTTTTGGGCAAGCTCCATACCAGAAACCGGAGACTTTTTTGGGGGGGCCTAATGGATTTTGAGGGGAAAAAAACTGGCTCGGTACATGCAGTTAGATTTTTTATGTCAAACATCAAAGTACACATATACGCAGAGCCATGCACATTGCATGTGCACATCTTTAACTGTTCTATTCTCAGATATGCCAAAGATCAGAACGACAGAATTAGACCTGCTTATCTGCTGTATTTTTAGTCTCAAGTGTAAATATGCAGGATATCAGGGGGCAAAGGTTAACTCACATGGAAACTCAGTCTGGTTTTTACTAGTTAAAAACTGCATGGGGGAATGGAGACATTGTGTTTGTGGTTTCTGTGTTTTGAGTATGAGAAAATTCCAGCCCCTTAAAAAAAAAAAATTCAGTTTAATGTTTCAAGTGCTGGTCCCTACATGTACATGTAGGAATGAGCCATTGAAATTCTTTGAAATTCTTTGATCTTTGAAATTCCACAAATCGTGTGACAGTGCAATGGAACTTCTATTTATTGGGAAATAGAACTTCTTCTTTTTTTTACGGTGGGGACGGGCCGTGGGTTGGGACGAAGAATTCAATGACGTGATCAACGACCACCAATCAGATGATGGGGATTTATTCGGGCATTGCATTAATTCGAAATTATATTATGAAGGATAATTGGCATATATAGATGTAGTTCCAAAGTATGTCATAGGAAAAAAAACTTCAATCAGTTTTTTCCCATGGCGGGTGTGAAACACGCCGTGGACTTGAGCTGCTTTTGTCGGTTTGTTGGTTGGTGGGTTTGTTGGTTGGTGGGTGGGTTGGTGGGTTTGTTGGTTGGTGGGTTGGTTGGTTGGTGGGTGGTTTGGTGGACAGTTTACTAGGCCATATATTACATTGTATATTCATGCAACTCGAGTATTACAGCTTTCCTTCCAAAGCCGGTTTTGATAACGAGGATGCGCATACATCTAATTTGCATATTTTTTAAATATTCGATCACGCCTTATCCGTTTCCGTTTTCTTAACTCTCGAGGACAGTACGGCCCAGGGGCACGGACGGTGCCTTAAGCCATCTTCACACGTCACCCGGCCGCCGTGGGCTATACCACTTGTTTCTCAAATTCTTACTTGCATGTTGTACATGTAGCTCAATGAAGGAGAACGTAAGGTTCTACATGAACTCCTTGCTTTTGTTTGCATGTTTCCAGGCATCAGTTGCTACTCTCGTAACCTGGACTACGCCCGGTTCCGTAAGATCGCCGACCAGCACGATGCGTACCTGATGGCTGACATGGCGCACATCAGCGGTCTGGTGGCATCTGGGGCCGTCCCCAGCCCGTTTGACCACTGCGACATCGTCACCAGCACCACCCACAAGACACTGCGGGGGCCAAGGGCTGGCATCATATTCTTCCGCAAAGGTACATGGAATAAAAATAGGAGTACCTCAAGATGTTAGGCCAAAAAAAAGTTCTGCTTCTGATTACATGGCATTCAAAAATAGGGTAGGTAGGGAATTTGTTTTTTTATTTTTGTCAAATTGTTTTTGTGTACGATCATATGGAGGCATCTGCCTGTTGCCGAGGGTAATAAAAGGTAAAAATTGATGGTTTTGGGTGTTTTTTGCTCATTTTTCCCTTTAAAAAAAATCAGGATAGGGGCTGTCAGAATAGGGTAGCTAGGAAAAAAGTGGAAGCAGAATTTTTTTTTTTTTGCCTTATTGTTTATTCAGCATAAAGAAAGTGCACTAGAACAATGCTGTACGACTCAAACAAAACAATAAGCATGTGCCAGGGATTGAAAAAAAAACATGACTTGCATCTTGTATGTAAATGTAAAACTTGTCAACAAAAGTCTTAAAATCCAGTTTCATAAAAATGGGACATAAATGCGACAGCTCAAAAATGATTCATCCCATCTGAGCACTTTTTGTGCCATTACATGTATTTCACCCTCTAATATAATTGTTATACAGGGTGGGTAAAAAAACGAAACCCAAATGTCGGGACCATTGTTTTAGTGAAGTTCTGCATGTAGCACTTTCAAAATCTGGGATATGACATCCCAATTTCATAAGCTTTCTTTTAGTACAAGAATCATTAAAATCACTCATGTACTTTTTTAAGTTACGGAGTTTTAAACACAACCACCGTTTTAAAAGTTCTATCCACGGATCACAAAAAAAGTGTGCGTTCTTTCAGCAAAACAAAACGATTCACACTTATCCTTATGTGATTTGTTTCGTTTTACTGAAAGAACACTGAATTTTTTTGTGATCAGTGGACAGAACCTTAAAACGGCGGTTGTGTTTAAAACTCCGTAACTTGAAAAGTACATGAGTGATTTGAATGATTCTTGTACTAAAAGAAAGCATATGAATTGGGCTTTCATATCCTATATTTTGAAAGTGCTACATACAGAACTTCACTAAAACAATGGTCCGGACATTTGGGTTTCGTTTTTTTTCACTTACCCTGTACAGCAACAGAATATAGTCAATGCACTAATTACCTCTAAGGTAGGGGAAATTAGGGCTGAAAAAAAAAATCATAGTTCTGGATATTTTGCAATTTATTACTCTCCAAGTGTTTGTTATTTATTGTGGGTTACGTTTCATACACGTAGCACAAATAGACGGCCATAAGGAAAGATGCCAAGATACAATGTGTAACTTTTTTTTATCACTTTCTGACTCTATATCCACTCATAACCAAAATATAAACCAAGTTAACGTAAGGCAAATGGTGCTGAAAAGTTAAATGGAAAAGTACATGTTTCACGCTGTGCCAATACCAGTAGAAAGAAATTTGTACGAGGTCAGAGACCTTGGTCTTGATGGAGGAAGTCTTTCACAGTGGGGCCCTTGTTTTTGTAGAGATGAACTCCTGGCAATCCTTAAAATGATTTATTTTTTTCGGTAGGGGGGATTTTTCTTTGAGCAATTGGCTGTTGAAAATGAAATATGCCACTTATGATACAACTTCCTTTTACATGTGTATGGAATTATAAATTGATGTCATGCTGTTGTTTTGATTTGTCTCTGGCGGGTAATATATAAACTTACTCAAGCCTTGCTGTACACAAAAACGTCAAACTTTTTTTTAAGTACATGTATCTTCATCACACCAACTTCGGTTTACCCCAAACCACTAAAATATTCTTTTTTTTATGGATTTATCAGGGAATAAACACAACGAAATGTGACCCACTCCAGAAAAAGGTGATATAAGTCGTAAAAAATAAAATTCAAGTTTATATACACGACTGGAAAGCCCTCAATGTAAGCTTTCATTTGGTATATGACACAGCTCTATAGCCCTTCTCGTTGTGGAGATATGACAAATTTACATATTAATTAGTTCCATGGAGTTCAAATTACACAACTGAGAAAACAGGCTTTGAAATAGCTGTCTCTGTTGTAGATTTGGGCATGAAAAGCTCACTTTTAGTATCTTAGCCACCAACATGTTCCTGTTTTACTATCACTTTTAAACTTTGGATATTGATTCTACAACAATTATTTTCAATGATTTTTTGGGGAAAAGAGACTTTTTGAAACCAGATCACTATCTTTTGGCTAATTTGCATATTGATTAAAATCATAGTTTTTGGATGTAAAACAAAGAGAACAATGCACACAAAATAAGGTTATTTTTTCCCTTTATTCATCGAAATCAACATTTCTATGAATGAATCCTTAAATTTTGGGTATCAAAGATGTCATTTAAGACAAAAATAGGAATTTGGATTTTGACGGAAAATTTCACCCTCTCAACGTTCAGCGTGCCATTACAGCGCGACTTATATCACCTTTTCCTGGAGGGGGTTACAAGTATAATGAAGTAAAGGTGATAATAATAAGTTAAAAAAGGCGGACAGTCAGTCCTTCTTTCTGTTAGCCTTCTTCATCTGTGTTTCCATTTGACTGTTCCAGGTGTGCGTAAGACCTTGAAGAACGGAACGCAGGTCATGTACAACCTGGAGAAGACCATCAATGAAGCCGTCTTCCCTGGCTTGCAGGGCGGTCCACACATGCACGCCATCGCTGGTAAGTACTTGGCTGGAATGCATTGGCCATTAATTAACCCTAACCGCCCTGAATCCTTCAAAATCCTCTTTGCCAAAGTGGAGGAATTTGGAGGATTGAGGTTACATGGCAAAAGTGCGTTACTGATTTCGTAGGATGCACTTTGTCAAGGTCTTGGCCTGGACCTTGTGTTGTTTTTGCTCAGCCATGCATAAATATAGGCCTGGATTATGCTCTAAATCCTCCGTACTGCTCCAGTCACTGGCCAAGCTTCAACATATTGACAGTCACTGCCGCAGGATTTTGCAGAATTCAGGCAGTGGTCACACCCCTCCATGGACCATATTCAAGAAATAATGGAGGAGTTAAGTACCTCCTTCAAATTGACTTCAGAATGGCCCGAAACTTGGAAATATCCTTATAATCATTTTCCTGGATCCATTTGAAGATTTACTCCTTTCTCGATGCACTTTGTGTTTTACTTAACTGTCGACTTACTCTTTCTTTTTATTTACGCTTCTTTTGAAGGTGTTGCTGTCGCACTGAAACAGACGATGAAGCCAGAATTTAAGACGTATGCCGCAAACGTCATCCAAAATGCCCAAGTCATGTGTAAAAGCCTTGTGGAGCGTGGCTACAAGGTTGTGACAGGTACGTTTCGGCAAGAAGCCAGTATTATTGAATACAAACATATTATTAGAGATATCTGTCCTTTTTACCCTTAACTGTTGAGAATCCACCTAAATGTAAATCTAATGCTCGGTTTTGCAGGACTTCGCAGCCTAGTCGTTATTGCTCTGCATTTGGCTCAAGGTCAATTTTACTCCCCAGTGTTTTGGTTTTGTTGGATTTTGGAGGCTTTCTGACAAAAAAAGCCATGGATAGGGCCCATGTGACTGGGCTTGCTTTCGGATACCAGAAAATCAGTGTCGCCATGTTAGTAGGCAAAGATCATATAGCGCTGCGCACAGTAGATATTTAGGCAAGTCTTTATAGCTGTGATGGACGGCGAAAACGCGGAGCCAACTCCCAGTGTAGTCGGAGTATCACACACTCACGTGTGCTGAGCCAGACGACGAACGTTTGATAACATGTACATTTTATGAGACCCCATGCGCCAGCCAATTCGAGTCCACTTTAGAACTTGTGATGTCATTTCGATCAGAAATGTGGATTGCTGTTGATTGGTCAATTTGGCTACCATGTTTTTGTAATACATCGGCTTACGGAAGACCCGATAGAAGGCGCCCGCTGGATGGTCAGAATCGGGAGGTCAAGGCGCAGTCTTGTTTTGCATAATTAATCGCCGAATCTGCTGGCATATCATAGACCCTTGCTGTGCAAGGGGATATTTCATAGACTACACCCTGTTCTGGGTCGGCATGATTATGACGACTGTACCCGGCACGGCACAGGTACATGCAGTAACCATTATGCCATTTCATAAAGAATAATGAAGTTATTTTTATGTGAATTGAGCCCTACTCTCTAGTTTACTTTGACGTCATACGATCGGACCCTAATTGTGAAATTAACTTTTAGAAAAATTCTGATCTGTGTAGTTGAACAACGAATGAGTCTGGTGGGCTGTTACCATTTTGCAGAAAAATGCAATATATTAGATCAATTGGAAAAATCTTTTTGTGTGCACAGTAAAGAAACAAAACGGGAATGGAAATTGGAAATTAAACCTTTAAAAAATGGAAATTAAACCTTTAAACTAACAGATACCTGAGAATTACATGTATGCTGAATAAAATTATTTTATGCTAAATAAAATTATTTTACTACCAAAAATTAATAATTTTAGATTACTACAGGTTGTGTGAATCTTCTACTGTATCTTTTTAATCCATGGAATTTAAAAATGAGTGAATCTATTTTATATACAATCAACTTTTATTCAAACTGAAGTATTCTTTCATTTATTTCTTTCTGCTCGTAGGTGGCACTGACAACCATCTACTCTTGGTTGACCTTCGACCAATCGGACTGGACGGTGCTCGCTGCGAGAAAATTCTGGAGGATATCTCCGTGGTCTGCAACAAGAACACCTGCCCTGGCGATCAGAGCGCTTTGAAACCCAGCGGCCTTCGCTTCGGCACTGCCGCGCTGACATCGCGCACGCTTACGGCTGCCGATTTTGAGAAAGTGGTGGACTTTATTGACAGAGGTGAGTTCAGACACCGGCTTAGTGGGGACCTTCTGGATGTTAATTTGAATACTGTTGTTTGTTTGTTTTCAAAATCTCTCTCCAAGTAATGCATAGAGTTTCACAAACAATGTAGTATCCAGACGCCATTTCAGTAGTTGTGTACAAAGTCTAGGGACAGTCAAGAACATTTTTAAAGTATTTCCTAACAAAATTGGAAATGTTTCTCGGTCCCAGATTCATGTCTTTTCAACACTCTTGCAGTGACTGACCTCCATGGAGATGATATATGATAATAATAAAAAAGTGGCGTCAGGGTGCAACATTCTTTTCAGAATTTCTTATTACCTTGGTATGTGAAAACAAGAAGGTGTTTTTTTTGCTGCAGTTTGTGCAGCTAAAATGGATTCATGAGAACAGGTCATCTACTCGGTTTTGGAATATTTCTGTCTCTGATTAAAATCATTTTAATCTGCCCTCTTGTTAAACAAGCTCTTTGGTAAATATGCACTGAAACGCATACAAGTGCACATCAGGCGATCGGGTGTGCTGATAGCAGAAAAATGCTTGACTGGGAAATTCCTACAAGATTAGGAAAAATACACATTTATCAAAGACATGTTTTATTTGATGTACTATTGTTGATAATATTGAAGGTACATTGTTGTACATCATGAGCATATAGGTATACTGCCTCTAGCCAGCTTGGTCATACATATTCATGCATATACGTGTACATGAGTTAAAGAGATCGTTGGTGCTAAATTGAATATTTCATATGACAAAAATGCAAAATCCCTCTTGTTTTGTAGTATGCACATAAATAAATAAATATATGAGAATTTTCTTGTCTGGCGCCTGCAAAACATGAAAAAAACAATTGATGACATCGACGGATCGCGTGACGTCATGGATAGGACTTCAGTTTCAAACAGTTTGCTGCTGTTACACGTATGTTCATAGCCTACTGCCTGTGATAGTCACTTAATTCACTTACGGGCTATACTTGCTGCACATGCGCAGTGTGAGACATCCACTAGTCTTTGCATGTTGGCGACATTTTACCAACATATTCTGGTGCTATGGTGGCATAAAATTTCCAAAATTTCTATTATATGAGTTTTCCCAAAGTTATACCTCGTAAATATATACTCAAAATAAGTTTCCAATAAAACTCACAATATAATCAACCGGGCTCTATTTTTTTCAAAAGGAATATTCGTTGCTCTTTTTTTTTTGGCCATGAAAATTGACCTTGAATCATATTGCATAAGGAACAAATCAATATTTGTGAATAGAAAAAAAATGTAGCTCCCTATTTATCACCTGGACGGGAACATTGACATTGCTGGCTTCACTTCCATAGGTCTCACTTATTCCTAAAAACTCAGATTTTTAAGGAAAACAAAATAAATATCGTAATCAACGAAAATCGCTGCTTGCGAAAAGACTACTACATCATTTGAATACGGAGCATCAATAGACCTATCGAAGCGAAAATTAGAGAAAGAAAAGACTGATTATGTCATGCCGCATTTAAGCCTTATTAAGGAACAAAGGCTGATGCGTCGAGTGGGATACCTGGGCACAATAGACAAACTAAGTGGAAGGCACAAACATATGTGGTTACATCATACATGCTGCTTTTAAACATTTACATGTACAGTCCATGTTGTTTTAAAAAAATGATTTTTTTTTTTTACTAAAGATGCAAAACTTACACTAAATAATGGTACTATCAATTCAAAACCTCAATTCCATGTACATTGATGTACAGTTTAGGTGGTTAGATTGAAATTTTTGTTTGGATTTAAAAGTTTTCTTTTGCCATCAAAAGATGGAACTATCACCCAATCTTCCTCAACTTTTTTGTTTTTACCGTTTTATCTCACACTAGGCATCAAGCTGACAAAGGAGGTGGCAGCAATCAGCGGTCCCACCCTGAAGGAGTTCCGAGAGACGGTGGCCACTAACGAGGAAGTCAAGAAGAAGATTGCCGCGATGCGGGAGGAGGTGGAGACCTTTGCCATGAAGTTTCCTCTCCCCGGCTTCTAAACACTAAACTTCCACTCACCACTGTCGAAATACGGCAATAAACGATGTTGTATTCACATAATTAAAAAATAGTAGAGGTAAGAAAGCAAATCTGTACTATTAAGGATTACAATCTTATTTCTGAATTGAATTAAAAATTCAAGTGTATATCAGTACCCGAAGAGGATATTTTTCATGATTTGTTAGGCGTATCAGTTCCATAATTGAATATTTTCAATTTGAATATTTTCAATTTGTTTTTAAATTTAATGAGTTTCAGTTTTTTTCAGTTTTCCATTGCAATGTCGGTTTCGTTCACACGTCTTTTTTGTTGTTGAAAATACTTGACCCAGAAAAGTATGGGGTCCATTTTGACTTGATTATCATTCCGTGTGCATTTGTCAAATTGTAAAATTATTCTCAAATGCCAAAGATGTACATGTATTGATATGCGTGCCTTTTGAAACGGCAAGTGTAATTTACATGTACAGGTACTATATAAAACACTACATGTATTCAATAGTTTCGTTAATTTTTTTTGTTTGTTAGAAATCTTCCTATAATTGCATAAATTCAAAGAAAATGCAGACATGTAGAAAATGATCTACAAAAAAAAATCATTGTTAATAAAAACAAATTGTTGTCTATTGCCGGAGTCTGATCAGAGCCGGGGTACAAATATTTCAATTTAAAGTGCATAATTTTTGTTTCAATCAGTTTACAAGTAATATTGAAGCACAGGCTGGCGTAGCGGTACTTTCCTCGCCTTTCACCACTGTGACCTGGGTTCGAATCCCGCCTGGGCCAATATGTGGACTGGGTTTTCCCTAGAATGTCGTTCTGGGGTTTTCCTCCCATCACTAAAACATCCACATCTTCTATCTTCCACAATCTTCTACGAAGTCTTATCCATCTTGTTGTGGTACTCGCGCTGTCGAAATAAATAAATAAATTAATAAAACTTGCTACAAGATATTGAAAATGCAGTTCAAACACTTTTTCACTGTACGTCATTAGTCTTAAATGGCTGAATTCAGCTTGGAAAAAAAGTTTTAAAAATTGGGGAAAACGGAAACACGTGACTGTTCAATTCGTTGTATGTTTATCAATTCAATTGTCATTCAAAATGATTGGGAATTTGTATCAGAACAGGGTAGTGTCTTGTACAAATACACATAGGTTTTATGGCACAGTCTATGTAGTGACGGCATGCATGCGAAATCAGTATTGTGTAATGATCTTGTGTGAAATATTTTGAAACCATTGAGATAAATCTGGCAGTAAGGGGATTGACCTTTGCCCATTGTGTTCACTTAGGTTCATGCTTATCACAATTTGTGGATTTTAAGCAGATCTATTGTAGCTATATCTGTTTGCGTGCTATTAATGTTTCAGACAAAATCACAGGCGAATGAAAATTGTTTAATGTCTGCAAAGTCCTAAAAAAACTCACACTTTTTGTACGTTGTTAACAACATGCTATTGCGCACCAGTGAGTCAATTAACCTATCGCGGTAGAATCGCGTTAGTAATGCGTCAACGCAGCTTGTGAGATTCTTGTTCGATTGCATGATATATGAATGGACGTGGAAAGCGCAAAATCTGAGACAAACAAAACTTAGTGTACAAAAACTCCATAGGGTTGTCTAAGAGGCGTGGCTAACTCGCAAACTGCGATAGGTCAATTTACATGAAAACTTCAAATATTTGCATATTTACGGAATGGTTGAGAACCATTTAGACTTTTACTAAAAACAAATAATGCATAAAAGCTCACGTCTCTCAGATGCACAAGCCAAGGGAGTGTTAAAGGGAATATACAACATTCGCTTTTGCTGTAATTTTCAGAAATGGATGGATGTGGGGGTTAGTATTTTATAGAAAATATTGTTACACTGACTTGTTGGACATTTCGGGTTTGTAGATGCTTGAAAAACCAAGACAAACAATCATGTTCTTGTAGTCTGGTTTTTTGACCCCACTTAAGATGAAACCGAGCAATTTGTAGATGTCGGGGAATTGTTAAGGTCAGGGAATCGGTCTAGCTGGCTTGTACCCGTTCACAGGTGTGTAATCGAATAGGAGCAGTGTTTGAAAAAAAGTCATTTTTTTTCCAACGCTGGTCGGCTGACCAGCGTTGGAAATTGATACAAAAATACCACTTTACTTGAACATGTCAGCACACCAGGTGCCATGATTTTACAGGATGCTTTATACTGTCATTCACTATAAACAGCCCAGTAAGGTATTTCGTGATAATTTGGTAGTTTTGTTTTTTGATGTTTGCAAATGTTCCCTTTAAACGTTCTATAAGCTGCTGCGCTTATTGATCTATATTTGAGGTTTTTTTAATCCAACGAAGGTCCAAAACTGCAATGAAAAGAGGTACACAAAAATATTTATATTCTTGGATTTCAATGTAAGTTTGAAATTAATTTTACATGTATTTGACAACAGTAGTGTGTGTTTTAACAACAAATTGTTTAGTTTTTCACTTGCCCTTGTGTGATATTAATTTAAAATCCTAATTTAAATGAAAAGAGCCTTTCAGAAGGAGCAAAGATGTACTAAGTATGAAGTTGTGTGCTGGAAAACCAATATCCTTGAAATGCATCGTTTTCTAATTCGTTGTTTAGCGCCATCATGCTCATAACAAGCAAATAAAAAGATAGCACATCAATGCAAAAGAAACTGTTTGCTCAGAATATTTTTTCTGTTTATCAAAGTGTTTGTCATTTGCAGCCTGCAACATGTAGCCTCATATTTCAGATTGTCAAAAATTACGTTTTTTGCTACATGTAAATGAGTTCTTCTTTACATAGTGGAGAAAGGACTAGTCTCCAATACATTTTTAATCTACAGGGCGAGTCGAAAAAAAAGCGGAACCCAAAAATTATATTTTATGTTAAAAAAAATATGTTGCACCAAACGATAAGCTACTTTTAGATGAAAAAAATTACTGAAATTGCTCAATCCATTCAAAGAATATCACACTTTAAACACAGTGACCCTAAAACCTGTTTAGTCCAAAAATGCGATTTCAAGAATCGTCGTCATAATTGACTTCAAACGTCACCAGCGATAAAACCTCTGTGGAAAAGTTAAAAATATTCAAGAAAGTCCTCTTGAAGGCATGTTTTTTTGAAGTGGATTTTATAAATCATATTGTTTGCCCAACCAGGGTTGTTTATAAAGATATTGTGTACTACACTTGTTGACAGTTGTTGAAACAAGTATTCTGTGTCATTTTCTTTGTTACTCCAAACAGTCTGAATACATACCAAACTGCTTTTTTTGTGTGGACGAAACATGTTTTAGGGTCATTGCGTTTAAATGTTGATATTCTTTGAACGGATCAAGCAATTTCAGTAAGTTTTTCATCTAAAAGTAGCGTATGAAATGGGCTTTCCGGTCATTATTATGTTTGGTGCTACATATTTTTTTAAATATGAAATATATTTGTTGGGGTTTGGGTTCTGCTTTTTTCACTCGCCCTGTACATGTAGATGCTATCAATTGCCCTTGTATTAAAATCATACACATGGCTTCAAACGAAGTAAAAAATGTATAGTCAACTAATGCAACAAACGAGTTACCATGACAACCGAGGTGAGTGTGGGTAATTGCTAATTCATGTATCCTTGAGGGCACTGTGTACATCTTCTCGACATTTTTCATTATTTTGACTCGCAAGCGACACATTGATATCGACTAGTTTTTGAGGGTCGGTTCGTGTTCATTAGTAGTCTTACTGAGAAAGGCACAGGCACCGACTAGTTTTCATGCCAGTTTGATCCGAGTATTACTTCGATTGAGTGGAACCAACATTTGGGAATCTTTGCTGTGTGGCAAGGAGGACATTCTTGCGTTGTAAACAATTTAGAGACGTATGGAATTGACATTGGGGGCCATGTTTAAGCTTTGTATTCTGCAATGGTTGCCAATTTGGGGTTTTCTGGCTGCGTCGATATCGGCTGCAAATATGATGCGATGCCCAGGCCCTGGATGGCAGCTGTGGAAGGGTTCATGCTACGTTCTCACCGATAAGACCAGCACCTGGCAAGAAGGCAAGTCGGCATGCAGGTCAATGGGCGGCCGTATGGCTGCTCCACGGTCTTCAGAAGAGAACGACTTCTTCGTATCTCTGGCTGGCCCGGGGGGGAAAGTCTGGATCGCCTGCAAATTCAACACGGCGGTAGCAGGGGGTCAGTTAGCATGTGAGGGGGTGGAGGCAGAATTTACCAAGTGGCACAATGGGGAACCCAACAACGACTCGGAAGAGTGTGTACTGCTGAAAGCCATATCGTCTGGAACCTGGTTCGACTATTCCTGTCAGAACCCGTACCCATCTGTCTGCAAGAAGAGAGCTGCAAAGCCTAGCCGCGACCTGGTCTGTTATGAAGTGGGTGAAAACGGGCGTCTGGTGGGGACAGCATAGGATGGCGGTGGCTTTACCTTGTTCCCCTAAACAGAAAGAAGCTACACTCTAACTGTGAGAGCCAGCTGAACATTCTCTTGAAACATTACAATGTAGTTCTTTTCCGGCAGCAAGAGCCAGGACAAGACTAGGTTTTACCTAGTTGTGCCGGACCCGAAAGCCTCGTTTTAAAACATTATACATGAACCCAGTCACTGTGACTCAGTCAGAGTGACCAGCCAGTGAGACAGTCAGCGACTCAGCCAGCCGGAGAATCAGTCCGTCAGTCAGACAATCAAAAACACAAAGGGCACGGTGGACTGATATGACCATAAAATATTGTAATTTCCCGCAGTTCGTCAGAACATTCCAAGGCATTTCAGAACTCTATCTGCAGCTTCTGGACAGCTTCTGGACAACTATTTTTGCAAGTTGAATGAGAAATGAATGTTTATCAGTTTGTAATGAACATTACGCGAATGATATTTGGCAACTTACTGTCAAAAGTTCCGACCACAAGCCGGATCAAGAATTAGCCATTATGTAAGTATTATTTTAATTTTCATGTGTTAGGCTTACACCACCCTAGAGAGATTAGAATTAGTGATCTGAACCTGCACAATAATTGTGATTTAAATTTTTAAAAATATGTGAATCAACATTATATTACTCTCCTGTATCAAGCACGTGTTTCTTTCCTATGAGCAAGTAAGAACCCTGCAGTTTCGTGGGCACATTGTCACAAATTCTGATCCATTTTTTTTTTTATCCATTACATATTTTTGTCTACTTATGGTTCATACTTGCTGATTAGTTTTGTGCTATTAATATGGAATCTTGATTGTCTTAGTTACATGCACTTTCCAATCAACTACAAACTTTAAAATCGTTGGTTTTTTGTGTATATTGTACACAAAATGATCTGGTACACGGTACCCTGTGGAGACATGTGCATAATAGGGAACAAAAGATTGTATACGTCTCCACAGAGCAATTTCTATGACGTGAATACGTCTCCACAAGGTTATCACGAAATAGATATATGGATTTTACTCAAACACTAGGAATTTCCAAGGTGGGTTGATCCGTCGCAAATTGAAGGATATTATGCAAGGGATATTAAGTCCGAATTTCAGCCCAGGAAATTCATTCTGCTTAAAATAGGAGCATTTTTAAACTACTTTCAAACTCTAAAATTTTAGTACACGAGAACAAAGAAATGACTCCACAAGGATACAAATTCCAGTATTTTTTGTACATGTACATGTTTCACCAGCATTGTGAGAGTTAGCATTTGCCATGCAAATCAATGTGGAAAATCTCGATCTTTTTACACCATGACCACAGTTGTGTTTCTGGTTATTTCTGAGGAAAAAATGAAGTTTTAATTATATTTTAACAAAATTACTTCACATATTCGTACTTTTGCTGTCAAGCCATGATTATCATGATGCAAGTACTATAATGATAAATGAATTACATGATTTCACTTCACATATTTTTACAACAAATTGTTGGCAAACCACAAGCACATTAGCCATATATCAGGATATATTTATTTCAGTAGTTTCTAGATACAACAAAGTCAATTGAATACTGCTTCATGCAAATTATTAGCACATTTAACTTGTAAATAGCACACAAACATACTTGTAATACTTATATAATTAATATTGTGTAATCCCTTTATACAGAACTTGTTAGAAAACAGTAAAAAGTTGACTAGAAAAGACAGATAGGGAGCTATAAAGATATATTCAGTAGCATCGGGAAGCATCATACTACTGGTGCGCATTTGAGGGTAGCACGAGAACTGCGTATCCTATTGAAGTAAAAGCCGGCCGTGAAAGAAACCCAACCCCAAAATTTAAATCCTGGAAGTTGTCTGAATGGCTTTTTAGCTTTACGGGGTAAACTGCAACTTTCGTGAGCGTCATCTGCCGCGCATTAAAATGCATATGGGGTGCTGTGGTCCAGTGGTTATGGTGTTCGACTCATGTGTCTTGGTACATAGGCTCGAATCCTTACTGTGGGAACATGGTACTTGTGCTCTTGAGCAAGGCACTTTACCATTATTGCTTCGTCTTTCAGATGGGGCGTAAAGCCGTAGGTCCCGTGTGTTGTGAAATGCACGTTAAAGAACCAGTACCACTTATCGCTAAGAGAAGGGGTTTGCCCCGGTGTTTCTGGCAGTGGCTGCAATATGTGCCGCAGCACCTTGTGAACCCTTACAAGGTGCTATGGGTCTCCTATTTCTCATAAACTTCATTTACCTGTCTTTAATACAAGACATAATTTCCAGCGTCTTGAGTACCTAATTGTTGGTAGATATACGTGCGCTATATAAGACTCCGGTATATAACTATTATATATGTGTTTGCATTTTAGTGCACAACATACAATGTAACATGAAATCTGTTTTGGTTTTCCGTGTAGCCTAGTTTCCACACAAATTGCATTCAAAACCTTTCATTTTCATTGTCTGAGAAGTTACTAAGTAATTTGTACAGTTGGTTACCGGCACCTCGTTCCATTATCTGGAACCGGTTTCTGACATCAATTGTCAAAAGTTCTCTGAATAGTCGGGTACCCAGTTCCGATGCACACACATACATCATACCCAGTATGTGAGCTTGAAGAACACGCTAACTATAAAACACATCTGGGGCCAATTTCACGGCGCTGCTAAGCACACAAATTTGCTTAGCACAAAAAAGTCTGGTTTATAAAGCAGGTTACCAGCCAAAACTCCATGTGATTTTCATGCTAAGCAAACAACAGCTGAATACTGATCACGAGCAATATACATCACGTGGAGTTTTGGCTGGTTACCTGCTTTTATAAGCCAGACTATTTTTGTGCTAAGCAAATTTTTGTGCTAAGCAGCGCCGTGAAATTGGGCCCTGTCAAGTTCAATCTCATGGTTTACAGAGCAAACTGGAAAATTCCATAAGGTTTTTATATTTTCTGTATTATTTTCCCCAGCAGAGTAGGCATTTAATAATTGGCAGCTGTGCCGATTAAACCTATATATAGGCACTTTGAGAATTAACTCAAAGGTGTTATTTGAGATAAAGAAATGTGCGTGACATCAAACAATTATTTTACCCAGGTCAATTACTCAGTAAAACAAGATAATTTTAGGAATACACACACAATGTTTAAGGATGACTAAATTTACTACTACACAAGTAGCTGGAGCACGAACACCTGTTACATTGATGATGGGCTTTTACTGTGCACTTTACCTTGTACATGTACATGGATAAGGCCAAAAAAAAGTCTCCGGTTTCTGGTATGTGCACGCGTCGCCGTAGCCATGCGCGTCGGCAAAATGAAAAAGTTTTTTTTTTTCAATGAAAGATGATGTCTCAAAACCGCCAAACTCACTGGTTTGACTGGAATTCTGCTGCTGCACAATTTTAACGTGTTTTTAGATGGGGTTATGATCGAGAATAAGCTTTATGTGGCCTCTCTGGACTCCCATATATTTGCACTAAGTTTAGTCGGGCACCATTTGCAGTCATCAGCCGACATTTGAAGCCAAAAAAAAAAAAAAAACAGGTAAAAAAAAAAAAAGCCGCATCGCCGCACCACTTTTGGGGCAAGCTCCATACCAGAAACCGAAGACTTTTTTTTTTCAGCCTAAACCTCTGTGTCACATATTTGGCTTCGTAGGTACGTAAAAAAAATACATGTTTTGCTTCTGGCAAAGGAAACCACCTGGAAATATATTCAAATTAACGTTAGCCTCTCCACAAAGGCTCAAACGCAAATATTCATGCCAGATGTTGGTAAATTAACAATTCTGTCTGGACAAAAAAAATTCAGGGCCATTGAAAGAAGCACGACATGGTTGGCTTAATATGAAATACTAAAATATCGAATATTTACATACTAGACAATTCAGTTGTATTTCAAAATTCAATTTGTAAATTAACTGATTTTACCTTTGAAAATAACCTCCCATTTGCATTTTGTGTTGTATAATTTTTACCCTTAAAGCCAAAAAAAAAAAGTCTCCGGTTTCTGGTATGGAGCTTGCCCAAAAAGTGGTGCTGTGGCGCGGGTTTTTTTGCTTCAAATGTCGGCTGATGACTGCAAATGGTGCCCGACTAAACTTAGTGCAAATATTATGGGAGACCAGAGAGGCCACATAAAGCTGATTCTCGATCATAACCCCATCTAAAACATGTTAAAATTGTGCAGCAGCAGGATTCCAGTCAAACCAGTGAGTTTGGCGGTTTTGAGACATCATCTTTCATTGAAAAAAAAAACGTTTTCATTTTGCCAGCGCGCATGGCTACGGCGACACGCGCGCATAACAGAAACCGGAGACTTTTTTTTTTGGGCTTAAAAACAAATAAGGTTTTAATTTTAATAATTTCACATGGGCTTCACCTCGGGAAAAATATAATATTTCATGGATAACCTTGGGAGGCTAGTTTTACTGCACCACTCGAAGCAGTCAATATTTGTATAATATTGCACGGCCTACTACAAGATAATATTACAAAAATAAAATTAGTTTTTGTAAGCAGGGTAAAATAAATATCAAAATATGGCAATAAACAAAACTTAATACTGTCATTCTACATTTAAATCTGTAGTTGAGGTACATGTATTTTAATTGCAACAATTTTAATCATAATACTACATCGGCAAGACAGCAGGGCAAGGGTCTGCAGAGGAAGTAGTACAAAGTTGATAAACAAACTTGAAGCAAGTATATATTTATATCATATTGGATGGCTTTGAGGTGGATACAAGAATATATTGCACGAGCTATGACAATATTGCATGAGTCGATATATTGTCATAGCTCGTGCAATATATTCTTGTATCCACCGAAAAAAAGCCATCCAATATTATTAATATCATTTATATCAGGCTGACTTTATTCGCAAGAAGCACAATTCAAGACACTGTCTTCATTACATCTTTTTTGTTTACATCAAACGTTTTGAAGCTGCCACTGTAATTGTTGACACCAGTGCACGTATACCTTGCCTTCTGTGCGCTGCATGCGCGCGGCGTGTTCCGGTTCGACGGTGTACGCGCGTGCTGCGCTCTATTGAGTGGTTGACAACTGTGACTTTCTATGCTCTTGATCGTGCGGGAACCAGTGAAAATGCCCGGATGACTGCAATAATAATATTATTGTAGTCATCAGGGTACTTTTTATGAAAGCATACAATACGCTGATTTATTTTTACCGCTGGAAGCCTGATATAGATAATAATGCCCAGTGTTGTAGTCGAGTACTTTTTTTCTGAGTACCAAGTACTGCCGAGTATTTAGGTTACCGAGTGCGAGTACTGCTATTCGAGTACGAACATTTTGATGATCGAGTACAATGTCGACATGTCGAGTACGAGTACTTTGCTGTCCAAGTACGAGTACTGTCATTTCGAGTACGAGTACTTTGACATTGAGTACTTTAAAAAAAATACTTGAGTAGTACTCGAGTACGAGTCTGAGTACTACAACACCAATATTGCCCCAAAATATGTCAAACATTTGGCATTTATATAACGATATTTCTACTCATACCGGCACATTACTAGAATACAAAATTATTGCTTATTGATGACACAAACATCACATCAGAGTAAATAAAGACTTGTCATCACAACTCAAGTCGTTAATTGATAAAAATGGAAGTACTTTCCAACATATGAGGGATTTCTAGTTTCTACCAATTTAATTATCAAATTTGATTATTATATTGTACACATACATGATCTTGCACCACTCCATTTTTTCAATCCAGTTTATGGCACACACCATGGCAAGTTTTTCTGTAACCTCATTGTTCAGTTGAGTGGGTATTCTTGGTTAAATGGAATATACAACATCTGCAAACATCAAAAAACAAAACTACCAAATTATCACAAAATACCTTACTGGACTTGTTAGTGAATGACAGTCTAAAGCATCCTGTAAAATCATGGCACCTGGTGTGCTGACATTTTCAAGAAAAGTTGTATTTTTGTATCGATTTCCAACGCCGGTCAGCCGACCAGCGTTGGAAAAAACTGACATACATGTACATGTACTTCCTCTAATTTACCATATTTAGTCAGTCTGCATTTTCTTTGCAATTGATTACACACCTGTGAACGGGTACAAGCCAGCTAGACTGATTCCCTGACCTTACAATTCCCCCGAGATCTATAAATTGCTCTGTCTCATCATGTGGGGTCAGGGAACCAGACTACAAAAACATGATTGTTTTTCTTGGTTTTTCTAGCATCTACGAACCCAAAACGTCCAACAAGTCAGTGTAACGATATTTGCTATAAAATACTAACCCCCATTCTGAAAATTACAGCAAAAGCAAATGTTGTGTATTCCCTTTCACAAAATTCTTCCCCACATTCACAAATTTTCATGGGGTGTACGGAATTATGGCCACAATATTAACATAATTTGTTTCACATCCACAAGGGATAATATATGTATTAATATTTCACATTTAACATTTATTAGTGTCACTACAGGTCTAAAAACTATTGAAAATATGTACATTCTTCTCAATTTGTAAAATGACACACAACTTATCCTAGCTCAATACACACACATAAATAAAGTTAATGTCATCAATAACTTAAAAAATATGTCGAAAAGTGAATTCTAGTAGTTTATTAAAAGAGACTAATTAAAGTAGCAATAGAGGTCTCTCTGAAATGACATCATTTCCTACAGACCAGCCACGTGCATCGCCATTTTGAGCGTCAACTTGCATAACGCGCATTGGCTGCGTCGCATTTCGAACACATTTTGAGCAACAAGCGCGCGTGTTTGGATCATTAACAACACTGCGTGATGCGTGCTTGATTGCGTTAAATACACAGTTGCAGTTCTCCTACAGAGATGGCCGTCTTTCAGAGAGACCTATTAAATTGTATGTGTTTATTTCAGGCATGTCATGTGGCAAGATATAGAGGTTAAATACTTCGAAGAATGACAAATGCTACTTGTTGACAATGTTGACAAGATTTGTGGATATTTCAGCGGATTACTGTTGGATTATAACGTCATAGTAAATTTCTCAAGTTTTATATGTAAACTCAAACATCCTACAAATTGGAATTGTGAAATCCTTTAACTGGCACGCAACTGGCAAGTAACCAAAAGAGGGAATTCCAAGGTTTACAAGACTTTATACGGTGATTTTCAATTTTTAATGGCTTCATCAGTACATTCCAATTATGGCAAGTGATGGCATAAACGACAAATTCGTCTGTGAAACACGCATCAATGTCTGATTCGCTGAATACAAAAGAAGATTTGTAAAAAGTATTGCAAATATGGTTTGAAAACCGGATACGCCAATTGGGCTTCACCGTGTTCGCTGATAATCAATGTAGTGATTACTATCAAACTTTAAGCGTGCAGCTGCATGAATGACTTGTACAGGATCGTTTCCCGACCACTGCGCATGATTGTCATCGAGTCAAGTATAATAAGTCAACATGCACTTCAGGTCACAAGTTTCAAGGAAAGCCTCGGTCTTGGCTCCCTTCATAAAGCTTGTCACTTGAGTTGCGAATGGATGACTTGTGACGGACTTGCGCATCCTGGCAAGATGCCAGATGCTGATGCCAGGCTGACGGGCGGGACGCGCGTCACGTGGTTACAGCCCGATAGTCTGAAGGTTCGATAGTCCGAAGGTTCTCTAGTCCAAAGGGTCATTAGTCCGAAGGTTCGTTCGTCCGAAGGTTCAATAGTCCGAAGGTTCGATAATCCGAAGGTTCGATAGTCTGAATAGAAGATAGGCTTCGATAGTCCGAATTGAGAATACGGTTCGATAGTCCGAATGGGCAATACGGTTCGTCAGTATGACACTTCGGACTATCGGACCTTACTGTTGATTCGGACTATCGGACCTTATTGTCGATTTGGACTATCGGACCTTATTGTCAATTCAGAATAATGAACCTTGGGACTTTTGCACCTTATTTTCGTTTCGGACTATTGAACCTTCGGACTGATTAACCTTATTCTAAATTCAGACTATCAAACCTTCAGACTGATGAACCTTCGGACTAATGAACCTTCAGACTATTGCATCAAATGTTCGGATTAACGAACCTTATTTTCATTTTTGGACTAACGAACCCCCTCTTATGGGAATTTTGTGCATTCGGACTATCGAACCTTCGGACTAAAGAACCTTCGGACTATCGGACCTTCGGACGGCCCCCCGTCACTTGATCCTACTTCAACCAACCGGAGAGGAGATCGATGGGCAAGGGGAAGATGATGGTGGAGTTTCTCTCGGCTGAGATGGCGTTGAGGGTCTGGAGGTAGCGGAGCTGGATGGCCCTGGGTGACTGGGCGAGGATGTCCGCAGCCTCCTTCAGGGCGCGGGATGCGTTCTGCTCTCCCTGCGCGGCAATCACCTGCAAAGATCAGAAGCAAAAGGTACTGATTATCCCCTTACCTTCCCAAATCCTCCAAAATCATCTTTGCAAAATGGAGGATTTTGCAGGATTGAGGCTATATGGCATGAAGGTGTGCCTATATAAATATATATCTGCTTATGTCTCGAATTAATCTACCAGTATGATTAAATAATACAATCGGTGTGGCTGATTTTGGAGGATGCACTTTGTCAAGGTCTTAGGCCGGACCTTGTGTTATTTATGCTCAGCTGTGCATAAATGTAGGCCTACATTTTACTTGAAATCCTCCGCACTGCTCCAGGATGTCACTGGCACGCTAATAAGGGCACGCTAATAAGACACGCAGCGGCCCGGAGCTATACGATCTTTGCGTAGTTAGACCATAGCACGCGTTATAGCAGTACAAAATTTGCCTTTGAAGTGGATGCAGTTGCCTTGATGATTTTTTGCATTGTTTTAAGAACTACAAATGGCAAAGATCTACTTGGATGTTATATAAAACAAATAATGAATGTTTTGCATTCGCGCAATGGTGGGAATATTTTCATTCGTTGAAAGATGGAATGCTTCGCCTCGTTGAATGGAACATTCAATCTTTCAACTCATGAAAATATTCTCACCATTGCACTCATAAGAGAGAGCTACACAATATTCCTCGCTCCAACTTGCTCTAGGTTGCTACTGACCTTTGCTCTCGCCTCACGAGAGGCTTCAGCCTCGGCTGCCATGGCGCGCTGCATCTGAACAGGCAGACGAACATCCTTACTGTAAACAAAATAAAGTTAATAAATCTAAAGCTTAAATGTAGAGTAGATCATTTGCAGCTATCCAAAAAGTAACTGATGTAATTATTGTTGAAAAGCTTACTTGGTTTAAAGATAGTAATGGGACTAAACTCCCTGTGAAATGGCTCTTTCTGGCATGCTGTCATTTTGAAGACCACAATAAAAGGTCATTTCCAAAGATGCGTCAAGTGACGCATATTTGGAAATTTCCATTAGTAGTAGGTTTGTAATTCGGCGAACCCTCGGATGCGCGCAGATGTTGACACGAGGCACACGGTTGCTTTTTTTCATCAGTTCGGTGCGTGTCATCGCGAAGTTGCAATCGGCCGAATGAGAATTGTCCCGGATGTGTCCCTGACGCAATTCAAAACAGGACTTGACCAACTTTTGAATTGAAACCGAGATCCCAGAATTTTGTTTTCTCGGAATGTATAGCATTCACAGAGCTACAAAAATTCATCAGGTTAGTTGTTAAGAACCCGTCTTGAGATTTTGAGCACTTTTGTTGCTTCCAATGAAAAAAACCCACAAATGACAAATGATCTACCCTACCTTGAACCATGAATAACCTTGGAATAATGGAAGAATAAATGAGATAGCAAATTGTCCTTTGAAAGTATTGACATTTTGGAACGGTTAGAAACAAGAAATAATTTCATCCTTAACGACTTGCAATTGAAAACTGCAGGAGACCCAATATTTGCTTTCTCCTGAAGGATGTTGACCTCTGAATCAACAACACAGTACACTTGAGACCTTGAGAACTGAAAAAAAATCTAAATTGGCTTTTACCCTCAAGGATGTTAGGCTTTGAAACTAATGACAGGTTAGATATTGGAAACTGCAGGCAACCAAAATCATTGTGTTATTTTGAAGGATGCTGGAACAACTCCTGTCTCGCTTACTATTGCAGATGTCCAAACCACATGACCACTATTGCCACAGAGTCCAATCTGATATAGCAGAGCGTAGTCCACTGGGTACAGTGTTCGACCCACGTCACGTGGGTTCCAAACCTGACGGGCAACACAGTGCTTGTGTTCTTAGGCAAGACACTTTACTACAATTGCCCCTCTCCACTCAGGAGTATAAATGGGTACCTGTGAGGGTGGGACCAAATTGTGCTGATCTCAAGCTGCTTCAGAAAAAAATGGTCTCATGGCCTGATGAACAGGGGTAATAATTGTGAAGCGCTTTAAGACCTTTGGTATAAAGCGATATATATGCAACACATTATATGTGTAAAGGTACCGTTAAGGAGACATGGTATTGTAATTTCTTCGACCTGTGGGAGACAGCGATCATTAGGGAGACATTTTTATGTCTCCCTAATGTCACAGCCCCCCTTTAGAGGCAAAATTGTACTTTCGCAATTAGGTTATTTTTGTTGCTCGTAGTCTAATTAGTCAACATACCGAAATTCGTGGAAAAAGGACAAGGGAATATTGGGTTAGGGCACATTTAAATTTGAAAAATTGTGTGCACAAGTCTATGGGAAAATCTCTCTAATAACCCATTCCCGGTAGTTATCTTACATCTCGACTCGCTCCACTTTGACCCCCCAAGGGTCCGTGGCCACATCCAGGAGTGCCTTCAGGGTGGCGCTAATCTCCTCCCGGTGGCTCAGCACCTCCGCTAGGGTCTTGGTGCCCAGAACGTTGCGCAAGGTGGTGGCAGCGAGCAGCTCCGTGGAGCGCTTGTAGTTCTCTACGTTCAGGACGGCCATGGTGGGATTGGAGACGCGGAAATAGACCACGGCGTCCACTGTGACAGTCACGCTGTCCTTAGACAGAACCTGCAGAAAAACAACCCCGAGAAAAATAGCCTCATTACAAAATGATTGTGGAAATGAAGGACAAATCATTTTGTGGATGCCAACAGCGAGATGATAAACCATTAAAAAGTTACAAGTAATTTTGTGGCAGCTGCACGTCTTTTTTGGGGGGGGGGGGGGGGGATGGCCTTATTGTTAGCATTCGTTACGCATGATCAAAGGCTCAGGGGTTCAAATCCAGCTGCTGGTTGTGTGTTGTATCCTTAGGCAAGGCACTTAACCCCAACCTGCCTCTCTCCACCGAGTACCATAATAAATAATAATAATAATTTGGGAGGCTAATCATCCTTACTCGCAGCTGGTATGCTGAATTGCGAAGGATGCGGCTACAACGTGGTCGGGCCGCTGGCACATAAAGGCGCCTATGGCTGCCGGCCACATCAACCCATATATGACCACAGCCAGTGTTTGATTTTTCCGGAGGGAGGAAAACCGGAGGGTCCGGAGAAAAACCCTTGTGGCACAGGAGAGAACCAACGCACAACTCTACTCACTTGTGATCCCCGGCCAGGAATCGAACCGTGGTCACTTTGGTGAGAGGCGAGCGCTTTACGCACAAGCCACCCATGCCACCCATAACCTGTGATGGACTGGCATCCCATCTGGGGGGGGGGGGATGGAAATACTCTCAGTCGTTTTATGCCAAGGAGAGCGGGGATAAACACCAACTCACCTCCTGAGGGGGAACATCAAAGGATAGGGTCCTGAGATCAATCACACGGATCTCATCGATGCAGGGGATGATGACAAAGAGACCGGGTCCCTTCGGGCCGCCGGGGAGAAGACGACCAGCACGGAAGATGATGGCACGCTCATACTCTGCAACTGTCTGGAGATTGAAGGCAAAGAGAAATCAAGTTCTCATAGGTCAATCACAAGTTTATCATGAGTCAATCATAAGTCAATCATAAGTCAATCACAAGTCAATCACAAGTCAATCACAAGTCAATCACAAGTCAGATGAGATTTGAAGGTTTGACACAAACCTTCAAATCACAAGATAATCACAAGTCAATCACAAGTCAATCACAAGTCAATCACAAGTCAATAACAAGTCAATCAAAAGTCAATCACAAGTCAATCACAAGTTAATCATAAGTCAATTACAAGTCAATCGTAAGTCAATCACAAGTCAATCATAAGTCAATCATAAGTCAATCACAAAGCAATCACCAAGCAATGCCAATTAGTCCAGAACAAGTCAATCTCAATTCAATGACAAGGTAATAATAGTCAGTTTCAACTTCTTATTATTATTCACGGCCTTCTTTCAAGCCTCCTTCATGACATTTCTCTCAACTTGGATATATACTGGGCACTGATTCTAATAAAATTCTTATAAAATATTTTTTTGGAGGGGGAGAAATCTTTTTTTCCCGTAAGAGTAAACTTTGTTTTCATATGCAAATTTTCCTTTTCCCCTTCATACATATTCAATATCAGTTAGGACTTGGTATGCATCTTTGTACATGTCCTGCATGAAGTGACTTTTTTTGAGTTGGGTGGGGTTCTTTGTGTTTGGTCATCAGTTGGGCGTGTCTGTGTGTGTTGAGTGTATAGAGCTGTGGATGGTACTCCTACTACTGCTGCTTCTATGCCATTTTTGTACAGACTTTCAGACTTCTGATTTCACATAGCTGTTTGTGTAAGCCTTTGGCTGATTCTGCAACCTTTTGCAGCATTTTCAAGCAGTGAAGCTGGGGCATTAAGGCTCCAATGTTGCCAGCAAGCAGGACCAGTACTGAGAGTCCCAAATTTTCGGACTAGACCAGGTGTAGGAGAACACACTGCAAAACTGTAAGTCAAACCTCTCTTTTCCTAAAAATTATCATGGACTATTTTTTCACTTGTTTCATTCAATTTCCTGCATTAGTTTTGAAGAATTGACATCAAATTTGTGGTAGAATGTGAAAAGATTTTAGACTTGAACCACTTTTGAGGGAAAGAATGCTGCAACCTGACGCCACTTTTTTCTTCATATATCATCTCAATGAAGGTCAGTCATTGCAAAAATGATGATAAGACATGAATCTGGGACTGAGAAACATTTCCCATTTTGTTAGGAGATACTTAGAAAATTTTCTAGACTCTTCGTAGACTTTGTACACAACCGCTGAAGTGGCGTCAGGTTACAATATTTTTTCCTTTTGAATATTGTCTGTATTGAGTATTTAATATGTATTTTGCAGAAAGCCAAATCTTGGATTTCAGCACCTCCATGGTACAATGCAATTCTCCTTCTAAGCTACCGTACTTCTTGGGATCATGATGGCCAGTTTACCCAGACAGGGACCCACGATAGCAGCTAGACACATGCCACTCATCTACCAACTGGTCCGAGGCCAAGCACTACAGGTAAGACAACCCATTTATTAACTCCCCTGCTGTTTAAAAGGTCACAAAAAGTCAAAGTTTCCTTCCACTTCCCATGGTATACTTGACCAATTTTGACCCAAGTAACGGCATGGCTCAGAGTAGTCCGAAAATGTGGGACTCTCAAGTCTCAATACTGTGTATGGGCTCAGAGTGCATGTTTGCATAGGAAGGTTAACCAGTGTCAATTTCCAAACAACTGAGCTGTGCAGTACATAAGGACTCTTCACACTAGAGCCTCTCAACCCGTGGTCAACTCAACCCTAGGTGAACCCAGGGCCGCCCATGTTGAGTTTTGTCATTTTTCAACCGCGTCCAACCTGGCATAGTTTCACACTTGTTTCGTGCAAACCGAGCTTATTTGGCCTCGGGCCAGCTCAACCCAAACGATTCACACTTATGCAGCGTCTACTCAGGCCGAGTGGTTGTTAGGCACTTTGGAATTCCTAGTCGTTCAAAAGTAAGAGAAGTGGAAATGTAGGGAAAAAATTCCGTATACGGTCTTCACTTCTGAGCCGCTAAACATGTCAATTTTCACCTCACCTGGTGATTTCATTGAAGACGAATCCTGGAGGCTTTACAAAACTGAAAACATCTCGGGGAAAAAGGTGTTTCTAGAGCTCATTTTAAGTGCCATATTGACAATGATTGAAGAGACCAGGCAGGCAACTGGGAATTTAGAAAAAAAACGAGGTAATTCCAAACCACACAAGACTTTGTACAATGTTTTTTTAATTTGTAATGGTATTCATGAGAAGTTAAAAACGAGGAAATCAGCAGATCCCAGGAAAAATTGCATGCCTGAGAGACTGGAAGTCTGCGGTGCGCATGACAACGCACCGACCAATAACACTGCAATACCTCATCTTGAATATTTAAATTTCTCACAAATATTTAATTTAATAAATATTTAATTAGTCTTACTTCAATGGATACCTTAAATACATCTAATTGGCCATCACACGCTATCAAGTGGTCGTGTGGTCGAGTGGTTAAGGCCAGTGTGTTTATAAATAATGATAGTTTCTGCCCTCCTGGGTTTTATTCCCCAAGGATGTCTGTGAAGTAAGTAACTGATTAATAAAGAGGAATGGAGGAGGGAGAGAGGGTGAGATTCTGAGTCGAGGAGGGAAAGTGGAGGAAATAACCATAATAGGATGTAACTTTTTGGCGCTTGAAAATTTCTTGAAAATTTTTTGGAATTCTTTTCAAAATATCAACTCATATTTGAAGTAATAGGAGTAAGTGGAATGATCAGAAGTGTGATTTCAAATTTTGGAAACTTGTACGAATACTGTCAATCATATCAATTTACCTTTTTTTGTGTGTGTGTTTAACTTTGAAATTTATAAGGGATTTCACCTTGTGAATATTTTGGAAGGAGTAACTGCTGAAAACGTTGGCGTGTGAACAGCTAGAACAAGTTGTTGATATTTTTTTTATTACATAAATCAGAATTTAAAAATAGTTGGTGTATTTAGAAATTACTTGTTTTTAAGAATTAATTGTATATTGTACAGTTGTTTTGCGCTGCTTTTGTTTGACTTGTAACAAGTCAATCACAAGTCAATCACACATCAATCACAAGTCATCTCAAGTCAATCACTGTCACACGTTAATCACAAGTCAATGACAAGTCAATCACACGTCTATCACAAGTCAATCAATCACAAATGTTTAAATGATAGGGAAAAACAGCATTCATATATTTACATAAATTACAGATACATTGTAAGCAAATCTTACATTTACATGTACATATAAGATCAAGTACATGTACCTTGATCTTTCACACAATTTTACTATAATAAATCTGTGTAAATTGCATTTGTAAATTTACGAGATAATTTTTTTTAAAAGTAGTTAACAACTCATGAAACAATTTCAGACCCCACTCTACATTTATATTATAATATGCAAATGTATTCCAGCAGAGATTTACAATTTTCAAATACACTTCGAAACAATTTGTAAACATTTCTGAAGATTGTTTTTCTCATTCCTGTAAGTCAACATTGTGCAACATAAGTCTTTATTTGTTTTTATATTTCTGAATAAAAAGATATGATGATTTTCTAGATTGGATCTCTAGGGTAACCAGAAACAGTTACACAGGTTATTTGTTTTTCTTGGCCTAAAAACTGGCTATGGTCCAGAGAGTTGCTCTTCTGCAATGTGCACATACCTTGAATATCATACAAACGGAGATGGGAAGAGTGATGACGATCAGAACAATAGAGAAGAACATGAGGATGTAGATGCAGCAACCAAGACTAATTTCATCAGACTCTGCACCTGAGATGGGTTCAAAACCAGCAAACAAACAAATAAATTATACTTCCGTTCAACTTTTTTGGTGACAAATTGATTTTTTTCATTTTCTTTCTGAAAAGTCAGAGACAGTAAAAAAAAGCTTAAAATCAGCTGTTTTGATATATTAAAGGTTAAAGCGCGTAAGCAGTGCCCTAGTGTAATGTCTCTCCCCCCCCCCCTTTTTTTGAATTTTCAAGCAATCCACGGCCAGGATATTTTTTTGGATTTTGATAATCCCCTATCAATCATATCCCCCCCCCCCCACTCACTCGCCAGCACAGACATGACAGATTCATGCCACTGTAGGCACAGCTGGCTTATCAATCACCTACAGTCAAAGCATAGTCATATCAAGTTACATAAACAGTCACAACCAGTCAATCCTACTTTAGGCGAAGTAAAAAAAAAAAACATGTTTAGCGTCCCCGCCCGCTTCCTTTTTAGAGGCCGCCTCCTTTTTTTTTTTTTTTTTTTTTTTTTTTTAAAGACAAAAATTGATAAATTTTAACGATCTCTGCGCAGAAGAGATGTTCGGTTCTGCATAGTTACATCATTTTGGTCTCGTTTTCTGTTGCATCTTGCCCATAAGAAGCCAATATGTCATTTCCTGAGTCCAAGTGGCGGCCATTTTGAAAAAAGCTGATAACCATCTTGAAAAATAGCCCGGCCGCGTTGTCTTGAAAAATGTGTCGGGCGGCCATTTTGAAAAGAAAAAAAAAAAAAAAAAGGGCCTCCTCCTTCCTTTTTGTCAAAGAGGCAGGACGCTAAACATGTTTTTTTTTTTTTGCCTTATGTAGCCTAGGCTGCAATCTTGTGCAGGCCTAGGCCTATTGTATTTTTAACTGTTGAAAACAATCACTTGGATTGATTGATTAAATTGTGCTTTCCCTCTTCTTGAAGAGAGAGAAAAAATAGCAGTTAAGTAACCTTCTCCTTGGCTTTCATGTTTTATTTATAAATAAAGTAGGCAATAAGACATCGTCCAACCTGGGCCGGCTTACTGACAGTCTAGTTCTTTATCATTGTGCGTAGACTGTGCTGCCTGTAATGTATTGTTTGCTATGCGCCAGTGCACAAACCCTACGGAATCCTTTACCTTGGTCATGTCGAGCAACGTACAGTCTCTCATGATCGTGCGGATGATCTTCAAGCTTTGTTTGCTTCACGTTGCACGATGTGGTAGCCATGGTTTCCACTTCCGGAGATCAACCAACAACCCCCTTTAATTCAAATTCACAGTTTAATCAAAATCCTTCCACATCTCCGAACAGAATTCACGAAAATGTTTGACATAAATTTCAGATTCGCGATATTATAAAACTAAAAGCAAAATAATTCACTTTCGCTAGTATATGGTGGCGTTTAGTATTGCATGCCTCAATTCGGATATTGAATTAAAGTAGGTCAGGGTATAAGACTATTTAGACTCGCTACCAGTCCGACCGCAAGCAGTCTAGTGAAAAAAACCGGGGTTAGGATTTTCTTCAGTTGTAGGTCAGAACTTGAAATGAGATTACCTTTTGTGTTTGCATAAAAAAATTGACGGCCTGCCGCCAGCACGGGGCCTGATGCGGCATTGGGTAGGCAGGCCTTAGGTCTACAGTGTTTAAGTACACTTTTGCTTACCCTGGCCGGTTTGGAATGTTTGATTGTCTTTGTTTTTCTGTCCCTCTATCACCTCTCTCCTGTCAAACTGTCCCCCCCCCCTCCCTCCCCCCCCCCCCGGCCCATTCTTCGCATCCTTCAGTCCCATCAGTCTTGTCTGGTCATACTTTTTCAATTTTCAGTTTTTGTTTACCTTATGATATATATTTGCTTTGTCATTGTACTTTTGTTTATTTGTTGGCCGAATAAATAATAAACATAATAATTTCTTGAAATCTTATTTGGGGTGGGCGTGGCTATTAGTGAGGTGGGGGTAAAGCTTAAAGAAATGAAACATTAAAGATGTTTTTCCCGTATGCTATTTTCGAGTTGCACCTCGACATATGGATTTGTTTTTTCAATTGTTATTTTCCGAGCAATGTAAAAGTTATTAAATTTTGAATGAGACGAACAAAAAACACACGGACGTAGATAATATAACTTCGCAAAATTCGACTTATCAGTACTTGGCCGTCAGACAATAATTCGACTCTCGCATAATAGCGGGTTCATTTTGTTCGTTAAACCCTTTCCAGAGGGTTGCAAATGCCCAAAATCGTAGTAAAACAAAACATACAAATTGAAAAGTCGCTAGGAGATAAAACTTATTTTAATTTTTAGTATATTCACTGAACATATTCACCCTAGAGCGTGTATTTTACATGTTATTTTAATAACTTAATTTGTAATCCCCGGGTCCCATGTCTTGTACAAGTATAAGCTTTTTACCTAGATCCCTCATATCATATATAGAATTATTGTTATTGAAAATAAACCATAAACCACAAACTATGATTGTTATAATGCCTTGGTTGCATGCTCCGATTCGATTTCATTTCAAAAAAAAAGTTATATAGAAATTCCTTGAAAATAATGCGCCCCGCCCCTGTTCTGACACCCCCCAAAAAATATTCTGCTAATAATGTCAGCCAGTTCACAAAATACGGACAGATCCAGCTTTATTAGGGGGTATTTGTATTCTGGAATATAGTGTCTATAATCGTCGGATTTGGAGTTGAACAGCACCCCCATTGAAAGTATGGTACGAGCCCCCCCCCCCCTATTGATTTTCGGAGACCAAATATCCGGAGAGAAAAAAACTGTCAACATTTTCAGATTTTCTTGCTGATGAACCCCCCCCCCCCCTGCGAAAATTCCTGGATCCGCCCCTGACTCTACATGTATATAGCTGCAACGTAATTTAATTGGCACAGCCACACGTATATATATACGTACGGCCTGTGCAGGCAAAGCCTTTTTTAATCACCATCTTTAAAAAAAAAAAGTCACTGGATTTCATATAAACTAGAGCACTTGTTTGAAATTCATTAGACTGGAGCACTCAACCTTTTATGGACTATATACATGTACACTATTCATCCTCCGATACTCTCAAGTTAAGATTCAGTGTTTTGTTTTGTTATTGATATATAATAAAGCAAATCTCATATAATGCGCGTGTACATGACGGCCTAATTATGCTAATGCCGAGCACATTGAATGTGAACACTACATTATGCTTAATTCGTGGTAAAAGATAGACACTGAAAAGTTTCTTAATGTGGCTGACAAGATAATGGACTTTCCACTCGTATTGCAGATTGCCTCTTGAGCTAAAATACGACAGTGCATTAGGAAGTGAACTTGCAATGGAATGGAATCGACATTATTGCGAAGTTGTTGTGACATGTTAAAAGGTATCGATTGGAATAGGGTAAAACGTGCGCACGGTATTATCCACTCCATCTAAAACAAAATATTACGCAAGGGCAGATGGGTGGTTGGGTATATAACTGCAGCAGCGGATCGGGGGGGGGGGGGTCGCCGTTCAGCCAGTGATTAATATTTTGATACTAGTAAAATGAGGCAAAATATAATAAATGGAATGCTAAAGTTCCTAAATTTATTGTCAAATCGCCTTAGCAGGAAAAAGCATCGTATATTATCAAAGTCGTGCCTTCACTCACCCCCCCTTCATAAACATAAACACCCCCGTTCGTTTCCTGAAAACTATAGATGTGCCTCTGTTTAAACCAGCCCCTACCCCCAAAGAGGTCTTACAGTAAAATTCCCCGATTATCATTTTCTAAACAAATTGCAAATCTAACTTGCGGCGTTGGTTTTTACATGTCCCGTCTTTCCAACACCTAAAGCGCTCCTCCATTAGAAAGCAGTCCTGGACCTAACACCTCAGCTTCTGCCTTAAAAAAAAAGGAAAAATCTTAGATCCATCGCGATCAGGTCGAATTGTCCTCGGGCATGTATAGGCCTACAGTTGCAATTAGGGCATTTTTTCCCATCACTGTATTCTTACCGACAATCAGTTTGCCTCCAAAGTATTCATGCTGAACTGAAAGCCATGTATCAACCGGAGCCATGTTTTTTTTTTAATTTAGGATGATTTTTGTATTTTTTTGTTGTGGAGCATTTTCGGGATTTTACCTATTCTACTGTTTTATAAAAATTCGTGCAATTATACCTTGCACATTTCGCTACTTTTCAAACATTCCCGTTAGGGTGAGGGGCTAACCAAACACAACATGTATACTGAACGTTAAACATATTTCAGATGGGACCATAAGCATTGATATCTTCACAGGCATGTCACAGATCCAAGAAACCTGTCTTGGGTTCGATTCCTGCCTCTGCCATTATGTGGATTGGGTTTCAGTCCCTGCGTAATTCTGAATATTCTTTTGGGGTTTTCCTCCCACCTCTAAAACTGTAACTTCTTCACACTGTCTTCTCTTTACTGGGCACCATGGGAGACCAGTGGATTCCACTGAATGGGCTTAATTCCCAGTTAAAATAAGAATGGAAAAAAGCCCCATTGGTTCAAAAAAGGGAAGAATGTTTCTTACTAATGGGTCGAAAGAACTCAAGTTCTCTGCGTTTCCTTTTCTTTGCTTGTTGCAGTCTTCATTTCCGTCAACATTTCTATCTGATGCAAATTCTACCCGACAGTTCTGTTGGTTCTCTCTGGTGTACATTAACAACAGCAGAATTCAATGCTGTTTGATCAGGCAGCATGAAGACTTGATCGTCACGTTTCAGCATGTTGCGGAAGAGCGCGCGCCGGCTCGAGTAGAGGCCACGCCTCTTTGGCCCGTCATCCTTCACCCACGTGATATAATCTCTCAACTCGGTGATTTCTTAGAAGGAAGGGGATAGAAAACAAGGAATTCTCTAGATTTCATCCGATAATCACGATGTGTATTTTGCTCTCGTGCAAGACCAAAGCCTACATTTTGTGATTGAGGCACATTGGTACAACATCATCATGGATTCAGCAGGCATGAGTACTGAGTCTGGCACGAATGCATCCGATAGTACTAAGGAACTGCGAAGTATTGCTGGAATTGTCGTACCAGCTTTGCTGCTTGTACTGATTCTCTTACTGTCTCTGTTTGGCAATGTCGCTGTCATTTTTGCGATTCTGAAGACTCCCTCTTTGAGAGAGAAAACCTGCAACATCTTTCTGATCAACCTAAGCCTGACGGATCTGATGAACGCCACTTTGGTGATGTTCAGTGCTTTGGTGTCTCTGATAGCAGACCGGTGGCCGTTTGGGATGTATTGGTGCTACGCCCAATGTGCCTTCAACTACTGGTTTATCATCGTATCCATGCTGACTCTTGCTATGATCAGCATTGATGGATACTTCGCTGTCGTACACCCGTTGCGTTACATAAACATAATCACGCCAAAAGTGACCAAAATCGGCATCTGCTACGCGTGGTGCCAGGGGTGCGTGTTTGCGCTGATTCCAGCCATCTACGGCTGGGTCGTCTACGATTACTGGGAGGTGGTGTGCGCCATCGATTGGGACAGCTACAGTCAGGACGGGGCGCTGACCTACGTCATCGTGGCGTTTGTCGCCTGCTTTCTCGCCCCGACCTGTGTCGTGGTGTTCTGCTACCTCAGGATTTGGCGCGCGGTGAGGAGGAGTGCGGCGAGTGTTCCCGAGGTCTGCCGAAGTGCCGATCGGAAGAAGCAGGACGCGAGAGTCATTTACAGCCTGGCCGTGGTGATCGTGGTGTATTTCATCTGCATGGGCCCGTTCTGCATCACCAAAGTCTGGAAGATCTGCCTCGGCACGAGCTCGCTGCCCGATTATCTCAACCTGAGCGCCTCGTGGTTTGCCTACGTGGGCAACGCCACCAATCCCTTCATCTACGGCATCTTCCGCTCTGACTTCCGCCGAGCCTTCGTGAATTTAATCTGCCGTAAAGAACGGATTCACCCGTCCCCCACTCGAAGTATGGCCCATCAAGGGGCGTGTCTAAGTCAGCTGTCTGTGGGAGGAGTAAGACTTACACCGGTGTAGTGTGAAAATTCGATTTAATGAAAACGGAACCTGTTATTTCCGCATGTCTCACAATCATGCACAGTATCCGCAGAGAACACAATTATTATGAGGGTTACATGTTATAAAGGAGTCTATGTCTGAGAATATTCCAACTTTAAATCGCCATGATCAGTCTTTGCACTGCAGTTTCTCAAACATTATGTCATTAATTATTAATACCACTTAAGCACTTACTCATTAAAAAAAAAATTGTCCAATGTTTTACGAAAGGAATTGCAATTCAATGTGGTTCAATACAAAATTCAATCTGATTGAAATCCGACATCTAAACGAAGCAAGCGCAGGTGAATGCAATCTTCCGTTGTAAACAACTCGCCCTTTCCTAATACAATTGCCTCCAGCTACAAAAGAAAAACTGCTTCAAAAAAAAAAAGAGGAAAAAGTGTTTGTGTATTAAACCAAACGCATGGGACTTTAAACTTAATGTTCTTTATGAGAATGCCGGCGAGGATGCCTACGTGACTGAAGAGAAATCACGTGATCTTGCCGTGTCTCAGGGAGGCAATTAGAGATGGCTTCTCTGTGTTTGACGAAGCATATGTCAACTTTTGCGCAGAAACAATATCTCTGGAGGCGATTCCTGAGGCAATTTTGATATCTGGCTTCGTCTGAGTGCAAGGACGTTTTGGCGATGTCACATCCCAAAAACGCGCAACTAATTGGAGTTTTGAAAAGTAAATATACTTGTAGTCGGTAAAGGATCTTTACAGCTACTGTAGATCTGCTGGACCCTGATGACCACGCCCGATTAAGAGTCGCATGTACAGAATGTAGCGATGTAGCTGTTTGTACTTAAAGGCAAATAATCATATGCATTTATCCAAATAGTGAGGCTACATGTATACCCTTTCAAATTATAATCAAAATACTTACTTGGGTTAAAGATCATACTGGTACTAAACACTCCGTGTTCTTATTCCATCTGGCTTGCTATCATTTAGAAGAAAATGAAGGTGATTTCCAACGATAGTGCTATATAGAGGAAATCGTGTTTTTTATCAAAAGGTTGTACATGGTGTTTCACTGTTTTCTTGAAAAGTATAATATCCACTGAGTTGATACTTCAACAGGTCAGGTTTGAAACATTCTTCTTTGGATTTGGATTTGTGTTATTATTGGAAACGAACAAAATGAAAAGCAAAAGGTACTATATACCAATTTAAACGATGTATAGTCATCTCCCCACTGAAGCAATCGTATATCACAGACAATCGGCGAAAGACGCAATAATTATGGTCTGCGATAGTTTCCCCATTACTTTGCGAGATCATCTCCTTCCAGTTTTGTTCAATTTGGCGAAATTTAAGAACGTTTCAGACTTTCTTCAGCATAATGTATAGCCAAATCCATCAAACTTCTGAACTAAATCGATCAAACATAACCTAATGTGTATTTTAGTACGATTTATTTGTGGATGTTCTTGCCATTTAAACTACAGTGTATTAGTAACTTAAATTCGGATACCCGAACAAATCATTTTCTTAAATTCTTGTACATGTATACCTACAGTTTCTAATACGCACACATTACTATTCACATAATCAATGGTTCATGGTAATATGTTTACATAGTATCTTGTATATTATTGTTTGAATGGAAACTTTCAATGTGATTTTTAATGGTATTTCCCCCTAAAATTTCACGCGTTTATTCTAATAATAGTTAATCATTCCAGAAATCACTTGCAATGTTTAGGCTATAATCGTTCCAGGAGTCATTTGCACTGTTCTGTCCTTGTTAAAACCTACAGTCAACACTCGTAAAACTTGCCCTTTACGTGAAAGTCTTGGATTTATAAAAAAAAAAATCGATAATTTTGTTTCACAAGAATGGAAACCATGTTGACGGGAGAAAACCAAAGTGTCGCGTTGGAATCAAAGATGCCGCACTGACCATGTCAAGTACAAGGCCACGGGAATTACAGCGCCGAGTCACCCACGGATTGGCCTACTTTATTCGCTGAATAGGAGTCGACAGCGCTATGAATATAAAACCTTGGAATAGGCCTACGTACGTATTTGCCTTGGCCTCAGATGTGTTGCGAGTGAAAATATTGCGCCAGTGCCACTCATCACCAAGATGCTGAAAAAAAAAATCACAGGTCACATTTACGAAATCAGGCAACACGTTGTGAATGCAAGAATAATTGTTATACCTCTGTCTTGAGTACTGTATATTCATTGACCTAGAACGATCACGCAGGCTTTGTACGTACGGTGCGTACGGTGTGGAAACGCTTGTATCGTTGGTACCCACGCTATTTTTTACCATGTTTTCACATATGAATGGGAGCAGCGAACTAGCAGACGAACAGCTGTTTCGAGCACGCGACATGCATGGGAGCTGACGTTCGATTGTCATGATTGTTGTGTTTACTGCTGTTTGTTTTCGTGATCAAAATCCAACGAATCCAAGACCGAGGTATAACAATTGTTGACTGCTGTGATGTGGGATATGAAGTTTTGATTCATGATACCGCGTGGTAATACCACGCGTTTGTTCAATAATCGGAGTGACTCTCCAGTGAGTATGAGAGAGATGCGATGGTTTTGCAAAAGAATTCAAGCCACGTGGGTAAGGGGCAGGCGGCACAAAAAGTGCTCACTTTGTCCAAGCCATGCAGATGTAGACCTATTCGGGTTTTTTTCCCCGGGTGTTTTACCTTATTTTTGTCGGGTCGGGTCGGTTTGAGGGAGGTAAGATCGGTTTCGGTTTGGATTCGGTTTATATCGCTGTTTCGGATATATTTGTCCAGGTCAACCCAACCCGATTCACATTTTAGTAGGTATAGGAGGGCCGTAATATTGCCGAAGCCCCTCCTCTTGTGGGCGTGTCATATAGAACCTCTTCTCGATGGTGTAGTGTGCTTTCCCCGTCTTGCACCTGAAGTACCAGCGGTAGGGCCACGTGACTGCTAGGATCACCGCCAGCCAATAAACGCATTTGTTCATCCACCAGGGCGTGGTCGGCTCCCCCACGAAGGCGGAGATGCGTTTCTCAAAACCGAGGATGGTCGTCTCAGTCCAAGCGTCCATGTGATCATCCATGCCTCTGTTGCGAGCTTTGAAGGCCTCGAATTCAGAGGAGCATTCAGTAGAAGTTTCTTCGTCCCCTGCCGATATCTTCTTCTCGAGGCGGATCTTAGTCACGCGGCGTCTGTCCAGGCCTTCCAGTATGGGAGTCGAAACGTCGACCCAGTGGCTGTACATGAAATACTGCTCATCCCGGTGGGTGACAACTCGAGCCGAGTCATCATGATCATCACTCACGTAATGGTAACACTCGGCACAGAATACGATATCCGGCTGTTCCTCGTGTAGGTTTGATATCAACTGGGCTGCGTCACCCGCTTCTCCCATGTTATCAATGTACTCCTTTTCTCTGGAGGACGCGGACTCCAGCAACACGATGGAGTACCCGAACGGTACAGAAATGGCACCGAAAAATAAAACTACGTAGTGTTTTAAAGTCATGGTCAACTCCCAGCATGTTGTCACAGAGCAGCTGACCCACCATGCGATTAAGATCCAGAAATTCAGGAAAGCGACGATGGATGCGGTCCGAGCAACGTTGACTCCATCACTCCACTTAGTGCTCACATCTCTCGTGTACGTCAGATCCTCCTCGGCCCTACATCCCTCCGAGGCGTACACAATACAACGACAGATACAGCAGACGAGCGCGGGTCCGACGAAATTCATGATTATGAGTATAATCAGAATGTCGAACCATACCTCAGTACCCTCAAGAATCATCGCAAAATAACGGGCAAATATTTCACAGTTCGTAGCAAATTATCTCGTTTCTCTGGGAAATCTGAGCTGACAAGTCGCCGATGTTAACAGGATCGCTTGATCGTGCAATCTACGGACAGGTGGTTCTTGAATACCTTCACTGTATGCAAACCCGTTTAAGCCCGGTTGGTATATAGCTAGTCATATTTTCCATACAATTCCATCAGCTCATTCAGGAAGTGCATTGATATGGCACGACGCGCGAGTTGAATATAATAGTACCCGTTTCACACGACTGACCTTGGCCTTACGGCGTGTTTTGGCAGAAATCATACAGTACTTCAGCACAATGAAATTGAATTTTGCAACTCATAAAGGCCTATATAGACGGTACTAAACTACTTTCGTTATCAGTTCCAAAATGAAGTTATTTTCGGTCCAACAAAAAAATCAATGCGTGGTTTTAGTCTGGTTCCCACACCAAAAGATTCTGATTATTTCTGATGAATCCTTAGATCAAGTAACCGCCTCGGCATGTGACCAACGTTTGTCGAATGCATTTTGTCGACAATCTCGCATAGCGCACGGGTATTTCCGGATACAAAACAGGTTTCATTTACCTGGCCATGCTTATTTTAATAACAATCAAAGATTAGTTGATAATTATAAAATTCATTGCTGGCATTATAAAAAAAACCCTTGAAATTCAATGTGTGATCGGATCGTACGAAGGGAGAGCTTAATTTGCTGTGTCATGTAATTTTAATCTGGTTTCGACCTGACAATTCCCCGACGCCCTGACGCCCTGATCGATGGCGGATGTATAGCTAGGACGCTTGCGAGCGCCGTGCTTATATTAGGGCCTGGTCGGACAACACACAACTGTCTAACGACTTCTCCTCAAGTCTAGATTGAAAGTTAAATGACAACACCTGTGAATCCCCTCAGATCTTAAGTTCGGTCAAAGTATAGGTTTACGCCCAAGCGACGCTGCCAAGTCATGCCTTAAACCACACCCTAAGCCACATTCTTACTGCAACTCACCCGAATTCATCCACTTTTTAAAGGGACGCCCCAAAAATATACTGGTACTAATGTCTGCCCCTGCACAAAATATGGACAGAGCCAGCTTGGTTAGGGGGTATTTGTACACTATTCTGTAATATAGTGTTAATAATCGTCGGATTGGAACAGCGCCCCCATTGAAAGTATGGTCTGAGCCCCCCCCACCCCCACCCACCCCCACCACCACCACCACCCCACCACCACCACCAATTGATTTTCGGATGCCAAGTGTCCAGAGAAAGAAAAAAATGTCTACATTTGCCCGCAAAAATTCCTGGATCCGCCCCTGATCACGCCCATGGAATATATATATATATATATATATATATATATATATCCAATGAAATCGTCTTCTATCACAAT